ACATTTTTAAATTTGAATTTGTGATATGTATGTAAAACGCTGTCAATTTTTTTTTTTTCCTTTTTTTTTTCTTTAAGAAGACAACGCCCGCATTAGGAATATATATTCCTGTGTCGCGGGGGACTTTACAAACATACATGAAACGGACACAAAGAACACCCAGACTCAGAACAACAATTTGTGGATCACACAAAGTGTTGTCCCATGTGGGGTTTGAACCCACAACACTCGGCGTAGTAGGAAGCGGCGTGGCTACCGCTTAAACCACTACGCCATCCGTGCATTAATTAAGTCGTGGGACCGGTGGGACCTAGCGCTAGTCACGTAGAGTTTTAATCAATCATATCGGCTATCGCAGTAAAAAGTAGCCTATGTTACTCGCTGATAATGAACTTTTTATTCATAAAATAATTTTCAAATCGGTTCAGTGGTTTAGGCGTGAAAGCGTAAAAACAAACACATAAACTCACTTTTACATCTATACAAATAAATAAAATTGGAGTGTCTGTTTGAAATATTAAAATAACCGCTTTTTACTAAATGCATATGTATGTTTACACGGTAATAATAAATAACAAATAAATAATAATAATGCCAAAATAACATTTTTTTAAATTTTTGTCTGTCTGTTTGTCTGTCTGTTTGTTCCGGGTAATCTCTGGAACGGCTGGACCGATTTCGACAGGACTTTCACTGGCAGATAGCTGATGACATAAGGAGTAACTTAGGCTACTTCTTTTAGACTAACAACAAACGCGGGTAACACCGCGGGTCTCAGCTAGTTTATAATAAAACTAGCTTTTGCCCGCAGCTCCGCCCACGTGTATGTCGGTTATCAGGGTAAAAAAAGAGCCTATGTTACTCGCTACTAAGATAGCTTTCCATTGGTGAAACAATTTTTAAATTCGGTTTAGCGATTTAGGCGTCAAACTTATCTCAAGAACTAACTATGTGATGGGTACCCCATCAGAAAAGCTTAATTTAAATATTTACACTAAGTATTTGATATTCAAATTTAATAAAAGTGTCAAAACCTTTTTTGTTTATAACCAAAACTTACTAAAAGCCGGTGTAACCATCACAACTATTTTTTAAATTTGCCGCGTTTTGCTACAGTCTGATTTTTAATTACCTAGCTGCTATGCTACATCGATGTTAATTCCTTAGTTTTCTAACAGATGGCGTAAGTAGTTATAGTTCAGTTGATAAAATATTAATATATAGTTTAATCATTTTCGTCAGTTATACAATAAAATTCTAATTAATAAAAATTGACTTTTTATTAAATGTCATATAATATTTTTGTGATGTATCTAAACATGAATTGAAATTACTATGTCAAAGCCCAAATCTGAGTTTCTCAGTAAAGAATATCATAACAATACAAAGATTGATTGCTCGCTTCGCTCGTCCTGATACTTTTTTATTTAAATAAAATTATGGTGCCCTGCAGCAGCTTGGTAACTCCCTTAGGCAAAAAATTGGAATGTAGATAAAACCTGATAAGTAGGTTCAATGTGATGAGTAGTTCTCTAAACAAACCTAGGCTAGGAAGCCTATAACGTTTCTGAAAATTCTCCTCTGACATCTTATCAAGTCATCTGATGTGTGATGATATTTTAATAGAACACATGAAAAAAATATACTATGAAGTTGGTACTTTATATGTTTTTTTTTAGATTATGAAGGTACAAGTACTGACCTAAATTATAAATAAAATTTTGTCATTTTCATAGCAGTTTGTTTATCATATTGTCAGCGAAAGTGTTTTGTACTGCCTCTCGGGTGCCAATTTTTTTCCCAGTCTATTCTGGCAAGGTGGGTGACGTAGAGCTTCCAGCTGTAACTCTTGTAGCTTTGCGATGTTCTGTCGTGAAGTGTGAGCTCGCCGTTGTCGAGGAGAAGCAATGGTTAAAAACGATTGACCAGCCGACGTTGTTGAATTGCGGGCTTCTCCACCATTGTTTGCAATTCTTGGCAATATACATCTGCCGTCACTGTTGTGCCATTCGGCAGAAAATTGTCTTACGATTTTCCTAGATTAAAAAAAGGCATTTGACACGGTCTCTATTTCCAGGCTATTTGTTAAACTAGAAGCGATAGAAATCAATTGAAATTTTTTAGGAACTACTTAACTAACCGTACACAATGTCTGTAGTTGATACTTGTGAAGCATTCTTGGCCCTACTTTGTTTTTAGTGTATATGAACGATATGTGCGAATGTGCGAAATGATAGAGAAATAAATATATTATTATGTACGTCTAGTACAGTGTCTAATTATATTAATTAGACACTGTACTAGATTGCGAAAATAGTCAATGAGTTTTACAGACACCAAATAAACGTGTAATAACTTTCACACAATAAAAGTAATATAATTTTTTACTCCGTCTACAACAGCGATGTTCATATCGTAGTTTTTCGTACCGACCCCTAATTTTAGTATACAGCTGGACACTTTTTCAACTTCCCAATATGAGATGACACTACCCTCCATAGTTGCCGCGTTATCATAATGTAAGATAGTGTTGTATCTTGAATACCTAATCAAGCTTAGTTAATTTTTTAGTCATTTATTATTTATTTATATTTAAATAGCGATTAAGAAAAAAATGATTTTATCGTAAAAAGCTTGGGGATAATTTCTTAAAAACTAAGAAACTTTACAATAATAACTTTACTTTTACCAAGATCTGTTAGTAAAATATGTACAACAATTGACAGCTAGCACCCCACGCTTTTTTACGATAAAATTATTTCTTTTTAAATCAACATTTTTATTTTTGACAAACAGAAAATTATATTCTACTTTTTAGTTAGGCTAGTTGCAAAGATGATTTTTGTTAATTTTTTAAACTGTTTTTTTTTTTAAAAAGATAATAAAAATAATTTTACTTAGGAAAAAACCCTCTCCTATTAATAGTGCAAATCGAAAAGTCGTTAAATCGAATAAGTTGAGTCCTCTTACGACGTTATGCTTACGTAATTAAAATAAAAATAGCTCAATTGGAGTTATTACTTTACTACGACTTCTGGTCGATCTCGGATTTCTGGTCTGGTAACTGAGTTCAAACTGCACTGCAGTGGTGACAGGCACAACTCAATTTACTCCTAGCGATCGACTGCTGGTAACTTCCTAAGTAGACGAAGGAAAGTCCTGCAAAGAGACTGCACGGATGGCGTAGTAGTTTAAGAGGTCGCCGCGCCGCTTCCTACTACGCCGAGTGTTGTGGGTTCAAATCCCACATGGGACGACACTTTATGTGATCCACAAATTTTGTTCCGAGTCTGGGTGTTCTTTGTATCCGTTTCATGTAAGTTTGTAAAGTCCCCCGCGACACAGGATATATTATTAATGCGGGATTTGTCTTTTAAAAAGAAAAGAAAGCAAAGTCCCATGCTGCCACCCTGCCCACTAGACGATGAACGTCTGGACCGCCTCCACGGCTCCAAATCCAGTACGTGGAGCCTCCAGCCGGGACAACCTACGAGTCATCGTGGCTCGGCAAGCGGCCTTTAGTCACTTATTTTAATTCCGACTTTAAATCTCATGTGAGAAATCCACCACCATCGTCTGAGGGTCTTCAAAAACGCGCCTTATTCTTGATCATAGCTGCCGCTTACACCGATGCACCGTATAGTGCCTTTGACTGAACAATCCTGGTCTATTCCTACAACTTATAGAGTAATTTTAGCTATAGCTGCAGTTGTAGCAACTGCATTTTGGTGTACACGCACTAGCTTCAATCTTCTTAAGTATCAGAAAATGAATGCAAAGAAATAGTGGCAATTACTAAATATAAATCCTAGAGGTCAACTTTAAAAATCTCTATAGAATTAGGATTTTTTTATATTGTGTAAGTATGTGCATACTTACTGCCACAGTTCTTTTTATGTTAAGCATTTGTGTGGCTCACTAGGCACCCTAGACACGTGCCAACTATGCCTTAGGGTTAATCCGCCACTGCCGTATGCTCAGATAATTGTTTTTCTTACCTCTACAGTCCATAATATTATCCTTAATAACGTAAGACGAAATTTTACAGGTTAATAAAAATAATACTGATAGTACCTAGTAACATTAGAAGTTAATCTGAAATCTGAATCCCCTATTAATGCTCTTAACCGAACATGTAGGTCATTGCCCGTACTCACTTTGCAAAGCCGCTTACAAATAGACTAATGCAAATATCTACAGAAAAAATATTAAAATAGAAGAAATATTATATACTAGCTGAGACCCGCGGTGTTACCCGCGTTTGTTGGCGAAGCTAGTCTAAATAAAGTTACTCCTTATGTCATCAGCTATCTGCCAGTGAAAGTCCCGTCGAAATCGGTCCAGCCGTTCCAGAGATTACCCAGAACAAACAGACAGACAGACAGACAAAAATTGAAAAAAAATGTTATTTTGGCAGATGTACCGTGTAAACATACATATGCGTTTAGTAAAATGCGGTTATTTTAATATTACAAACAGACACTCCAATTTTATTTATTTGTATAGATATACATATATCGTCGAATTGCCTGACTTTTAAGCCAGGTTGCACTTTCCGTCTCACAGATGTCTCATTGTGCACACGTCTCATGAATTTCGACTTGTATTTACTCATGAGATGATCATGGTAATTTTTTAAAGGGCTTAATTATACCCATAGATTAAACTTATATTGTTAAAACAAATTGCAAAGTCATGATATTATTAAGGGTACCAGAGGCAAAAAATCTTATATGGAAAAAAATTAACTTGGCAACATTGAAACCAACAACTTTTATTTTATTTATCATCTGTGTTTTGTGCGGTATGCTCTGTGTGTGCGGTGCCTAGCAAAGGAAAACGAACGATCGTGAAACAGTATCAGTACCGAAATAATTTAAATTTCGTTTAAATTTAGCTTACATCGAAAAGGTTTAAGAAACTTAGTTTTAAAAATGCAAGTGCTCAATAAAATTGTCTGATAGAGCTGTTTGAGATTGAAGTCTCGTTAATAGAAAAAAATGAGTAACTGGGCTAGAAGGATGCATCGGCGAGCTGCTACATTGAGCAATGTGGTTACGTCTTGCGGGCATCCCAATTCCCTACCGTATCCGAGGAGACTGGAAAAAGTAAAGTTTGGTGCACCGCTCCACGAAGTTTGCAAAGATGATATCCCTGGTCCATTGCTTGTTAGTATTGACGAGTTTTGCAGATTCCTTGACAACGCCCCTGAGATTTTCGCCAGTTTTGTTGATATTTATGAATAGGACCGAGCGTTCCAATTAAATTTTCCAATTCAGAAAATGCAAAACTGTCATCATTTGTACTTCTCGTTGTTTTATTGCTAATAATTAAATGTATATACTACTGCAATAATTAATTGGAAATATCCTGACGTAAATAATGGAAAACTTGAATTGTGTGTCGTGTAGTGTTTCAAAGTTGTGATGGTGTGTGTAGGTGCTGATCCTTAAGTTGAACAAGGAGGCTCCTTTGCGACGGGATGTGTTCCGCGCACCAGGTCACCAGGGTGCCATGAAGAAACTGATACATTTCTTGCAGACAGGCCGACTAGTCAATGTGGACAATTATTCAGTTTACACAATTGCTAGTGTGCTTAAGAAATTTCTCAGGTAAGCAAGTATTTTTTTAAATATAATTATTATACTTATTTGACTGTCGTCTTCCTAAGAAATAGAAATGCTCTTCATTCTTTTATTGTATGTCAGTTTTGTTAGATGCCCTAATATGTGTACAGATTCAAATAATAATTTCATTTTTAATTACTTGCACAAAGATTTATTAAATTAAATAAGGTAAAGGTAATTATAGCTGTATAAAACTATTTTCCTCTAATAAATTGGTAAACCTGTTTTTAATATATTATTCATAGGCATTGAATGTAAATATTACTGTAGACTAGTAAAGTTACATCCTCTAGAGTCGTTACAAAAGAATAATTAAATTATTAAATTAAACAACTCATTACCCTGAGGTGCTACCAAAAAATTCTTATTGTTATGATAATTGTTTTTGTTAAATTACCTGCAACAATTATTTTACTCTCTGTCAGTGCCGACCCTAGAGTAGAGCAAGAAGAGAAGTTGCAGTTGAAGAGTAATTTTGTTATTATTACACCAGCATAGAAAACAGTTGTTACTATTTAGTGGCTGATTTTAACTAACACAAAATGTTAAATTCAGTTATGGAGCAGTAGTGGCTTTTATAAAATATAAGGTTTTTGCATAAGAATCTTTAAATTAATAATACTTAAGCAGAACTGAGTTGTTATATTTCTTCAAATATCTTTAACTTAATAAACAGTGTATGTAACTCATGCATGCAGAATGTTTGTTTTATGAATGACGTAATATTAATATGTAACTTATAATGTCATTAAAAAAGACATCCAGACATTTAGCAAAATGAATAAAAATCTGTCATTGCAAAATATGCTCATGTATGCAGTGAAAATTGCTTGGTATAAATTGTATAATGAGTAATCCACAACATTAACTATGTTAGTAGTAGTATTTATTTAGTTCATTTTATTTCCATGTTTGTTATATAATAATAATAATAATAAAGTATAGTGAGGAGGTTTCTATCTTTGCAGTCCTAACCACTGGTGTCTTGGTACCTGTACCCGATGTCGGTGGTCTACTATTTTTTATATTTTTAAATGTATTTTTATTTCTTTTGTAATATATTTAAAAATGTAATTAATATGTATATATAATTTAATAAAGAGAATAATAATAATAATATTCTACCAGATAATAATAATAATATTCTAAGCAGAGCTTGTGCTATGGGTACTAGACAACTGATATAAATACATATATACTTTTTTTTTTTGTAAATACATACATATTATACATAGAAACACCCAGACCAAATCAAACATCAAATGTTCATGCACTCAAATGTTTGACTTGAGCGGGAATCGAACCCACAATCGAATATGGTCACATTAATTCCTGTATATGAACTTAATGATGTATGTGAAGTAATTCTGATTTGTTATGACTGAGAAAATTTACAGAAAATTGCCATTTGCCAGACTAACACCTAATTAATATAAAACATGTTTTCACTAAAGCTAAGTAGGTACTTATCATATCCTCTTATATAAAAAATTGAAATTATTTGTGTTCTTTTACTGTTTGCCTTAATAACTCATTATCTAACTAATCAAATAATTAATTTCTTACAATATAATTCTGTAAAAATTAAAATAGCTGAATATTATGGTGAAGTGTAACTGGTTAGGCACAATAATAATAATATTGAAAGCTTTTTTGGAAACTAAAACAAAAATATTATGTGTGAAAATGTCTGCATTAGTATAGAAAACTGTCGTAGCCATTAACGCCATCTCTGGCTATGGGCCTTCAGAGTTCCATCAACAACAATTAATAATATAATGTGTGTGTGTAGAATTTTGGAGGGAAATTTAAATTTGCAGGACCTATTTGCAATTATATGGTTTAGCCATAAGTTCAAGCTTTTCATAATCTAGGGTAGGCAGCCGGGGGTGGCGGCGAGCGCGTTGCGAAGCGCGCTCGCTTCCAGGGAGCAGAGGGAACATGGGGTTCCCAGACGGGGGGTCGTCTACTCGTCTGTAGATGGCCCGAGGTATGTCGGGGCACCAGGGACTTCCTTTCTAGGGTATACCTGGTTCCCCGGCTATTAGTACCCGAGACGGCGTGCGGTTTTATCTGGGAAATAGATACCGTGTCAAATAGCAATTCTGCATACTTGCGCAATATGGTGCTTAGTAACAATGAGTGTCTGACTGAGGGGACCTTACATAGGGCATATAGCTCTCTAGTTTGGGTATGGTATTATGGTTAACGTTTGTATAACGGTGTCACTTAACAAGATTATTGTTCTACATACTATTTTTTTCAATTTAATTAACTGATTTGATTTTACTAAAAAAAAATACAGTTGAATTGAGAACCTTTTTTTGAAGTCGGTTAATTAATATACATTCCTAAAGGGAATTGCTTCTATCCTTTTAAAAATCGTAATGCATTATGGTTAAAATTTGATCATCAGGAGTATTCTAGTGTAATTAACCTATTACCATATAATAAATTAACAGTATTTATAATACACTCTTTTATTTTAATAGTATAATAATCATTAAAACAATTTTTGTTAAGCTACTACCTTATCAAAACTTACAACACTGCCTTTTTAGTCCTCACCCTTCTCATTTTCATGTCAATTTTGAAAATGTGTTTTTGTTCTTTTGAAGAAAAATCCCCGGTGGAGTCTTTGGCCGAGATGGTGAAATGCAGTTGTTTGCGGCAGTAGAACTTCCTGAAGAGCAGCAGGTAGACGAAATACGCAGGTGGGTTTTACAATTTAATCAATTAATAAAAACCTGTGATTGTTTTTTTTTTAATATTTGGGGATATTTTACGGTGTGGCTATCAAACTCAAGTAAAGCAAAGCATGTAATATAGGTTCTAGAACACGTATAAAACATATATAGAATAATCCCGTGACCCAGCAGGACAGTCAAATAAACTACTGCAGCCAAACATTTTATATGTGTCTGGTACTTATCTGATAAACTATTCAAGTACTATGATCTTTAATACTAGACTTATTAATGGTCTGACTTTTCATATCTGTCTATCACTTTCTTAGTCATTCACCCAATTTTACAATGGTGATAAGAAAATTTGCATCATGTCAATGTGTTCAAGGAAAATAATGTAACATAAAATGTAAATTTCGTTCTTCATACTATTCAATTGGTGTTATTGATTAACGTTTTCCTTGAACTATAAACGATTATTTAATTATTTCAGTAACTGCTGCATGTTACTTGGCCTTCACGACTGAAACAGACAAAAAATAACATTATTTATAAACTAATTACAAATCTATATAAAAAAAAATTGGTTTGAGTACAGGCTGCACGCAGCGTACGCTAGTACGCTTCAAAAAATCAAAAAGGTCTGCACAGGTTGAGCTCTAATTTTGACACGATATACAACACGCTTAAAAGATGATTTTTATCTATTTTTTGCAACCACAAAGTGCCACAGCGAAGCGTAGCAGGGTACAGGTAGTATTTAATAATTATAAAGTAGACAATATACAGTAGACATTCGGTGGTGCACGATCCTCGTCTTCGACCCTAGAGAAAATATCCGAAAACCTTCTCCGGTTTTCGGATATTTTTCAGAATAAATCCATGCATATCATGGAACGTGAAAATTAGTACCTATATGATTGTGATTTCAATTTTCTTTATATTGTGAATGATATTGTGAATAATCGTTTGTCCGTTTTAAATTGCGCTAATCTTTGAAACTAGAAATCACGCAACGACCCCTAGGAGCGGAGTAGTCACCATTAAAGCAAAAGAAGTTCCGAGAACCGGTTAGTTTTATATCTAACTAGTTCTCAATTCTACCAACGAATACGAAAACTAGTATATTGTATAGGTTTAGTATACTGGTCACCTGATCGAAACGACTACCGCTACACATGAACGCCTGCAACTCAGGAGTCACAAGCCCGTTTCGGCCTTACGGACATATAATATTAAATGTTTAGTATAGCTGGTCAGTCGAGATTACCAGTTGTTTGATATTAAAATTGGTATCGGTTTTAGTCGACCAATTAAATTAGATTATCATCCTTCTGTCCACAATGTTACCCGGAGACAACCACATCTTCAACTGTTAACAGTTACTATTTTTCTAAATTGAACAGTTTTTCAAAGAATTCCGCGCCTAAACTTCATATGTGTCATAGAAATAATGTTTTTATAACCATTTATTAATATTCATAGTCATCGCTTGAGAGGATTATTATGATTGTTTAAAAAGTAACGAAAAGATCGACACTGAGTGGTACTTTCTAATTCTGTCTTTAGAGCTATACGGTTATTTAGAGGCAAAGAGAATAAGTGAATACCTATTACCTATAACAAAACGTACTTTAATATTTATTGTATTAACCTTAATTATAAAGCAGTCAATGACTGACAGTCATTTTATTACCATTTGTTAAGAGTTCTCACCGTTTCTCAACACAAAGTTGAGCAGTTAAGTACGCATGTACAATTGTTATAATATTTTCTTATTATATTATGTTTATTATTATAAAAGTCGTGATACTCGTGCTCTTGATTTCAAAGAGGGATGTTCTCGGTAATAGCTATACCGTGCACAATATGACACGAGGTCGGGCTTTGTACTCATTTGTCTTCTTACGAATATAAGACTCCTAACGACTGTAAAAATCAGTAAGTAAATAAAAGTAGCTTGTAAGCGAGTTGGTAACAATTTTACACTACCGGGCCTTTGATAGGAATTTGGATGGGTAAGCAGATCATTCTTGTACGCTGTAACTAAAATGCGAAGTAGCTAAAACGTGTAAGAGTGTAGAAAATGTTTTTCAGTTCATAGACATTTTGTTCAAACCAGGCGTAGAGGTTCATACTTGCTAACAGATATTATTATGTGCTTGCTGTCTCTACACGACAGCTGAAGCGCATTAAATAACGAATTACGTCATTATTTTCGGATTTTACAAGAATATATTGTAGAAATGCTAGATAAAAATAATAATATTCCTTTTGAGAAATAAAATAGGGCTATTATTTGTAATGGCTCGTTGATAGACAAAAATTCTGTAGTAGATTTCGTGCGGCTCTAAGCAATAGTAATATATTGATAGTTACAACGTTATTAAATGACCTGTTTTCCTCTGTTGACTTTTATGAGTTACCTAGGACGATAAGCAGTTGCTTTATTACGGTTTATTGACTAGGTTCACAATGTTTACTGTCTTCCTGTCTATATACAAAGCACCTCCCTACTCATGTGTAGGTATGTATAAATATATATTATGTAAATGATACTTTCTCAACTATCCGAATTTGAAATGAATGTTTTTTTACCTACTATTTTTGGTAAACTCATTATTTTGAACCAGAGTAACTTGTTCTCTGTCTGCAGCGATCTCTACGTCTTTTTTGTCGCGTCACCACAAAGATATCTGGACAATTTTGTACAGGTACATTCGACTCAGCAGCTAAGGTACTCGTCAAATTACGAGTTGGCCAAACAGTGTTTGGCTATGTCCGACAAATTCTCTCTTTTTTTAATAAATTCTCTGACAGTACTGTCCTCGGGCCCCTTTTGGTTTGTTTGTACCAGAGCATTTTCACCTCACTTAAACCACTGTACCTTCTACCAATCAAATATACAAATATAATAAATTGCTAAAGACTTAAAATATATTGTAGTTAATATGCATGAATGTATTAGGTGATAATATACCGTTTTGTTGCGAACTGTATCTGGTATAGGAGTCACAATACACAAGTATTATGGATAGGAACAATGGTTGTTTATAGAACACCCGACCTGAATTTTGATGCGCGTACGCTTCTAACGGTGCGCTTCGGTTGCCATGGGGTGACAAACATGATAAACATAGTGTACCATAGACATAATACCGTGATATTCATATAGGAGTTTCATTTTTTTAGTCACAAAGATAGGTCATACCTTTGTGAAAGGCTGAAATATGATTTCGCTGGTAATGTCATTTAATTAGTTTCGAAGCAGCGGTTAAGCAGACATCCGAATGATCTACCTCTTTTGTGTTGCCTAGCAGTGTTGTTGTTATTCAATTTTTAAGACATGTTAACTGCTTTATGATGGAAGTTACGGATACATTTTAACGTAAGGTATAGGTATAAAATGTATTAATTAAAGGTGTCGCTAACTTAATTTTTATTTTTTATGTGTATTTTTAGTCAGTCACTCAGTTTATCTCTATTCTTTTTTTCAATTCCTCTGTTATATCACTTACCGATATGATTGTAGAGGCATTAAATTAATTGATTTATTTAATTACTTAAGTAAATTTTTGTTTCTCAATACTAGTGAACGTTTTTAGCGTAAACCAGAGATTGTAGCATCGTAAGCCTGTTTATAGAGAAAGCTCATCTGATAGACGGATAGATTGTGTTCATCGCGGAGAGACCTTTGCAGGTTAATTTTATATGTTCGTCGTAAAACAGGTTCATAAAACTCGAGCGTATGTAGCATCCAATAATGGTGATGCGCAGTCGTACTTGTGATATTCTTAGGACAAGAGACCGAAATGTGTATGTAAGTTTTTCTGCTGTGTGGCACGCTAAAAAATAGAAAAGGTGTATAAAGTTGATACCCAGTTTACCATTACGTCTTTAGAGTTCACGTCATTCATAGCCAGACACTTGGTGGTTATGGTGGCAAGCCTACACTAGACTACCTTAAGGTATGATACTTGTTATTTTACTTAAAGCTGAATTTTCTTCAGTAACTATTGAAATATGTTTTTCAAGTAGCCATACATACGATTTGGTTATTATCGAGAAGTTAATTTAAAAAATATATTAAAACACGGGCTCTTCGACTACCTCAGTACAACTGAATGCATCGAGTGTGAAGTACCCGTGCTCGATCAACCATTAAGTGCCTTTAGCCCATTTGGGAATACAAGCATGACCCGTTTTCGGTTGCATGCATGCCCTAATAAATTTAGGTAATCGTCGTTAAATGTACCCTTTATTGGAACTAACTAAGAAAATTGTGTCTATTGTATCTGTTCAGTCTTAAGAGATACGACAAAAGTTGTTGGTTTAATACAGGGAATATGAGGTGTAATAACATAGCTTTTAAGTATTCGGCATCTTGTAAAAGTAATATCAGTGACGCCTACTACATGGCTCTAGAAAGTTCAAAAGACCATTTCTCCACTACAACCACTCAACTATGAAGGTTTTGATAGAAATGATAAGCCTTCTTAGTTTAATATAAGGTTCTACAGCAACGCTTTTGGCAAAGCTATACTTTTACTTTATCATCCTTACTTTTGACAAAAACTAATCAAAGAAATCACACCGCATATGGTGTGTCTTACAGATATATATTTTTTTAGTTCATCATCATCAACAGCCATAAATACTACTGCTGGACATAGGCCTCTCCTTAGAAAGGAGGTTTTTGGCTACGATTCTTGTTTTCGATAACGATGTTTCAATGTGCATTACCTTTGTTAAAATAAAAGTCGGTAACCGTTGATAGGCAGTCAGTTTCTACATTTATGTAGTTATTGGCCTCTGTGCCATTAGAAAATTCCTAGTGAAAAAGCGGTCAGATCTATCAGAGTATGTGCGTATTTTTATTCTACCCATTATTGTTCTATGTGTTTATAAGAGACGAACTACGCGACTTAGTACGTAACCTGACACATCGTATAATCAGAACATCACATTGAACGTATTAGTGTAATCCTATTCACGCGTTAACCAGTCGCTGGCCAGAGCGTATACAATAGTAGCTGTTGTTGTTCAATCCTATGCATTGATACCAATCATGTTTTGTATGTAGGTCTCGTCTGTTATTCTGTTTAAGATTCGCTACAATTGCGGTGTTCAACTTTATCAGCAGTATCAAATAAACTCTTTCGTTAAACAATTGCTGTGGGTGATAAGGATTGTCTTCTGTTTATACATAGAGTTGTTGTGACGTATTATATCATGTATTGTACGTATTGTATTGCATTCACTACTCAAAATCGATTTGTGAATGATCAGTTTTTCGGACCTCTGTGACTTGCAAGTGTTGCCTCCTAAAATATATAAAAGAAAGTTTTTTGGAGGATAATAAAATACTTTAAAAAAAGTACCGCTCCTAAGGATGGAAAATTAAGAGACAAAGAATACACTTAATTACAATTTAGTATGATGCAGGTGCAATAAAGTAGTAGACTTTTTTAAAAGTGTTAATGATCCGAACATACACGCTTAGTATTTTAATCGAACAAATGTCGCGTCACCTTTATTCTGCCGTGAATAAAGTTAGGGTCAATAACCTCTTCCTCGTTTTTAATTGTTTCGTTATAATTAGGTCAGTTTACAAATAAACACTACAACTATTATATTATTTTAATGAATTTCCTGTATTGCAATTTGTGGACTTTGTATGATTATTCTCATAATGGTAAGCTACTTTTAATGCCTATAATTTTATTTGTAACAGAATGTACTATGGAATAAATCATTCTTATATTTAACGTACAATAGAACTTTTGTTTCTAGCACTATATTCTGTGATATATGATATTCCTAGGTTATAAAAAAAGTGAGTTATCAAAAGTAATAGTTCCTAGTTCCTACGAGTTTCAAACTTAAGCGATTAAAAGTAAGTCGTACTACATTTTAATTATATAGTGAAAACAGTTAGTTGGATTTAATTGGCCTGGTAAAAAGCACACAAATACGCAGTAATGATGAAACTTAACCCTTTACAATTCGATTTTTCCTTAATAATAATATGGTTACAGTTATTTCTTTAAAGAACAATGGCGGGGCGGGTCTTCAAACAAAAATATTTGGAAACAGATTGTTGTAAAAATATTAAAAAAAATCTGCTTTTTTTAGAATCTATGTGTAAAACAATTTTTGTTTGGGAAAGGTTAGGAAATAAGATATTATAGCATTTAATTTTTACACGCTTTATATTATTTAGTTACGTACCTACTGCATTTTTTTCAAAGTCTTTTATAACATAGCTGCCTAATGTTTCCTTTATTTTATCAGTTTATCTATGGCTATCGAATTTTCAAATTGGTTTTTGTATTGCTTTACATAACCATTTTGCTGATTATAACTGTATGTGTGCCCTTTAAATGAAATAAAAAAAAGATAATAAATAATTATTAGAGCACTAGCTTTAGAACTTTCTTAGGTTATATTTTAATGTCACTTTTAATGCGTCTGATGCATGTAATATATAATAATCATCTTATACTTATGTAGATCTACATATATAATATCCAAAAAGTAGAGTTTCCTTTTCCTTAATTTATTACCTATTTCAACATGTAATGAATTGTAAATTCTAAACGTCAACTAATATAGGTAAACGGTCGCGTCAGACGTTTAGTCTTTATATTTAAACACAGAGCTCAAACGTCTGTCAAGAATTGTCAAAAAACCTTTGCTGTTTTCAGATTGCAGTTGCCACTTATATTCCACTTAAGAATTTTCAAATACGTAAATAATGCGTTTAATAATGCACCACAAAGTACATTCTTTATTGACTCAGTACTTACAATCATAAAACTATTATCTGATTACCATATTACTATTAAGTGATTACCATATTACGACACTTTATTGGAAAGTATTTCCATGTCTGTAAAATGGTAACACTAAACTGATAAAGGACATTAAAATAATAAAAAAAGCTTATAATAAGAAGACCCAAAATGTGTCTTGGCCGCCAACGTTAAAGAGCGTCAGTCCTTCCTGTTCTGTGCCATGCGTTACCTTTGGAACGGCGCGGGCGGCCGGTGGGTAGACTCAAATGCCGCTGGAAAGATGAGGTTGCCAAAGATTAGATCTTTCTCAACCTTGAGAGATGAATATTCTCGATCAGTCTATAAGTGAGAAACTCCTAATTTACTAATTAAAATTATTATTATTATTGAAAATAATTTAGTTTATTAGAAAATGAAGCACTTTCGATGTGAAAAGAAGGTTGTCTGCTTTATACTAGTTTAAACTACTAGTAATAAAAGTTACACAATAAATCATCAATCTTAAGTATGTATATTTAATGTATTTTTTATTATATTTTTTAAATCTTTATCTTTTATTATCTTTAATCAAATCTTCAATAATATGAATTGCAAAGTTAAATTTGTCCCACTTCCTAGAATAATAATAGTCTTTATGTAATTATTCGCTAAAATTTCATAAGCGATATAATGTATTACATAACTTATATTTTTTTATTAAACAATAAAATAAAATTAAGAACTGTTGTTAGTCTCACTTTCTTTATTTAAATAACATAAATAACTATTCATATATATTTGGAAAGGCTGCTACATACCTACATAAATGGAATGTGGATAATTTCGCATATACCGACAGTGCATTTTTACTTCAACTTTTCTACATGACATGACACACATTCACGTCTTATTCTCACAGGGGTAGACAAACGCGTATTAGATGCCCACATTTTACCTAATATAATTTTAGTCCTACCTTCGTAACAGTGGAAAAGCATATTGCCGTTCCTTCTTTTCAAAATATTTCTGGTATATTCACATGCATCTATATTTTCCATTCATTCTTACGGTTCATTACAATCTTAAAAACAATAAAGAAAACGTTTTGGGATAAAAAAGAAGAAAGCAGTCAGTAACGTGCCCCAAAGTGGACGATATATCATACCCATCCGCATTATTTGAGACCGCAATAGTTAGTTGAAGGTACTTTCTCTTCTGTCTTCTTTCGTTAGATTTATTGACGACCTTAACCACGCACGCGGAATCAACGAAATCTAGACATAAGTAGACTACCTGTTAATTTCAATCTTTTTTTTAGTGGCTTTAAAAATATATTATGTAGGTGTGGCTTTAAAAACGATGATATCTTTTATTTATAAAATGTATTGTCAGGAATCTTACATCTTAATTTACTAATTTATTGCTTAAAGTATCTGATATTTCAGTTTTAATAGTTGAATGATATTTTTCAAAGTATAATTTATTGTTAAACAACTGAAAAGAGCAATTCTAGAAGATAATTTGAACAGAGTTTTCTGTCTTTAGAATACAATGTACCTTATTTTCGTTAAGGAAGCGAGTCTTGACTTGCAAAAAATTTAATATTTTATTATATAGTTTACAATAATTGAACTAATAATTTATTCTTTGAAATTATGATTAAGTTTAACGTATAAACTATCATGATGTTAATTTATTACAATAGAAGCGAATTTATATTTGAGAATGTTAGTGGGGCTATCCGGATTTTGGCCTTGTATGATAGTGATGTGCCAGATATCCGTATCCGTATCCGCGGATATCCAAGGGAGAAGAGAGATCCGTAACCGTATCCGTATCCGTGACTTTTTCGGCGGATCTTTCAATACATAGATGAAATTCTATAAAGGTGATTTTGTATTCACTGTAAAACTCTTAGGTATGTGCTTGTAACACTATAAACAGCAACTTTGTCTCTGGCCAACGTCAAAATGAAAAAAAATGGTCCTCCATTCAAATGACCAATCAAATGTTGTTAGTTTGTATGGAGAAACAATTTTTTTTCTTAGTTTTCGGTGTTAGTCCAGAAGAAAAGTTGTTGTTTATAATCTTACTAATATGCACATAAGAGGTTTTCAGTAAATTTAAAATAACCCGGAATAATGGTTATTAGGTAGCTATGAAAAACTATTGAATTCTGTTCAGATTACTTTTTATTTCTTAAAACAAATATTTGGCACCTTTGTATTGCAATCATTTATCGTACTACGCTAAATCAACTAGGCAGGTCGCAGGTACTGAAAGAGCTATCTTTATAATGAGATCAATCAAACATCTTTGTATTAGCTTATTAAAATAATGAGATATTTAAATATCAACGGCAAAGCGTCAAGTAGCGACAACTATCAAGGTCACGGGCTCCGATTGAGTAAGAAACTTAAGATCCGTATCCGTATCCGCGGATCTTGACACCAAATATCCGTATTCGGATCCGTAACGTAATCCGTACTTTGTTAACGATCCGGCACATCACTAGTATGAACATATCGCTACTGAGAGAAGTAAAACTATCCCTAAACTACTTTTAAGTCTACCATATTGTAACAATACGATACGGTTGATGTAAAGTTTTTGACTCAAAAAAAAAAACTGAAAAAGAGACATTAACCGCAGTATCCAAGTAAACAACGTTTGCAGTTTGAAAAACGACCTTGCATTATCTCTTAACTTTAAATTTTAATGTATCCATCCTGTTAAGAAATAAACTTCTTATTGACTTAAGTTTATATTTAAATACCGCCAGGCGATGCCGAAAATCGATCGAAGTGGCGTGCAATAGTAGAGGCCTATGTCTAGCAGTGGACGGCGATAGGCTGATGATGATGAAGCTTTGTAAGAAGAATTGAGGCTGGATGTTTCTGGTGCTGGAGGTGCTTAAAGTCAAAAAAGCAACGCACCAGTAATTGTCATAAACTAGAAGTAACATTGTACGTTGTCGACAGACTGCTTCTATCACTGCCGGTGTGCACGCAGAGACTGTTGGTGCTACTCTTCGGCACGTTTCGGGTAATGGCTTCAAATGCTGATAAAGCAGGTTTGTAATATATTATATTCTCTTAGTTTTAAGGTTTACAGGCTGGGAGAGAGTCATCATTTGCAAAGGATGCGGATGACGAAACTATCCTAGAGTATTTCCTATGGATCGTTAATGTATTAAACCTATGTGCGATACACCAATGCGATAAATTGCACTTTACGGGTCTGGAGATGTGCAATACTGAGAATTTGGCCATAACTGTCACGGATGGAAAAAATGGTGTCCATATATGGCGACCTTGATATTTGTTCTTTGTAAATATAATCAATCATAATCAAATCAAAGGGTCAATGTTACACTGTGTAATCTAGTACTACTAGTGGTACCAGCGTATACAGTGTAAACATCAAAGTCTTTTATCGATCCAATATCGATGGTGTTCGAAATTCATGTTATGAAATAAACGAAGTTTACTTCAAAGTCAATAACTGCAAATGCGTGACTATAACAAATTTACTCAATTTTATAATTGTTAAAAAAAAACCTGGTAAATTAATGTTTTTTTTTGCATTTTAGTTATTTATCTTATGATGGATACTTTGGATACGTTAAATTTAACATGATATAAGTGTACACGAACATATAGCGGCGTTTTGCGGTGGCCAAATGAAATTAATTAGTGGTAATTATGCCAATTACACGCAAGCTTGCGTGGGAGCACATGATGCAACATTCATTGTGCGATTATTTAATCTTTCTTTTGAACGTCTCAGTGGATTATTTGCTGGCCTAGTTTATTATGTGTGACGTCTTCGCTTTAGTCGCTCTACGCGTTGCCTTTTTGATCTAATATATTATTAATATTGAATATGTGGGTCATTTTAGATTCCGCGAAGACACGGATCGGTAGGAAATGTGACTGTTTCCCTTCAGTGCAAAGTATACAAATATCTTTAAAAACGAATGTTTTTGTAAAGTTTTATAGAAAATATAAACGATTCTTAAATGTTCTGTAAACAAAGCTAATTTGCATAAAATTGATTTGGATACGATGTTTACTATAGTGAGCTATTGGTTAAGGTCGAGCTTAGAAATCGATACAAGCTTATAGCAGTTAGTTTGAGTTGATTTTTAATTTAGTCTAACATTTGCCTTCCGGTATGAGAGAAGACCCGTGGCTGTAGTGATATAAGCAATATTGCACAATTTTATTTAATGCACCTTACAATACTAGTTTTTTTTACTTCTGGCAAAAATTATTTCTACATCCATATTCTAATAAAACCCTTATTAGTTTGTAACTCGAGCGAGGCATTTTGATGTGTTACTTGGACATCTAGTTTATAAAATTAGTTTTAAGTGATAAATTGCTATTAACATTGTAGTGGTAAGTCGATGTCAGTTGATGTTTACGTATTTTAGTATACATTTTCAACTAGTTATAATTGCAACCCAGATAAACAACGGTCTCTGCCAAGTGGTCTCTCTTGTAAAACTTGTTCAGCTGTGGATATCTTAGTCCTGAAGGAAAGAAGGAGGGGTGCTTATTATGCGCTCGTGTCCCTTTTTACTTGTAAGGTTTCATTGGACAAAATGGCCGCCGCGTCGCCGACGCCGAAAAAAGCATCGTGGACGATTGTTCACCTTCATATACGGTATTCGTTTCGCAGTACTTATATTGGGTGTCAGAACTTTGGCATAATGCGACGTGCGTCTGTTTGTGCGTCATTGTCAGTCACAATTATGTTAAAAAAATGCGATTTCTATGTACCAAGCGCTTGAAGAAACTACTTTTTCATCTGTGATCTACTTAACTTTTACGTCTATGAATTTAGTACATTAAAAATGGAGTTTCCGTTTGGCTTGGTATTTTCGAATTTTGAGTTCTTCTTATTATGTATGTATGAACTTTTTAAGATAGTGCAGATTCGTGGAACTGTCTGCACATAGTTTCGTGAATCAGGTATAACGACGTCATGGCCCTCACGCCTTTGTTAATTGTACCTTAAAAATCAATACGGTAATTAGAAGAAAAATACACGAGGGACCGTTGAAATTTACCACTTTTTCTCATTAGTAAAAGCGGAAATCAGAGGATACATATTACACACATCACATATGCCATCGCGTGGAATTTGTAGTTTAAGCATGTATTAATATCTGAAATACTCAACTTATAAAAAACAGTAATTGACTCACTGCTGCTTTAATCATGATAATTTGCCGCTAAAATAGTTCTTCAAACGTTCGATAATTAGATAGAACTAGCTAGTTGAACGACTTCACCTTTTTAAATGAGGACGCGATAAAGTAATCATGCATTGTTTCTTCAGTTTTAGGAAGTAGAGTAATTGACAGTCTATTCTGTAACTTTTATTGATAAATATTCTGGAACACATTGTTCGATTATATTTTTGTAAGGCGGACGTCCTTAAGTGCCGGTTCCATACAAATTTGAAAATCCTTCGCGAGGGTGAAGAATTTACGAGTACCAAAGTGTTAAATTCGGTTGTACTTTTCAGGAATTCAGGAGTTACAACACACTAATTGTTGTGCTTTATAGTATTAAAATAACTACTGAATGTAGCACTCATTTATTGTATCCGTTTGTTATGCAAAGAGAAATTAAACGTCAAAAATATCATGCAGGTTGTTAATCTCATTAAAAAAAAACAAAACTTCTATAAGACTCCTAAATATGCTTGGGAGTAATAATATCTCTCTTCAACATCATATTATGAAGTTCACAGGATCATGGGTTGATTACAAACTGACTTTGTTAAATTAGATGCGAAAGCTTCCACTAAGTACTTAGTTATCTACTTAGTTAGATGTAGTTAAGCTTAATAATGAACACGAAATCTATTTTGATATAAACTAAACACACTCTCATATTGTTTCTAGGTACAGGTATGACATCCGAGGCTTTGGGTGTGTCGGTTGCCCCATCATTTTTCCACTCTTGCGTGTCCGACGGCAAAACAGCAACAATGGAGGACGTACAGAGATTCAAGGTCTGTTCACTCATTATCTGTCATATGTCACGGTACAATTCTATCATATTATGATTTAATCGGGCGTATTATAATATTTATTTGTAATCTATTAGTAGGTGCGTGATAACTTTAGAATGAATACTGGATGCTAACGTTTGTGTGCGCATTTGCCCAAGTATTGTACCTACATTATCTTTGATGCTTGATCAGTAATACTAGTTAAAGCATATCAGTCAATCAATTCAGTTCTTTTTGCGAGTACAGGTATACTTACTAAAATATTTTGAAGTAACATTAATATCTACTATATTGATGGAATACAAATATAACATATGCACTAAAATGGATACTACTTGGGTGTTTGAAACGGATAAAACAATAACTATCAAAATTTGTCCAGCAATTTGGAAGATACGAGGTAATAAATAAATCATAACCCTTTCTTGGCAGTCGGGTAAAATATAAGAATTATACATTCAGTTACAATATATGTAAACTATATTCTAACCATTTTAATAAATTTTAAATTACACTTAATAAATTTTGGAAAATATTAGATTTCTATTACGTCAAACATTACTCGTATATATTAATAAACATTAAATAATAACAACTTGAATGTACGCCCTCTTTATAGTGGAATTTGTGTATCTGTAGTTCTGAAAGTGGTCTAATTTATCGGTTGACATTTACATGTACTACAGACTCAAACAGAGTTGCTCATTCTACAGTTATCGTGTTAAATTTCTAATGAGATATTGATTCCTTTGTAAGTCCAGTTTGTTGATTCGTTTCCATGGTTCTGTGCATGGGTTATGTATTGCGATACGTTCTTGTCCATGATTCATATTTGAGTGACCTACTAGCACCTATAATTACTATTGAAATATGAATAATGTTCATCAACGACAATGTTGTTTCTATGACTAATAGCATTGCGGTCAGGGTTTTGGTTTTAATAAGTACTATATTATAAAATTAAAAGTTTAAATAAGAATATATAAATTGCGATAGTTTTTTATCGTTGTCTGAGATGTTAAGTGTATACTTTATATGCTAAGGAATACAATCGACTATTAAAATTCTCTCAGGGAAAAGTAATTCTTACAAATAGTGTTACATTCAGAACCGCAGTAGATTAACTACCATATAATATATGGTTTAAAGATATGTCATAATTTACTACAGTTAATGTGTACAGACGGGAATACGAGTGCGCTTTGTAAAATGATACTGTCTGTTGTTCACTAACTATAACTGGTGCACCCTTATCGTCGATTAAACATATCGAGTTTCGGTGTAATCACCTGATGTGGACATGTGTTATGTAGCTGTGTGTCGCTATTCGGTATACATTTTTCATTTGATGAGTACGTTAGCATGCGATTTGTGCAATTCAACTATCCCATTCGCCCATTTGGCCATTCGCGTTAACTATAGTGCGAGTATATCTGTAGCGACTTGCTATAGATGTAGTATAACTACATCAAGTGGACTATAGATGTAGTTATAAGTAAGTAATCATGTGACATATTCGAGATTAAGAGAATTTTCAGAGGCTTTGAGTTGCCATCTTATCCACAAGAAATAACTTTTATAGGGTTACTGAAAAACTTTTCTACAAACGCTGATAGCTTTACTCCAATTTACTTACTATAAGGCTAACGGAAAATTCATTCCGGGGGATTGAAGTATAAAAAATCAATATTGGAATTATTGACGCTCCGTTCAACACATTAATTTTGCATAGTGACTTTGAATTTTGTATAGTTTTCAAATTTAATATAAAGAAGTTGTCACATAATCACGTTAAATCTTATGGACTCTAGCGGCCAATATTAGTCGGAGCCGCTGAAAGTCGTTCTCCGGTTTTGTGCACAAGTGCACTAAAGAACAATTGAATGTTTGTAATCTTTTCAGAGCGTATTCTCTAGAAGCGTGTGGGATGAATCTTGGTCCATTTTTAATATCGACTATACAACTTTCTTTATATATGCTTTTATTCCTGGTGCCTTTTTGTCCGAAGAATTAGCCAGGTGTGTAATAATTAGTGTCCGTTAGCGTTAGGTCCTTAATTGATAAACGTGCGGTTAAAGAAATACGAAACATAATCTCCTTATCGCAAAGTAAGTCTGTAAAGACTTTTTTATCAGTAAAGTCGAGTGGGATTCTAATAGCTCTCTCTTATCTGATACAGAGAGTTAAATTTAACTATTATCTTGATTCGAAATCACTTTTCATGCGAAGCGACGTATGTTTTCTTATATTATTATTATATTTGCTCATACTTGATGATTGTTCTTTGTAATTAGATGAAACCAGGAAATATCTAAGATGTAATAAGCCTGCATATAATTTAACTCCCTGAAAATTGACAGCCATTTTAATATATTGCCGTTTGATTCACTTTGTTAAGTTCGTTGCTTTGAAAGTACCTCTCTGCAACCGGAGATTGGCCATTTGTTCCATATGCCAGGCGTAAACAGTTTTAAGACCTGTATTTCTTAATCCAATGCAATTCTAACATACACTATCGCTGACGGATCAATAAACTCATGGGAAATAAAGGAAAGGTCGATAAACATTCGACTTTCGGAGGTAACTATTTGTATTTTATGAGATTTGATGATAGACATTATTTATTTGCATATTTAAAAGTTCAAATATGTCGATGAAACGACTTGCAAAAGTTTCTGTTCGCTTATTGCATAGTCGTGATATCATCGTTAGGATATAGGATCCTACTTGATTAGCTTCCTTGTATCAGAGATCTTAGTTACGACGTTTTTTCATTAAAATTGCAAGTTACCGCCTCATACTAAGGGGTATACACATAAAAAAGGACATTTGTCAAATGATTACACCGAATCTTAATACGTTTATTTGTAATATGTGTACAGCATTTTATCTCTTGGAATTTACGAATGCGTTGAATAGTGTTTTGAGGATAAATAATATGTTTTTATTAAATTTAAATATTTTGACAAGTTGTACTGCTCCTATACATATAAGGCATTTGCGCATTCGTTAATTACAAGAATTGTACATACATATAGCTTGTACTGTGTTCACTAAAATTGTTTATAACATGCGGCAAAAGGCTGAGGTTTGCGTGAGTATCATTTTTATGCAACGATACACTTTCCATCACACTACTTGTGTATTAATTAACTAGATATAATTTGCTGTTGCTATACTTTCGTTACCGGCTTCGTGTATTTTTTTGCCGTCACTATAGCATACCTTTTAGACAGTTTCGCTTTCAGTAGTTACATTTGTAAAATCCAGGTTTAGGTACATTATTTTAATAATAAAAATGTTTATTAAGCAAAAACTCTAGGTGTTTTAGAAGGACGATTACATTACGGCCGGCTAGAAAAGAAAAAGTCAAAATGATTTCACAATGAAATGAAGGAGTTCTTGTAAGAGGATGTCCCCGAATAAATTTGGGAAAAGGGCAGGAAGATGATGATGATGTTTAGATACAGTCTGTGAATTATTGTCGGTATGACATTTAAAAAAAAAAAAGATCGAAGTTGCGTGCGATAGGAGGTGCCTGTGTCCAGCAGTGGACTGCGATAGGCTGATGATGATGACATTAAGATATAATTACATGGTACATAAATCCTACAAAAGTGATGTTATCTACATAACGATACAGTCAGTATCTGTTTTTTGAAAGGTGAAAGTATAAGTTTTAAAGAGATTAGATTACGAGTATCGTGAACGAATTAAAGAATTAAAAAACCAGTAGGTGCTCTTTTAAGAACTTAGGTCATCATTTATTCTATCCTATTGTATAACGGCTTTACGGGGCTTTGAATAGAATTCTTTACCGTTGTTGTCTCTATTACTCATATTTCTTCGAGTGATAAACAGGATTATCATTGGACATGCTTTATGAAATAATTCTCGTGTCAACGCGTCATAAGTGATGTTATGACGAAAATATGTCTTCAAATTAAATAAGACGTGGAATAGCGACAATTCATAAATACGAGTAACAGGTAAGGGATGAATGACCTTAGGTGAACATAAATGAACCAGATTTTGGGTAGGTTTTAGATAATCTCACTGAAGTTTTATGTAAAAAACATTAACATACTACTAACGGGTGTCCCAAGAAGAACGCAATTTTTAAATTTTAAATAAAACACAGATATGTAAAAAAAAAATCGTGAAACTTTATTATATCGTAAAGTAGACAGAATGAGGTTATGTATGGAACAATATATCGTGCAGATGGCCGCCGCGGCTTTGCTGGCATGCACGCGATCTTTTAATGAAATTTTCAATGACCGTTTTGCATGAATGATGCGGTATTTCATTAATGCAGCGTCCAATTTCCTCTTTTAAGGCTTGAGTCGTCGTCGGCTTATTCGCGTAAACCATCGACTTCAAAAAACCCCAAAGAAAAAAATCTAATGGTGTTAAATCGCACGATCTAGGCGGCCAATTCTGATCTCCAAAACGCGAAATAACACGACCGGGAAATGACTGATGCAGCAATTGAATTGTTTCTCTGGCTGTATGACATGTGGCGCCGTCTTGTTGGAACCACATGCCCTCCACATTCATTTCTTCAATTCTAGGCAAGAAAAAACTGGTTATCATTTCACGATACCGAACACCATTGACTGTTTGCGCTTGACCTGCCTCATTTTCATAAAAAAAAGGTCCAATGATTCCTCCAGCCCAAAAACCACACCACACAGTGACACGTTGAGGATGCATTTGCTTCTCGTGAATCACTCGAGGATTTTCCTCACCCCAAATGCGACAATTCTGCTTATTGACGAAGCCATCAAGATGAAAATGGGCCTCGTCACTGAAGATGATTTTATCGGCAAAATCAGCATTTTCATGTTGTCTCTCCAATACCCAATTAACGAACTCCCTTCGCTGTCCATGGTCAGCTGGCTTCAGTTCCTGAGTCAATTGAACTTTATATGCATGAAGATGCAAATCTTTCGTCAAAATTCGCTGCAAAGTGGATTTGGAGACACCAATTTGCTGAGCTCGGTGTCGAATTGAGGTGGATGGAGTTTGAGCGACATCATCACGTACAGCTGCGACATTTTCGGTCGAACGACCTGGTCGATGGCGCGTTGTTGTCTTTACATCACTAACAGACCCAGTTTCGGCAAATTTATCCATTAATCTCTTTACAGTTGACTCTTTTGGAGCATTATTGCGACCCCAAATTGATCGCAATTTGCGAACTGTAGCCGCAAAACTTTCACTATTTTGGTAAAACAATTTCACAATGAGAATGCGTTGTTCATTCGTGTAGCGCTCCATTTTTACTAACCTCGTACCTTCTACTAGCAAACAATAACAATTGTTCAAATGTCAAACAATGACACTTCGAATGTTGCCAGATTTAAAAATTGCGTTCTTCTTGGGACACCCTTTATACATAGGTCTTGATAAATGTTGACCTTATCGTCTTCAAATTTTAACCTTTCTATGAAGGAACAAATGCTCTCTAAGGTTGATATGTCTGAAAAATTACACTTGCCAGAATAGACTTTTGCCTCGAAGTTAAGTGACTGAAAATTGATATCCTCCAGGCTCAGGTTATGTAGAAATATTTTAACATTGAGATGATATGCAGGGTAACTGAAAGATAGTATTTCCTGGCAACCTGGATTATGAAAAGTTTGACAGGCAAGTGTCCTCCTTATTAGCGATCACTATTGTTATTAGGCACACTATTTCAGTGTAAGGCCGGCGTCATCAAATATATGGATAATCCTATTTTTTTGCATTTCGAACCAAGCTTTGAATTAAAAGCTTTAATCTTGAGTTATTGAGAAATAAAAGGATGTGATTAAAAAAAGAAAGCTTATGCTGATAGTAGTTACTTCTGGAGATGATACGGATAGCTGATACCATATACCCACTCAACCAACTCTAGACCTGCAAAACTCCGGTTGCCGACTAACCGTCCGAACTTTTTCCACTACCAGAGTTTGCTGCCTTAAAAAAATCGATGAAACTAAGCAAAAAGAAAAACAAAATATAGTAAATGTACTTAGGTATCCGGCTAGATAGGCCGGACAAGGCTGGTTCGACCGAATACCGAATATACTTTTCATCTATCTAGTTATAAGTCTAGACCGTGTGCTGACGACTGCTCTCTTTCTAACAAGTGGAAAAAATAACTGGGCAAATTTTATACTATATTTAGATACTTACAACAGATAAAGTAACACAAGTATGTAAATTGAATCTTTACGAAAAAGTTTTTAATCGCGCTGATTTCCTATTAATCCTGTTCACACGTAGGTACTTTCTTTTTGTGTTTATTTTGGCAATGACTTTGATTTAACACTGCTTTGATGGATACTATTTGGTGGATAGGGGACGGGCTCTTATAAAATGCCAACCAATTCCAACAAGAGAAATAACATAGATACTTAATAAAAGATGATTGTGGTATAAATCAGGCTCATATCTTTAGTATCGTATTTTTTTACAATCTGTTTTCAGTATTGAAGCATCTGGCACACTAATTAAAATTCACGGCAACTTATGAACATTAGAACTCACATTGTGCTATTTCTTCACAGAATACTACCGTTGTTCCTTATCAGCTCTTCACTAGCATCACCTATTTATTTTTTCGACCCCTTCACTGATAAGCTTGATTCATGGATTTTTTGTTACTCACTTCCTGCGTATCGTTGACTCATGTACCCACTTAATTGTGTTAGCTTATTTGTAACACCTTGCATAAGTAGTTATAAGATTAATTATGTTTGCCGAATATACATTTTATTAATAAGAAACTGGTTTTCAAAACGTTAATACATTAACTAACATTAAAAATCAATAAAAAACACATAGACTGTGCAACGCTTTTTAATAGTGAGACATTGTGGACCGTTAATATTTCTATGATTACCAGTCCTCTCTTAATTACCATAGATATAGGCGTGGGTGTATGTTATTAAATGACGAATTTTGCTGAATTCATTTGAAAAATCGGCAATAGCCACTTCTCAATACGGTTATGCGACCTGGATCCTGCTCGAACTACTGAACCCCTTTATTCCTTTGCCTCAAAAAATACTGCATCCGCCTGCCTTTAAGTGTATATGTCTACCTAAAAGGACCCACTTGATTGCATGTATGTAATTATGTATGAATGTATATGCTTGAACTGTCTATCTAAAAGTCGTTAATTTAGAATATTGGCCCTAACGCTACAGCCGTGTTGTGTATATAGGCAGTGTAATTTGGCGTAGATTATGTTAACACTTTGCACAGTCTGTGTTGTCTAACAGTTGTTAAGCAAACCTAAAAGTTGGTAGGACGTTATGATAAAACATGATTACGAAAGTGCCTACACCATTCTTATTTATGGTTAAGGTCTAAAGAATAATCCCAACTCTAAAACTAGGTGTTCCTGCGTCTTGGGAGTTGGTGTTCTGCCGTCACAATGATGAATTTATACAAAAACATTGAACGTAATCTTATGAAAGATATTGCATGTTGCAAGTATTGTTATTGTTCATTAGTGTAAATAATAGATTTCGTTATTTAACCTCCGTAGGTAAAGTTCCAAATTTAAAGAATTCTTCATAACTTTTTTTCTAACCCTTTTCCGCTTATATGTGTAGGTTGCCACACGGATCATGCGTCAACTGATCGAGCAGTTCAGCGCTGGAGATCTTTTTGGTCGCGACAACTATGAGTACTACGCAAGAGTCACTGGGCGCATTCTGCGGGTCAAAGACGAGTGGATATGTTCGTTTAGAGACCCACCCCCGCCCCGTCACCATCGCGACCAGGAGGCGTATGCTAGTACGTACATCATGACTAGCGATTACATTAACTGTTCCTTTGCAACGTAAGGGCTTACACTAACAAACAGCATTTTAAAAAATATATATAAAATTTGTTTCCATACTCGTTCAATCAAGGCTTTTGTATTTTCCAAATGATGAATGAATTTAGAGTATGAATCAACTCTTTTGATTTCTAACAAAAACGCTATTCTTTTCACCAGAATAATCGAATACTGCACTTTGCTATGGAAGGTCATCGTTTTACTTGATAAACAAACAAATAATTGTCGCAACCTTTTGTCAACCAAATACGCCAAATTTTAATTATTGTAGAAAGATATGTATACATAATTATGTTTATTTTAAATACATGGGAAAATGATGGACAGTTGTGTGTTTTATAAAACACGGAAATTGACACTCGTGTTGTGAGAAGGACGTGTCACAACACTCATTGTTCGCAACGGTCGTTGCTGTGCCATGTCAGCGGCGGACAAATTTATTCGAGATAGAAACGTTGCGGCGGATGTTTTAGTGAAGGACTTATGGAATTGACTTTATGATTATAAAATTTGTATGTGAATTCTATTTTTTACAAGCCTCATAAACTATATTTACTGTACTTAAATACTTCAGAAGGGAAAATACAGCACTTTTAGAATTACCTTTCTATGTAGGCGTTTTGTGTTGCAATTTACGACATAGGTACTTCCCCAAGTAGTCGTGTTAGAAAAATCTACTTGAGCCGTTAAGAAACAGCAAGGCTTAACGCTAACATCGTAGGGTACCCTGTTGTATTTTCTCTCTACCATTTATCTCTCACCTGACTAATTATAAAATTATTTTTACCCATAGCGAATGATAGCCTTTTGCACAACACATAAAAATATTATTAAATTAAAATGTAACATTTTTTTGTTTGCAGGACAATTATCGTTAGAAGCTGAAAAGACTTGGCTGCAATGTGAATGTGATCGTTGGGGGAATAAATTTAATCTAGAAGGTAAGAAAGCAAATAGCATTATTTGTTATAATATTAGGTGGGTATGTCTGTGTACGTTGCTGGAAACTATATCTTCCACTAATACTTTATGTAATACTCCGTCGCACCCATTAGTGACATCGAAAAATAGAACATTGACAGTGTTTTTGAAACAATTTACAAATGGTTACAATATAGTTTGCGAAAACGGTTGGATTGGACAGCACAGGCACATAACGAATAAAATCATATAATTTTTATACGTACTGTTCTCGGAATGACTTGAAGGCTTTTATGAAGGCTAAGAACAAATGCTTTTCGAGTCTAGTAGAAAAAGTTCTAAAGCGCCAGACGATATACATCTGGTGCCAATATCAACCATGGCTCCCAATAACTCCAGACACAGTCTACACAGGCATAGTGCAGTCTCTCACTTATCTATCAGGCCCTGTAAGAGGTTTCGACACAAAAAGTACAAGAATTATCTAAATTTTATGATGAATTCGATACGGGCATTTATTTGTTGTTGTTGAATAATAATTGATTTTACGGATAGGATTACTCGTGATGTATCGTCAGGACATATTACTATGACGACTTTTGAAGATGTGTAAGTTACGCTACTATATGTGTACAGACATATCCACCGAGTGGAGTAGATTACGTAACGGAGTTACTTGCTAATAAAGAGGAACCTTTTTCGCAGGTCGTCTGCATGAAAATCGTTTAAGTTATTAAAATCTAGTCAAGTTACCAAATTCATAGCAAATAATTTTACCATTTTTGGTGAGTCAACTGTGAATGCTTATAAATAACCATATAATAATGTAATTTGGTACTTCATACATACAGTATATCGTTGTTTTATAAATGGGCTTTGGTAGCACACAGTTGGTAGTTAGGAATTTGTAGTTCTCACTAATGTTAGAACTCTGCATTGAGATAATTCATTTGTGAGTTACCCACAGAGAAATACTAACTGGGACAGGATAATCATTAATCTTTAAACTTCCTATTCCATTTAGGTTAACTCATTATTTGAAATTGTATTGTGTATTTGAAATAATCCGCCAAATAATTTTCTGTCAGTAACATTGTCCTAAAATAGTTAACAATAGTAGTATTCCTACTATTTGTTGTAATTGAAAGCTGATCTAATTAGAATTAATCACGATAACTCGTTTTCCATAGCATGACTGATTTATGCCTGGGTCCTCCATATTTGTATTTAATGTCTTTCTTTCATTAAACTTGACATAATCATTAAATCTCTGAACAGCTTCAAGTCATAGAAAAAAAAAAACCGAATTTTAAAGTTAGTCTACATTTATTTACAGTCGTTTCGCGTAGCAAGGTTAAGGTTAAGGTTTTAGCAATAACAACTTTTTTATTTTTGTTTGCGTTGTATTCAGGTGCTTTTAAAAAAAGTTCGCGGGTTTTTTATCATATGGAGCCATTATTTTCTAACATTTATTTATCAAACATTGTTTTTAAAATTGACAGAAATGCAAATGAAACAAGATAAACAGTCTTTTGCGTCACTTTATCATAATTAAACTGTTATTAAACCAATAATAATAAAAAATCTTCATCCGTAAAAAGGTCTTGCCAAATCTGAGGAGTGCCAGTCGATGCCAACGTTAGCGGGAGGTGCAGGCGCGGGCGCAGCGGGCGGCGTTCTGGGCATCATTCCGGAGCACAGCTTGTTGGACTCCTGCACACGCCTCTCGATATCGCTGGAAGAGAGTGTCTTCAAAGTAGGTTTAACAATATTTATTATCTTTCTACTACCAGCTAGGGGTTATGCGCACTTCGTCCTATTCGCACTTGGTCCCGTTGCGTTTTGTCACATTCGCAGGTTGCCCCATGCAAGTAACCTAATCCAAAGAATTCAATGGAGATAAAAAATACGAGTTGAGAGAACAAGAAAACACAAAAAGAAATACACAAATATGAATAACAATGTAGATGTTTTCAATTACTTTAAACGTTACTTATAGATTTTGATAATATATATATTTAACTGAATTTAACGTAACTAACTGAATCAAAATCCTAATTTTAACATCCCCTCTATTGTAGGTGAACCATTTGGGTAAGGTTAGGTTACTTGCATCGGACGAACTGCGAATGCGACTAATTGCGGACGGGTCAAAACGCGAACGAAATCGCGAATTCGCGATTGGTCTCATTCTCAATGAGACCAATCGCGAATGGGAACAAGTGCAAATTGAACAAACGGCGAACGAGACCAACTGCGAATGTCACCAACCGCGAATGGGACGAAGCGCGAATGGTGGACGAAGTGCGAATGGGACGAGGTGCGCATAACCTCTGACTAGTAGCAGTTTGGTAACTGAAGTATTCCTCTTTGGGCAATAACTTTCTTTTTGTGTGTTGAACCATGACTTTCTTTTTGTGTTGAAATTCGAAGAAAACCGAAGTTTTCGGGCCACAGATTACCCCCTAATAGATTCAGGATTATTAAATAAGCCCTCAGTAGCTAGTAACAAATCAACACTTTACAGGAGAACAAAAACAAGATTTAAAACAAAACACTTAAACAATGTAGGTAAATAACATTTTTGGTTTTTGGTACTGTAAAACCACTAAGGTTTATAGTAAGTACCGTTAGTTCATGTACTGAAATAGTCAATACATAGTGTTTGAGTGATACATTTCGATATTTTATACAAAAGACGTACATAAATAAAAACATTCGGGACAAAAATGACACAATACTAACTAAGATAGTATACGAGAGTAAACAAATACATTTACTTGTGGTTGTGTAGTTCATTTAGAAAATAAGACCTGAGTTTATTTTTAATATTATTCGTGTTGAGGTTGGCACGTAAGTCAGTGGGTAGATTGTTAATCAAACGAAGACGTATTGTCAGCGCGCTATGTGCTGATTTCGGGCGACCGCATGCGTGTATACTGTATTTTTAATTTCTTTTTAATAACCGTGCGAAAAATAGTATTTTTTTAATAATGCATATTTTACTTGTGTTTGAACCGGTAATATCTTGCAGTGTTTGAAAAGCCTACTGTGGTCGTCGTTATACTGGTTTCAAATGTTTTTGGGAACTAAATTTTTCAGGATTACTTTGAGGTACTTATTTTATGTATGTCCATAGAAACTAAGATCATATATTGTATTTAAGATTGTGCCAATGAATTGTATAGCATTAATTTAACTTGAAAAGGGATTCGATTTTTTATTACAATGATGATGGCCAGGAATTGCCTCAACTTGTTGTCTTTTAGGCCTAAATACGTTTGGTTGTCAACAACTTCTATACTGGGACACTTGCATAGGGCTTTAATAAAACAGTGTAAACAATTATAGTCATGTGCTACTAAATTTTTACTTGTGTAGTTTTGAGGTATGGGGATTTTATAATAAGGAGTTTAGTTTTACTGGAGTTCAAGACAAGTCCTGAGTCGTGGCACCATTTATTAAGATTATCAAAATCCGCCTGTAATCGTTCGAGGGCTTTGTTATGGTCTTTGTCTGATACCAACAGACAGGTATCGTCTGCGAATTGAAAACAACTGCAATTTACAATGACATTAACGAAGGTCAAAAAATGTATTTAACTCAGAACCGAGCCTTGGGCCGTGCCCTCAGTAGATGCTATGTAATCGCTGAATGTGTTGTCTGTCTTTACGGTGTAGGCTCGATTGTTAAGGTAGTTTTCACACAATACTGTGAGCTTTTTATGTTCAAGTGTGTCAAATGCGCGAGAAAAGTCTATGAAGAGAGCCAGCACGATTTTATTCTCATTAAGATGTTCACTGACCTCGTCCACACAGTTTTGCAAGAGTTGAGTAGTGCTCTTTCTTGGTTGGAATCCAAATTGTTTGGAATATATAATATTATGTTTTTGGTAGAAATTGTGGATTTGTTCACAAACAGTTCTCTACAATTTTGTCAATGGCCGAGAAAAGGGTAATAGGGCGCTAATTGAGGTAGTCATCTTTTCTGCCTTTTTTATGTATGGGTCTCAAGCACCCCATTTTTAGTTTATCTAGATAAATCCTTTAGCTACCGAGACCTCAACTCCCGCAAGTCTACATCAGATATCTATATGTTGTCTGCTTTTTGGTGTGTGTGAACAATTGATCACGGTCACGATGTCCTTCTATCTATCCTTTCCTATCATATAATGTCATCTGATGTACTGGAATGGTTCTCTTCATATCTTCGAGGGCCTGGCGCCCTCGAAGATATGAAGAGAACCGAAGAGAACCAGACCGTCCGTGTCGACGAATCCACCTCCATATGGTGTGATCTTGACTCTGGTGTCCCCCAAGGCGGCATTCTCTCTCCACTATTATTTTCTATTTTTATTAATCTCATCACTCAGAATCTTCAATGTGCGTACCATCTTTATGCTGATGACTTGCAACTTTACTATAATGCTGCTGTAGATAATATAACGGAAGCTATTGCCATGATAAACGGCGACCTGGAGACTATTAGCGGTTGGTCCTATAGATTCGGTTTGACTGTGAACCCTACAAAGTGCCAGGCCTATCATCTTGGGCAGTCCACTTATGACCAGAAGGCTAGATCAAGAAATACTACCATCCCTAGTATTTAACGGGTCAATCATTCCCTTAAGCTCTACTGTGAAGGATTTGGGACTGTTCATTGATTGCAACCTTAATTGGCAAACCCAGGTTACTAATGTCAGCCAGAAAGTTACAGGAACCCTGCGGGTGTTATACCGACTCAAGAATTTTTTACCTTCCGAGATTAAAGCGATGTTGGTACAAACTTTAATTTTTTCCATTATAGATTATGGTGATGTGTACTACTACGACCTGAATGCATATCTCCTCAACAAATACGACCGTCTTCTTAATAACTGCATTCGATTCATTTTTAATCTTCGTAAATATGACCATATTTCCTCCTTTCGTCTTAAATTAAATTGGCTCCCAATTCGTCAGCGTCGTCACCTGCGGGCACTAACGACTCTCTACACTATTCTCAACTCTCCTAACTCGCCTACATACTTGACATCCTCCTTCCAATTCTTGTGCTCCAATCATAACAGAACCCTTTGCTCTACAAATAATCTTCTACTCTTATGCCCTGCCCACACTTCTGCGTGTGTTCATTCTTCCTTCCTCACTCAATCTGTACTTCTATGGAATGCTCTTCCCCAGGATATCAGAATGGCGACCAGTCGTAATTCGTTTAGGGAGAAGATGCGGGCTCTCCTTGACCGGAATGTAGCGGAATCATCACAAATATGATACTTTATATATTATGGTATATATGTATGTGTATATATATAATACAATATATATGAATATGAATGTATGTATTCTTGTACGTTGTTATTTTTACACTCTTACACTCCACCTCCACTACAGCAGTTAAATTATGTTGCACCTATAAGCTGTCACGTGTAAATCAATATACACACATTAAGTACAAATATCTGATTCTAATAACTCATTAGAATGTTTGTTTGCTCAGTTTGTCAAATAAATGATAAAAATACTACCCCAAAGTTGAAAGTTTTTACTTATCAATCCTCTGTTTTTATAATTTGGCTGAATTATATCAGTTTGCTAAAATCTTAGTAAACTAAGTAAAAACGTAATGAGTGAAAGGGACATTTCAACAAGACATCAAAGGGTTCTTAATTGTTATTACTTTGCACCATTCATCATCATCATCATCATCAACAGCCTATAACAGTCCACTGCTGGATATAGGCCTCTCCTTAAAGGAGGTTTTGGCCTACTATACCACGCTGGCCAGACGGGTTGGTATAGGGTTTGTTTCTAGTTTTCCTTCTCTTTGCAGTGCTGTTGTCCTGCGTAGTTTGGTCCCTTAGTCGGCTCTTACGACACCCACGGGATGAATAGGGGTGGTGACATTACGTATTCTTATTCCGTCACCACACGGACAATTGCACCATTATGTCACCAGTATAAGTTGAACTGTGGTGAATTTGAAATAGGTTAACGTGCTATGAATATAATTTACTTACCGAGGAAATATTTTACTATTTTTTGATAACTGGATGTCTTAGCTGACTTGCAACACCATTTCACTGTACAGGAAACCATTTCTAATATATTTTGATATAAAACTATTTTAAATTGTCAAGAAGTTATGTGCGTGAAGTTATGAAGTTATGCGGGTCATAAACTTGGTCGTTACAAGAACAAGTTATTGTACTCATCACACAATTATTTGTCCTGGGTGGGAATCGAACCCACGACCTCCTTGTCCTGCTAGTCAGGGGACTAACCACTAGACCAACAGGCCTGTCATCATCATTTTGCGATTTATTATTATTTACGTGTGTGTATTCTCGAGCAAAAATTATTACTTGATTTTTGATCCAGTTGGTTAAATTAATCCAGTATTTAAAATATGTTTGCAATGAATGTACACGTAAATATACGCGGAACATAGTCGCTTGGCCTACTTTAAGTAACTAATGATTTATGAAAGAAGCTTAATTCTCATTGAAATTTGATAAAAAGTACATTTAATTCGACCTGATTCGCTTGAATGACTTCATGGTCAATTTTAACTGTAGACAGTGCACTTCAGTCGTTTTGAATCATACGATAAGAAAGCGATATAAAAAGTAAGGCCAACGGAATCAGTCGTGATAACGGAATATTGCATTCACTTCACTACAAGTTGAGTATCGAGAAACAGCGTTAATTATTTCAATACAATGGAGAAGCTTGAAAATGTGTGTAAAAATTACTACTTAGTTTTCATTTAAAATTAGAGTAGATTAATCGACAGGTGATAATTTACTCGATATCCAGGTGGCGCTAAGAATCGACTAGTGTTCAGAAATAACGGTCAATCTGTGTAACTCAGACTAGTAATAACGTATTTTTTTTTACATGATTTACTTTTTTTAAGTATTTGTTTTATACGAGTCAATACTTTTATGCAACTGTTTTGTTGTTCTATGTAGTAGTCGCTCTTCGTAGTTTGAATATGATTTAACTTTCTTAGTTTTTAGAGCACTTCTTTCGTTATTATCATTTTTAAAATTTTTTGTTCCAGGTATCTGTTAGTTCGTCGTCTCAGTCGTCACGCAGCAACTCTAGCCCTCATATGACTTTAGAAGAGCTCCGTGCTATCAACAAATACGCTGAGAGTACCAAGAGCCTCTCCTATCTACCCCAGGTACGATACCAAACGTTACGTTGTAGACAATAGAGTTCAATTTGCTCCCGTTATTCTTATAATCGTGATCGACTGATTTTTAATTTTATTCATTTTTAATTAAATGTTCTTTTTTGCAGAAATATTTTTCTAATGAATAATAAAATAAAATTGTAACTAACATAATACTCATTAATATTAAAAGGACCAACTACGTAACAATTGTATAAAAATTATTTCTGAAATTGTTTCAGCGTTTTTGATTTCCATGTTTCTTTTATATTTTTGTTTAACTCTATCCATTGATGAAAATATTGAGTTTGTTTCAGAACTAATAATATTAGAAATAAATAAAAAAAAACAATTAGACCTCAACCCCGAAATAATTTTAAAAATAGTTTTTTTAATGGGACAGCTATAAATTCGTGAAGGATGCCAGGATGAGAATTCTCACTGCAGGCGGTATAAGAAATATTGGTACGATTTTTTTGTATAAAAAATTGACTATGTATAGACCATTTTATTAATTGTTTTTAAACGTGGTCACATCAATTTTATAACCCAGAAGAAGTTGGTTTAAGAAGTTGGACCGACTTCAAACACTAAAAACCTAGCAACAATTGCGGTTGATTTGCTGAAATTTTTTAAGAGTTCCGTCACGGTACAATTATAATACAGTAGTGTAACTCGGCCGCATGATAGAAATAAATGCCTACAGCCGCGCGGTACGTAAACATGCGTTAGGGCTGCCCGTCTCCAGCATTTAATTATATTTGCCTACTTTCTGTTTCTATTTAGATTTGTGATTGTAAATATCCTTTTTATATAAATAAATGAAATACTTTGTATATTGAATAGGAAGTGTTCAATAAAAATGCGTGTTGTTTTTTGATTCACTCCCTATAAATTTTGATGCACTACCTATTTCACTCGTCTCAATAACTTTCCGTTACTCTATTTGCTTTATTTATTAATCCAAACACCTTTTTTTTTCGTGAGATAAAAGGAAATACTTATCCATTAAAAAGACACACATTATGTACCTACCTACTAGTAAGTAAAATTATTTTATAGTCTTACCTTTCAGAGTTTTCAGGTAATTTAAAAAAACTTATGTCTGGATGCGTTATTGACGAATTCATACAACCAAAAACAGCACAATATTTCCTACTCGTCATATTAACTGATTTTTAGAGAAAAAAATCGCGCGGTTATTGTTAAAAAAACAACACACAGTCCGTTCGACACTGCGGTACAGCCGTGACTGTCTGCGCCCCGAGCGCACCCCGAGATCGAGGCGCGTAGGTATAGCTCGCGTTTCGTCCGTTTGTATGAAGTTGGAGTACTGTATTATAATAGTACCGTGGTTCCGTTGTCTGTCTTCGGAATTCATCATCAGACCGATATGAAATTTAAATGGGACCATTTCGGAATAAACTCCTTTCAAAGAAAATAAGAATTTAAAAAATCCATATGTATATGACGGTGTTATGCCCGAATATATATACAAAAAAAATAATTGAGAACCACCTCCTTTTTGAAGTCGGTTAAAAACAACATGTAAATCGTACGAAATTTTGTGCGATAGAAATTAGTCAGTTTTCTGGTGGTTGTTATAGTTTCGAATTTAATGAGTGTCCCATTAAAAAAACAAAGTAATCATATATTTTACGTGGATGTCACAGAACGCTTTAAATCTTAATACGAGACGAATATGTAAAGAGATTTATTTCAATTCTAGCGCGCACTGAAGGACTTATTTTATAAGCGATGGTGAAGAGAGTTTCTCAGTATCCACCTGTAGATTCTAAGCAAGTCTTACTCCCTATACTGTCTTTTTGTGACGTGGACCTCTTGCTGAACTGGATTTAAGTAAAAAATTGTTTAATTATTTTTAAACATCTACGGCTTTTATCTTAAGTTACATTGGCATTAATTGTCATCAAGTAGGCCAAAAGGGAACTTACTCATACTCGTGACCCATGTTTTACAATTTTCACCCCCTCCTCCTTCTATCCTCCGTCTAACCTAGACCAGTATATGCCAAAACCCCTCCTTCCCTTGTAGTTTTCACGTGGTAATTCATAAATATGGTTTTAAGTCATTCTTTGCAAACAGAAAGTTAAAAAGAAATTATTTGTCTTATGTTTGGCTTGGCAGCTCTTGCCATATATAATATTGACAAGTGACAAAAACTTGTTACCAAGCGGGTAATTTTGAAGACGGAGGGGTCTTGAATGGGTCACATAGAATGGGTTCGTTCCTTATATACATTTTCTTAAATGAATCAAATATTATAATTAAAATATACGCGGTCACTCCTTAATTTCAGTTTTAGTTTATCGGAATAGCAAATACGTAAGTACAAGTTAGTACGGAGTTCAAGTATTGTGGCTAATTCTAATAATGTGATTTTTCCACTTAGTCCACCACGTCTAGAAGATAAGTTTTTTTTTTCGGTATTTCAATTTGTCCTGTAATGGCGTTCCACGTCTGACTACTAAATTTGTGTAATTAAGTATGTTTTTTCAGTAAATATATAGAAAAACTCGATTGGCTAGTGGTCCACGTTCCCTAACCAACTGCATGAGTGATGTCTGTTTCCCTTTAAGATAACTTAGGACAACTTGTGGCTGATCTGTTAGTATTAGATATTTCCTTTTGTGGTATATTATGATGGAAAATACACGGTGTGACATATATTATACAAGCGAAAGTTGAACACAATTGTGCTTAAGAGAGGTGTTTTGTGCACTTGCTGTCTTTGACACTAAACACTGGAGCTTTTAGCAACACTGGACGGTGCAATCTACACCCGGATATATAGTATGCTATTTATATATATATATATATGTACAACAGAGTCGTCTTATCAATGTTTTTTGAAATTAATCGATGTATATTGTATAGTTGTAATTATTACATATTAAATTCTATTATAACTTGGCTGAGTCAATGGTTATGGTACTTCTTTGTGGTACACTCAGTAGGTGAGCTAATATTTCACTTTTTATAAACTAATGGTAGAACGTTATATAGTGTTACTAATAAATTAAACGATTAACACGTCGTTTCATGGTTGTTGTAATTAACTATCGTTCTAATATGTAACAAACTTCAAGTAGAGTGGGTACTCGAGTCGTCGTCCGCGTAGCTGTCAAACGAGCTGATTATGCTAAATATACTCATAAGTACAAGCACGCCCCCGTTCAACCGCAACCCTTAGCCCAAAAAATATTATAACTTTATTTTATCCGTAGACTGCGATAACAAGACTTTGTTCAGATGTGGTTTTGTATTAATCGGAGTAGAGCCCTTCCCGTAGACGTATATATCCATATGTAAACATATCGCTGGATTCTCAAAATGTTTAGTTCAATATTTACATTAAATGTCATACGTGATCAATCGAGAGACCACAGGAAAAAGTGTTGTGGTATCTGGACTGTGTGTCGGGCGCGGGTGCTCGTGCGGGGCGGGGGCGTGTCAGGCGGGTCGCCAGTGTAAGGTGGGTGGTCGGTAGGTGCACGAGCGGCAGCGCGCGCGCATGCGCACGCGCTCGGAGTGGTTCCTGCAGCCGGCCGCGTCGCTGGACGCCGCGCGCTCGCGCCCCGGTACGCCCGCCGCCTGCTCGGTGGCCGCGCGCCCGCGGCCCGCGCCGCACGCTCCCTGTGCCGCCGAAGCCCGCGAGAGCACGGCTCTCTACGTGCTTGTCGCCTGCCTAGAATTTTTGTTTTGAACCACGCACCGGTACTGTGTCACTGTGTTCGTTCGCTTCGGTGCGGAGGACTAACCTGGCGCTCCATGGAGGCTTCGCTCCTAGTCGACCGCTCTATGTAGAGATCTCTTTAACGATGTCCTCTGTTGGATTATATAGTAAACGCTAGTTGTAGCCCGGTCACCGGCGCCCACTTGCATTTGTAAATAACGATCAAATAAGAAAATTATGTAAGCGGGCCGATGTTGTCGATTCGCCACGGTCGGTGTTGTGGCGAAGTCTCTGGTGCTCAAGTCGCAGGGCGACACGGACGCTTTGTGCGGGGCTCGCTTTCGCTTGATCCATCGATTGCATGTGTCATCGCACTAAATGTGTCGTGTATGTCGCACTTCACGCACGATCTGTACGCTTATGTGTTTCTAGTGTTTCTCTTTAGAGGCCTCAATATTACTCGTATCCCAGTATGTGTTTCTTTATTAATGACCTGTTGTAGAAATAGCTACCGTCCTACATAATGTACAGCCTTAAAATTATTACGTTCCTCTTGTACATAGTTGTGCTATACTATTTAATAACTAGTAAAAATTGTCATTAATAAAATTTTAGATGTAAGGATAATAAAAAGATTTAAAAGTTTGATATGCCGTATAACCAGCATATAGTGTATTTATTCATCAAGAACTCTCAGAACAGCATGTGTGTTGGAATCGACAACAAACAAACATAAAATTGTACGCCGAGCATGTTCGATGTTGTGACTTGTCGCACTACAGTTACATTGGTCACGATCATCAAACTATATTGTACCATTGCATTTTCATTTGTGAACCGAACCCGAAATATCACACGATCATAGCTAATGCTGTAATACCATGCAACTGAATGCAATATTGTTTTAAATGTTTTGATAACATTACATGGCAAGATAATTATATCTGCTTGCCATTTTTTTCAACCTCAGAAAGCAACGTCTATTTCTCAATTATAAGTAGTAGTAAATGTTGGAACTAGTGTTGCTTCGCTGTATTAGTAGTTTATAATATCATAAAGATTAATTTGCCAATGTTTTGTTGTGCCAAAATTAGTCTTTGCTTTCTAATTAATAATTTCCAATTTTATCAACAATATATACTTTATATGGATCCAAAGGTGTTTAAAAATGTTTGATAAATTAAGTTATTATAAAATGCTTCATGTTTTGGTGAATTTTTTGATAAAATTTGGTAATTAAGTTTTTTTTTGCGTTATAATCAATATGAAACCGCAGATGTACGAGAATAAAATATTGACTTCGGTTCATTGTTGACTAGTAGCCAGCTATTGGTCATATTTTATTATTTCATTTATCAGCAAGTAAAACAGTGTTACGTTTAAAAAAACGTCTCAGTATTCAATATTTTAGTAACATTAGTAAATCATTTCTTCACGTTGGTATGTCTGGTTGGATAAACATGATTATCATCAACAGCCTCTAATGGACATAAGCCTCTCTTTAGAAAGGAGGTTTTGGCCTACTATACAACGCTGGTCAGACGGGTTGGTATAGAGTTTGTGTCAATTTTTCCTTCTCTTCGCAGCGCTGTTGTCCTGTGTAGTTTGCTCCCTTAGTCGACTCTTAAGAAACCCACGGTATGAATAAGGGTGGCGACACTCCGTATTCTTAATCCGTCACCATACGGACAACGGATAAACATGACGGTCTTAAAATTTATCTTCTCTCACGCTGGAGCGAAAGCGAATAGGATATTCTGCTTTAACGGCGACTGTACTTTTCACAGCTGACGCATAACCTATAGCGCAACCGTAGTCCTTGGTTTTGTATGAATTATGTTACTTGATGGTGTTCTGTACCGTACATCCCCTAACTTACCTTGGTAGCAATAAAAAGTATGCAATATTTACTAATTACCTATGAGAAAAGTACAAATTTATATGAAGAGATTTTACTAAACTACGATTCCACTTTTCAGTCGTTTTATTTATTGTCCTTCGGCATTGTCTACTAAGCTGGATCTTTAAGTTGTGGAAAATGAATACTCTTCGTATTCGTGTTACTGTTGTTGTTTCTGTTCTACTCACTATTCTAACCCCAGTATCAGCTTCCTCGGGACCGCATCCAACGAAGAGTGACTCAAATCGTCGATAGCCAAAAGATCTCCGACCGGCTCGATCCCTTGGCGTTACTTACGAGATGTAGTTTCACTCGGCATTCTATATGGTCTATATCATGGATAGTGCTCCGTGGAATTTTTCGGACCGCTGTTCCTCTGTTGCTCGTTTGCCCCCTCTTCCATATAAAAAAAGAAACAAGGACTCCCTCGTTCCAACCATATATTAAAAGGCCGCCATACTGACGATGTTGCTGTTGCCAGATGTCTTACATATGCCTCAGAAGTCGTGACAGTCTCAGATCTTATGATAATATTAAGTAGAACAGCCGGTTATCTCAATACACAAATTTTATTATCAATATTTACTTCAGCACTTTTTGTGTGCGCGAGGAACTTTTCTTGTCATTTGTTGCGAACGACTTATCTTCTAGTAGATTTATTTTTGGTAAAGAACCCAAGCTAGCACGATACCCTTTCCCAACAGGGGCTGCGTTAACGATCCTTGTTCAACAATTAAGGTAGTGTCATCTACAGTATCTATTTTAATGTCGGTAGATGAGATATATCTCTCGTCGTTAACACTGCCTTAACGATGAGAGATATATCTCATCGTTAAGGCAGTGTTCATAAGAAACATTTTCGTTCGACCGCTTTTTCTTGAGAAAGTCTTTTAAGTTTTCGGGTTAATATATAGCCTATGACACTCACAAATAACGTGGCTTTCAATTACTAAAATTATTTTTATTCAAAATCACCATTAGATCCAGAGATTATCCCCTACAACCTCACAAAGTTTACCTCTTTATAATGTTAGGATGTATGAGTACTATAATATACAACTCGACATACCATAGTGAATAACTAATAGTTAACTAATAATTAAATCAAATAGCTGGTAAACTAGGCGGAATAGTTTTTTTAAAGTGTATGCGTACATCTGCTCTGGGTAGGGTGGGCGAGGCGCCTTAACCGTGTGTATGGCGCAGGTACTGAGCGGCGCAGCTCGCGGCGTCGGTCCCGGCGCGCGCGCGTGTGCGGCGGCGGCGCCCCGTGCCGCGCGCTCACACACTCCGACACTGAAATCCCGCTCGCTCTCCAGCCTCGTAAAGTGACCGCCTGACTCGCGCACGCGCACTCCGCGGAGACTCCCTGCCCGCAGTGCGTTTGGTAACTGTTCTATATGACGTTGTTGTACAGGACGTTGGGGACGCTCGTGTTGCTTTGTCGCGACGACGCTACACGAATCTTTCGATTGCTCGATTTCAAGTTAAATTCGATCAAGAATTTTCAGTACCATGTTCATGTGTTACACATCGAATCAATTACGACGCTGGGTAATAGCGCCTGCAACAATGTTTTATATTATTGGGATTACACCTACACTCGGCATCGTAATATACCTATATTATAATTCTAAGATGAACAAATTTTAACTAAACTTAATAGATTTGCAATTCAAGGGAAAAAATCTGCAAATATTACACTTCGAGTATTCCTACTTCATTTTACATTGAGAGTTAGCTTTCTGGGCTCTATGATATAATAGTTGTATATTTTAAAATGTACCTGTGTAGATATCAGGATGGTCGGCATTCATCGGTCATTATAGTTATAGCCAGCTCGAGGTAGCAGTATCCTGGTGTAAGCTATAGAATCAGTATAGTATTTCTCACGAATTGTAGACATTGAATATTATGTGAGTTAATACCTAAACAAAATTAATTCATATATGAGAGTCGTTTTTATAGCTAATGTTTATGAGCGTTTTGTCATATTGTCATTTCGGTGCAGACTAAAAAAAGCGAAAATATCGACTGAAAATATTAAAATATCCAAAATTAATATGCTCTCTATTTAATATAAAAAAAGTTATGTGACATGTATCTATGTTTACAAACACACTTATTTTCGGTTTTACATAAGTATGAACTGGTTGGGTGAATAAAAGCAATCTCTTCTGTGCCATGGGAAATGTACCTATATAATATGTATATGTATGTATTTCTTGCTTATACGTTTAACGTTTCTGTTCATTTATGTTTTTGGAATAAGTAATCCAAATAAGTTAATAAAAATAGAAAATATAATATGTGGCAGAACATGGATGCCATGATTAAATTAATACGACTTACATTCCTGTAAATAAAATTTAAAATTATTTTAATTTCTATATGTATCCTTTTTAGTGTTCAATACATTTAAATACATGTATGACAAGTTATATTATTGTTTTGTTGTGCATTTCTTTCTACCTCAGTTACTTTTATTTCTGCTCTTACTATCAAGTATTATGCCAAAATTTATAAAATAAATTTAATTCAATAGAATTCAAATTCAATCTGAAATTTGAACCGCACCAAAAGACTGATAATCTTTTAAAAAAAATATCTATTAAACGAATACGATTGAGTAGAGTGACACATTCATATTTAATTAAATTGTTGTCTATTATTGAATAGTACAAAATGACACCTACAGTTGTCGATTTTTTGAATAACGGTTGTTTTGTAACTTTTCTGTAAATATCTACGATTTGGACCTTTATAAAATTATGATAGGTGCTAGTTAATTCTGAAATGTCTTATGAGGAGTTCACTGTAGTAGTGTGTACTTGCGTTGACATTTAGTATATCACAATTTCTTTAAATGGTTATAAGTAAATATTAAAGGTAATAAGTTTTTAAGACTCGCAATGGATCAAACGTTTTGTTAACAATATTTATTGTATATAATTTAGTTATCATTGGATTAATATTAGGTGTCATTATTTGCACACGGTCCGCACATTATTTTTATAAAATGTACCTTTTATTTTTAGGATAGTATATATTTAAGACTGTTTTAGGTTAAATTGTTTCAATGCAGGTGACGGTGGTTTTCGTTGTTATTTACTTGTGTGCGCGCACGTGTCCAGGTTCAGTGCCTGTTTGGTAAAGTAGCAGTTTGTATATCGAAGGCAGCTCAAACTAATTTTATATTTATTGTATAATTACGTATTATATAAGTATTAGCGTTTGGCTAGTGGTTTTGTCTTAGTGACCCCGAGGCTATTTCACATCCAATAAGTATTTTACATTTGTTCTTATTCCATGTTTGTGTATAGTGAGGTATTTATTCCTACCACATACATTACACATTCAAGTATTTGTCAGTAAAATAGTTTAGATTCTAATTTAAATTTGTAATGTGGCGTTATAATGTATATGATATATGCTGCGGTGATCACAATGAACGAGTGATCACTAAAGTTGCCAAAAATAAAAATTAACTATAATTCTATTAAATTAATACCTGGCTTGCATTTTGGATTTGCACGTCCAAGTTCCTGTGTTCATTGAATAGCGTTAGGAGAAACGAATGTCGTAGTTTAATGTGTAGATTTTGAGATTAAAATATTTGTTGATGTTGCCTTCATATTATATGAGGCAATATTCCACATTATTTGTTACACGCTTCTAAGAAGTGATGTGATTTATTATGTTGGCAACAATAACAAAAAATTTTTTTATAAATGGTAAATGTTAGCTTATATATATATATATATTTTTGTCTTTATTCAAGTGCGTCCTATTTTTTAAATAAATTAACGTTTAGTAGTATAAAATTATTAACTAACCCAGTGAACGTTTTTGTACAATAATATAAGTTGCTCTAAAGTTTGGATAGTATTTTATTTTTGACTTTATAAGACTGTTTATATGTTATGAATATAATTTATTACTAACACTCGAATACACTATATTTTATCATTCCACCGACTTAAGTTTATATCGACACCAGTTGCATTTGAGTATTATTTTCTATCGTAAAATATTATAACAGATCTCAAAGCTTTAACAAAATTTATGAACAGTGTTACTTGTGGTGTTATAATAGTGAAAAAATGTTTATTTAATTAGGAAAGAACAAAACTTAGTTCTGGATTGTCTATGTTGAGCCAAAACATATGTATTATTGTTGAATATTATGTCCATTGTATTTCTTAGAGTTAATTAAAACTTAATTCAATTTAGTACCTATTATTGTATTACGGTATTTGCTTATGTAAATTCAGTTTGTATTTTCACATTAATAGCACATGTTTTCTACACAAATTATAAAGAATTACACAAGAATAAATATAACAAATTACTGCCGTGTTTTCATTCAGCTATGTATCCTGGATGCGAGAAGCCCAAAATCGATCTAAGTGGCGTGCAATGGGAGAGGCCTATGTCCAGCAGTGGACTGCGATAGGCTGATGATGATGATGATGATGTATCCTTTATTACGCGGGCATAAACGTATCAGTATAATCATCATTTGCCTATAAACATCTTGATCAGATGATTTATGCAGCGTCCTGGGTGTTTCGGCACTTTTTCTGGTGTCTGTATAGACCAATAAGGGAGTCTTTCCAATCAGAAAAGTTAATATCGAAGGAGATCATATCGCGATTTACGCTGTCCTTTAAACTCAGCTTTGGACGGCCCACAGGTCTCCGGGCATTTTCCAACTTCTCCAATTTTCTTCTGATTAATTTCGTTGCGGGTTCAAAGACAGTTTAATTTCTATCTGGGACTTCCCGAGTGTCATGAGAGTGTCCGAGAGTGTGTTTGTGGGTCACTGCTGTGGATCCTGGTGTACAGGAGTTACAGTGGTGGGCGTGTGGGTGGGATTATTCCCATTTTAAAAGGTCTCCTGGCATGAACTATTTCCCCTAGGAGATCCCCCAGTTTGTCTGAGCAGACGAGACGCTCCATACGATGCACATGTCCTAGCTAGCACTCTCTTCTGCCTTAACATAGCACTTAAGCTCTACAATAATTCAAAAGAAATACTTGAAGACAAATGTCTTTTTTCATATTTTCGAAAAATCACTGGATTCTGGGGAGGACTGAAATGACGGCAATGCACTTCTGACTCTTGAATTGCAGGTGTCCATGGGCGGCGGTAGTCACTTACCATCAGGTGACCCGTCTGCTCGTTAGCTCCTTTTATTATAAAAAAAAAACAGTGGCACTCCGTGAGTACCGACGGAAGAAAAAACTTGAAATTTAATTATTTTTGAACATTACGTATTTTTTTTTGTTTTTTCGATTCGAAAAGTTCCGACATAAATATATATCTAAGAGAACATAAATATAGATCTAAGAGAACGTAGATATATATTCATGTCGGACTTTGAAAATTGTGTATATACCTTGTCCGTATATACACAATAGGTGTTTATGTTATATATAGTTATATTTCAATTTATTTCAACCCAAACTCAACTCTCGTGGAAACGGGGTCAATACTTGTACACAGCGATGTCGGTAACGGTAACAGTGTCGCGAGTTCAATGGTTTTTTCCCATCTCAAAAAATACATTATTTTGTTTGTTGTTCAAAAATGCCCAACGCGCCTAAATAAGTTTTCACTTTAAAAAAAAATGTCATCGTCAGCGTTAATTGTTCTATGATTCACTGTACCAACGCATATTGTTCCATAGATTTTGGATGTACGATTCAATCCTTTTTCTTGAAGAATAAAATACACGGTTGGGAATTGAACGAGAGATGCAATATAAGAAGAAGTAACAGTAAAAGTGAAAAAAAAAAACGGAATATGGAAAATCATAGGCTGAAATTTCGCTGCCCGAATCCAGATAGGCACTCTTAAATAAAATAGTGGCAAAAATTATCTTAGATGAGATTAATGGGTAGGAAAAACGAGAGAAACAGTTGTGAAAATTATATTTGATTAAAATTAAATCATGTAAATAAACACAATATTATATACTAGAACTTAATCTCTTAGACATTAACTTTTACTTCTTGCACAATATTCCTGATTACGCATTTATGTAAATATGACATAATATAAAATACTACAATTTAATCTCTTAGACATTAACTTTTACTTCTTGCACATAAACTTACACAATATTCCCGATTACGCATGTATGTAAATATGACACAATATAAAATACTACAATTTAATCTCTTAGACATTAATTTTTACCTCTTGCGCATAAACTTGCACAATATTCCTGATTACGCATGTATGTAAATATGACACAATATAAAATACTACAATTTAATCTCTTAGACATTAACTTTTACTTCTTGCGCATAAACTTGCACAATATTCCTGATTACGCATGTAAATATGACACAATATAAAATACTACAATTTAATCTCTTAGACATTATCTTTAACTTTTACTCCTTTCACATAAACTTGCACAATATTTCTAATTAATCTTGTAAATATGACACAATATAAAATACTACAATTTAATGGGTTAGACATTATCTTTAACTTTTATTCCTTTCACATAAACTTGCACAATATTTCTGATTAATCATGTAAATATGACACAATATGAAATACTACCCAGTAAACACATGACGTAAATTTACATAAATGTGATATCAATGTGACATAAAACACTAATTTTATATCATTTTGATATCACATTTACGTAAATTGATGTCATGTATTCACTGGGTACAATTTAATCTCTTAGAGATTATCTTTAACTTTTACTCCTTTCACATAAACTTGCACAATATTCCTATCGTCTCCGAGAAATACGAATCTTTGTAATAAGTCACTGGCGTACTCTTCATTGGTAGTTTCAAGAGTGTCTTTGTACTTCTCAATCTGTCCACCTTTGGCATACACGTCTACGAGGAGTGCATCGAAATCTTTGCCCACTTCAAAGTTGCCGATTTTATCATCAAGGTTTAGAGCTGAAGAGAAAATTCATATTATTTAGAAAAAAAATTCGTTATCTTATATGGAAACCGACACTTCTTCTGAGCGCGATTAGTCTTTATAAACGTTTTAATTGACGTCTGGTTTTATTTGCGTTTTGTAGAATATAATAATAAAGTTTAATAAGTATTTCGCAAACAAATTTTTCTTGCACTTTTTTATTCTAATAACGTTGAATACGAAAATTTAACATTATTAATAGATCCTATTTAAAGCAAAACATATTTCAAAATACATAATCAAAGTAGGGGCTCATTTTGGTTAATTTAATTTCGAGAGTTGTAGCTGAACAATTAATTTATAAGGATCCGTGAATTTTAACTTTCTTTTAACTGGGACACTGCGAATTTGATTGCTTCCTAGTGAGACTATATAGAATGCTAGCTATTGCCCGCAGCTTCACTCGTATTTCTTGTTTCTAATTTTGTAAATGACAAACTTTCATAATGCCGTTCATCTCTTTAGCCTCTTAAGAGTGAAATTTACAAAAAAATTTTTTTTGTGGGCTAAGCATCAGCTGCACAACTTACAATTTTTTTATGTATGTATTATAATTATTATAACATTTTTACCTTCAGCACCTCCTAAGGTTGCTAGATAAAATGCTTCTTTCCAATCCAATGCCGAGTTAGGTTGGCCCTGTAGCTCAAGATACGTAGAGACGTCCATTGATCGACGTATTGCATCTAAGATTGTTGCGTTATCACCTCCGGATACATCTGATAATAATATCTTTCTTAATTATAATATCAAAATTAATCATATCAATATACACACTTGCTGTTTGAGCTCACAAATAAACATAACTAATTCAAAATGGGCATTAATACTGGGTTCGTGTTTTAAATATATTAGCTTTTACAGCAAATACATCCCTAAAGAGATGTCCAAAAGTCACCTCGCAAATTACCGACGATGTCAAAGACGTGCGATGTGAAGATAAATATTCTCAGTTTTAAGTAGCTTAAAAACACTCCACCAAAACACTTTGAAACTTTCTCGTTCTATGATATTGGTATAATTCGGTTAACTCTAATAATATCTTTTATGATAATACCTGTTCCCAATCCCACAGTAATGCTAGCGTTTAGAAGTCTCCTGACTGGACACAAACCAGATTTGAGACGTGTATTAGATGCGGGACAATGTGCTACAGAAACACCTCGAGACGGTAACAATTTTAGCTCATCGTCTGTCAAGTGTACAGCATGAGCCATGATGCACTAGAAAAAATAATATTTTCTAAATTGTTTGTCAAGCTTTATTAAAATTACTAATTAAAGAGGGCAATGGTTAAATTAAATAATTATATCAATTAGTATGGATTGGGCTCTGATTTCAATTCTTCTCAACTTAGAAAATGACGTTATTGTTCAAAGACTATTTAGAACTTAGCTAGAAACATTTCTATATTAAGTAGTCAATTAGGGAAATGCCTATGTACATAAGGAGACGGCAGGAGATGCATTTTCTGCTAAATAAAATAGAATATACGTACCCTGTTGTTCAATATTCCACTTTTATCATACACATCTCCGTAACATTTGCAATTGTCATTAGTTTCTAATACATATTCTATTTCCTGTAGATTCTCTGATAAATGACTCTGAAATTAGGTAGATATGAAGGAACAATAACTATACTTAATGTAAAGTTTCGATGTAGTGTGAGTGTAAGTTTGGTTGGGGTTGGAAGAGCCGAAAATAACAGGTTTTGTAAGTTTTATTTTTGGACATTTGTCTTTTCAGTTGCAGGTGTCACTGGGCGGCGATACTCACTTACCATCAGTTGGCCCCTCTACTTTGTTTGCCCCTTCCCCCCACTATAGGGCAAAAAGCAAAGTTACTACATAAAAAATATTACAGCTACAGTCATACAATCGTTGTGTTATTTTTATGTAGTAGTTGTTATTGTAGGCCTACTTACATTTTATAGAAATTCAATGCCACATTTAATCGATTGAAATAGTGAAAAAATACATGCACATATTCTTTTCAGGCATTCATGGTTATTTAAAAGTTAAATCATAAATTCCTTAAAATACATAAAGGTATTTTTAGGAATGCATGATTTACTTTTAATGATTGTTTTTTTAATCCTGTTTTGTTCTAGTAATATTTTTACAGTTAAATATTCACATTTAATGTTAGTCAAAACATATATTTTTAAAATGATATAAACTTACGCTTACTTGCTTTAAATGTCTTTAGTTTAAAGCCAGGGAAAAGGTCTATTATCTTGTATCCATGCTTTAATTAGGCTTTTATTTCTTGGTACAAGTCTTTTCGAGGTTCTAACATCTGTCAGAATTAAATTCAGATTTCAGGATTTCATTAACCACAGACCATGGAAATTCCGTACTTAAGGAATACAATTAATATCAAATCATTGAAACAATATTATCGATCCTCGACTCTCACTTCTTAAGCAAAGACTACAATAGAAAAAAAGTAGCCTTCGATTATTTTGTACGAATTGTACTCACAAACTTTGCAGTTTGAAATGTATGGCTTTATTTTGCTTGTTAGGTATATCTTTTAATATATTGTGGCAATGATTACATGTTTATTAAGTTAAATGTTATTATCACCATTCATTCATTCATCTAATATTTAACCATTTATAATTAATTGATGGGGTAGAATCATCAATCAAACTGGGCAAGTACTGGATCCAAAAAGACAAATCTCAGACAGACCCTCACTAGGAATAAATCCTGTGTCGCGGGGGACTTTACAAACATACATGAAACGAACACAAAGAACGCCCGGACTCAGAACAACAATACACAAAATTTTGAACCCACAACACTCAGCGCAGTAGGAAGCGGCGAGGTGACCGCTTAAACCGGTTAAACCTGTGCCATAATTGAAATGCTGCTCGCGTCCGTGGTGCTAAGTGCCAGACCTGAATGTTCACGCGTTAATATTGGCAATATATTAATGTATCAAGCGATAGCTTGGATGTCGTTTTTTTTTTAACACATCATAACAAAGTAATTATAAGTTAGTTGGCTACATTATTGCCGTTTTATTCTGTGGAGTTATCTTGCGTCTCAGCGCATAATATCCTTGTCTCCAAAAGCTTTCTCTAAAGGTCCTTTTTTCAAAATGTCTGTCTAAGAATGTCCTTTTATCTAAATGTTTTTTTGAACACTACTTCTAAACATTACATATTACAATCTTAACACTGAACATGTAACTACTATTACGCCAAGAGCCATGTTTTGTCAAAAAATGGGCCGGCTCGACCGGTGCGATACCACCACAGAAAACCGGTCGTAAAGCAATTTTTCTGTTGTATTACACCGAGTGAGTGAGGTTTTTGGAGCCCAACCCCCGCTATATCCCGTCTCATGATTCGTTGAAAAATATTCTACCCTTGGGGGGTGGTACCAGCTGCGTTAGCGTTGGAGAATCCCCCTCTGGACGTCCACGCTCAGAACACCATGCGTCTGGTGTTCTGGTACGTCACGGTCTGGTACATTGGGAAGGGGGGGGGGGGGGGGCAAAAGCGCTCGAAAGGATATCTCCCCGCGGCGGGAGCAGGCACAATTCCTTGGTTCACGCAAGACCGATCACGCGGGGAGATCTGTTCACGATTTCGCCTTGACCTATGGCTTGTCACAACTGGTATCAACGCCAACGCGAATTCCAGATGTGGAAAGTCACGAGCCTTTACTGTTGGACCTTCTGCTGACCTCAGATCCAGACGGTTACAAAATCGCCGTTGAAGCCCCACTAGGCTCCTCTGATCTTTGTCTAATCCGCAGTACAGTGCCACTCACGTGCTTGCCGCGATGGCACGGCTGGGATGCGCTCCTTCTTTGCGTCCTACCTGTGGAGGAAGGTCTGTTTCTTGCCGGATGATCCCACCGTCGTTGCCGATTCTGTCACTGATGTAGTATTTTAGGGCATGGAACTATTCGTTCCTTCTACATTAATTTCCATCGGTGGCAGATCCAAGCCTTGGTTCGACAGATCTTGCAAAACGCCGTCCCGCCGAAAGCGAGAATGCTACCAAGCATGAGCAAATGCAGCAACGGCAGGCCATCTAAATACCAGCACGCTAAAAAAACAATATACCTTTGCCGCCAGGTCCCTTAAAAGAGCCATTGCTAGGGCGAAATCGGAGCACATCAGCCGGATCGGTGAAAGACTGGTGAGACTTCCTTCTGGAAGTCGTGCATTCTGGTCTCTTGCCAAGGCTGTCCGGAGGAAATTCTTAAGCCAATCCTTTCCACCCCTGCAGATGGGAGATAATCCATTGGCCTATGATGCCAAGGAGAAAGCCGATCTCCTAGGCAAACTCTTTGCATCCAACTCGTATCTTATCCAACCCTAATATTTTTCGGGAAAACGTCATCGAGAGTCGAAACAAACTTGTGTCTGAAACTGAAACTTCCTTAGCGGAAGTTTCAGATTGGGGCCGACTAAATCTAGTCCAGTTCAACCCAAAAAAAGACACAGGTCTGTGCGTTCACCGCAAAAAAGACACCATTTGTCGTATCATCTCAGTTTGAGGTCACCTCCCTCACTGCCTTAGCCAGCATCGGAATCCTAGGCATCGACATATCGAGCGAAATCCAGTTTCGGGGTCACTTAAAGGGTAAGGTCAAATTGGCCTCGAAGAAGCTCGGTGTGCTGAACAGATCGAGGCAGTATTTCATGCCAGCCCACCGCCTTCAGCTCTATAAGGCGCAAGTCCGGCCGCATATGAAATACTCATCTCTATGCAGGGGCACCTCAATACCAGCTTCTCCCTCTGGACCGCATCCAACGAAGAGCGACTCGAATCATCGATAGCCCAAACATCTCCGTTCGGCTCGATCCCTTGGCGTTACGTAGAGATGTGGCTTTAATCTGCATTCTCTATCGCATATATCATGGAGAGTGCTCCGAGGAATTGTTCAGACTAATACCAGCCGCAACTTGCCGCCATCGTTCCTCACGGCAAAATTTTCATCCTCATTACCTGGATAGTTGGCGCTTCACTACTGTACACTTTTTGCCCCGCACAACCAATTTGTGGAACAGGTTATCGTCTGCGGTACGACCTTCTGACCTTCAAGAAAAAAGCGTACTCCTTTCTAAAAGGCCGGCAACGCGTTTGTGACTCCTGATTTGAAGACGTTCATGGGCTGCGATTTTGACTTTCCATCAGAAGACCTGTCTGCTCGTCTGCCCCCTCTAAAATAAAATAAAAAACGGCCAGCAGCTCGGTTCTGGCACTGGCTGGCCGCTGCATGCTCGCTTCGCATGATTGTATGCACTTCTAAGCGAGTACTGCATTATTTTCATAATGGAAGAAATCGAATCAGAAAACATTGGAATTTTAATACCCTTTAGGGCCTAATTGTTAATTAACAATAACGTAAACGCTATTGGAGCAATAGTGCATAACAGCAAAGTGCATTTTTTTTCAACTTTACCTGAATTCTGCAATTGTATTTATTAGCAATTTTTGATAGGCCATCCATAAGTATCTTGTCACAACTAAGAGCAAATCTTGGCGTTACAACAGGCTCCACCAAATCATTCTGAAAAATGAAACTTATTACAAAGTACCCATATGATTTAATCGATCGGAGTTATACATTGGCACCACAGAAAACTGTTATGCAATATATCAACAGCTTTTAATAGTCCACTGCTGGACATAGGCCTCTCCTTAGAAAGTAGGTATTGGGCTACTATACCACGCTGGCTAGACGGGTTGGTATAGGGTTTGTTTCAAGTTTTCCTTCTCTTCGCAGTACTGATGTCCTGCGTAGTTTGCGTTCTAATTCGGCTCTTGCGACACACGGAATGAAAAGGGGTGGTGACACTCAATATTCCTTATCCGTCGTCAAATGTTAACCATGCAATTATTATGTTGCTTTTCAACAAGTGAGTGAGTACTGAGTGTCTCTCTCAGCCTGATTCTTCAGTGGGCATTCAAAGGGTCGCAAAGCAACTTGTGTGTTGAATACAAAATCATGATTAAACATGAACCTTTCTATGTTGTGACGGATTAAGAATACGTAGTATCGCCAACTCTGTTCGTACCGTGGCCTAAGAGCTGACTAAGTTGTTCTGCATAGTTAGAGGGAAAACTGAAACCAACCTGTCTGGCTAGAGTGGCATAGTAGGCCAAAACTTCCTTTCTAAGGAGAGGCCTACGTCCAGCAGTGGATTGCCAGCAGCAGCTGTTGATGATGATGATGATGATGATGATGATGAAACATAAATCACTAACCTTTAATGCTATAACTGTTTGTACAAATGTTTCAACTTCCTTTAATTCTTTTTCAGTATCATTATAATACCCAGCTTCATTTATCTTGTTCATGCTAACTTTGCCTACCAGGGCCCTTTGCTGATGATTAATTGCACTCTTCACTAGTTCCAAAGTTCCTTCCATGTGAAGGGATCCAAAATAACAAGCAGTTGTGGTGCCATTCTTTAATAATCTTTGCTGAAAATTAATAATTGATTTTTGTTAGTGGAGTTTAGTGTCTCGTGAAAACTATTGAAATCAAAAGCCTTGGTATTTAAGCTACATATACTACCGTAAAAGAGTCGTGCTTCGCACTAAATGGGCTAGAAAACCAGTAATTGTTAACTAATTCTTTAGTTGCAAAGGTAGTATGACACTTGAGCTGTAGGTGTCTATGGGTGACGGTAGTGCGCTGCTCATTTGCCCTCTCTTGAAAAAAAACAAGCTGAGTTCAAAAGTATGTAAGATAATTTAAAAAATCATTTAATATCACAGCTCTTGATTTTCTTGGGAATAAATGCTTTTTCATTTTATATGTTGAAGTATAATAAAAATAATAATAACTTGACACATCTCACACCCAGTTGTCTGATCTCTAATTAGGCAGTGCCTTTACTATTTTAACTAGACTCCTGATAAACATATTTATGTAATACCTTTAAACAAGCAATTTTTGTATATATGTATAAACTGTGAATTTTTAACCCTGTTTTAGTCACCTCCCTCATATGAATATGTGAAACAGACACAAAGAACACCCAGACTCAGAACAACAAATATATATATTTCAATCTCAGAAATGGCTCCAATGATTTTCATGAAATTTAGTATGCCCCCTGCATACATGCATTTTGGGGGCGATTAAGCGATCAAGCTAGGTTCCATTTTTAGAAAATTTACTAAAAAAAAAACAAACAAAGCTTGGTCATCCAGGTACTATATTATTAAATACATACATGTCAGAAACAGAACAAATGATTATGGTCAGAACACAATTACTTGTCCTAGGTGAGAATCAAACCAACAACCTCGTTAGTAGTCAGGATCCCAAACCACTAAACCAATAGGCCAATTGAAGTATAAAATTCATGACTAAAAATTAAATCCTTAAATCTCTACTTACCACAACTTGGTCATAAACTTTTGCAGCAAATTCCGTGTCTTGGTACTTTTTTTCTAACGGAAAAGTGTACTTTGCTAACCACTCTAACAGTGGTCTATCTAGTCCTAGGCCAATGTTTGGAAATTGTGGAGCATGTGTATGGCAATCTACAAATCCTGGTATTAAAAATTGATCTTTACTCAACTTTATTATTTCATAATCTGATAATACTCCAGATTTTTCAAGTTGTTCAAACTCGTCAATAAAACCTTTTTGGGTAATCTATAGAGAAAACAAAATTAAATATTAAAAAATTGAACTGAAAAAAGTGCTTTGGCAATTTGATTTATAATTATTTAATTTATACAATTAACATGGTATATATTAACACTTTACCTTTCCGTTTAGGACACTTATATATCCAATTTTAACACTAAAGTTAGTTAAAGAAGTGGATTCGGCGAATGTGCCAACAAAAATTCTATTATTATTAGCCATGGTAACGCAATATTCAGGGCACTATCAAATACTCAAAGTTCTAACCAAGTATTTGTTTTAATAACGAGGCTATCATGAACTAAAACCTTAACACATAAAGGTTAAATTTTGATAACACTTATCAGTAGGTTCAAAACAACCGGAGTAAACCAGACTGAAGATTTATCTGTCAATCGTGTGTGTCAACATTACCATAGATGAACTACTTATAGATACAACAGCACTGGGGTGATTAAATTCTTCGTTCCGTTCAAAACAATGCTGTGCATCGTTAGAGGGAAGAATCTCAATAAATAGATAGGATAAAAAGGGAAAGAAAGACTATAAAGTATTTATTGCTCATGCATTCCATTTATTTTACCAATAAAACACAATTCTGATTTACTTTGATAAAGAAGTGCCAATATTTTAGAAAGAGTAGAAATATAATGTATCAAATAAAAATATAAATTATTACGAGTATTTTTAAATTTAGATGTATCAAAGCTATGTAAAATTTTACTTTTTTGATACCTACTACCTAATATTAGTACACTTACTTTGTAATAACTGGTTAAAGGGGAAGACTGTTGTGTTACTAAAGTTTAAAACAAGGCGTTATGTGACAAATATAATATTTATTACACATATTTTATTTTATCATGACAATATAGTCTTTTGTGCGTTTACGTAAAATATGAAAAAAAAAACGAAAAATGTATTTAATTTAAAAAAATACTACTTGAAAAAATAAATTATATCCTCCTTAACGTTTATTTCCTTACAAAAACTTAAAAGGATACCAGCATCTTGACAGATAATCTTAAATATAAATGAACATTTAAAATTACAAATCAACTAAATACAACCGCATCATGCAACAATTGTTTAGGTTGCGACCTCATATTGTATCAACAGTACCTATTATTTTCTATTCTGAGATAAAACATGAAATTATCTAAATACTGGCTCTTGCATGCGGCTGTCAAACCTCTCTGTCAAACATTTCACCTTAATTTTTTCTCAAACTAGCCCATCTAGTCAGAGCTTGTGCTGCCTTTTCCATTAAGTAGTTGAAGTCGGAAAGTGTAGATCACTTAAATGTTGCTACTTGTTAGTATTTGGTTAACAAGAGCAACATAAGCGCGTTTTAAAAAAATACCATGCTATTGTTATTTGACGACCGAATGGGGTAGTGGTTTGTGTAACAGGCTGCTATTCCAAACGGGTTCGATTCCCGCTCAAGTCAAACATTTGTGTGCATGAACATTTAATGTTTGATTTGGTCTGGGTGTTTGTATCTATAATAAGTATGTATTTACAAAAAATAAAAAATAAAAGTATATATGTAATTATATCAGTTGTCTAGTACCCATAGTACAAGCTCTGCTTAGTTTGGGACTAAACGGCGATGAGTGAATGTGGTACAATATTATTTATTTATTTATTTGAGTTACTGGCACTCCATCTAAGATTCCTAGAAATTATTTTTAAAAACACTGACAGTTCTCTTAAATGCAACTCAATATTTGATAGATTAATAGGTTTGTATAAGAATAAGTTTGAAGAGATTGTTTGTAAGTTCGAAAAGCTGTAGGTATGTACAAAATGGTTCTTCAATCCGACATGTACCAAAATAAGATTAGTTAGATTATTTGTTTACCGTGGAACCCTATCTGTTCAAAAGTAGTGAGATTAGTGAAATAGCGGGTGGAGTCAGTAATAAAATGATACTATGTAAGTTAGGTAAGGAGCTATTAAGTTGCGTTTAAGATTTTTTCGGGAGTTTTTGACTTTGTACTTAACATGGATACTAAGGTTTTAAAATTTCATTTGCCAATTAAATGAAATTTATATGTAATAATTATCGTATTACGCTGATTTTGTACATAAGTTCGTGCCATGCGGTCCGCGCTTGTTCAGCAGCTACGCGCCAGTTACTAAACGTACCTGTTCTTGCGTTACGAAGCCAGGTCATAGACTTGGATAAAGCGGCTATCGTTAGATTTTCTTCAAGATGGCTGTCGATCCGACGTGCTTCATCCAAAGACTAGAAAAGAAAAACAAATTAGCAGTAGTAATTGAGTAGTATTCGTGGGGGTATAAATACAATTTCGATAATAATTTAAGACAGGCCTTTCCAGATCAGGAAAGGCCAATCATGATCTTAATCTATAGAAATGTTATATGTTGTATGTTATGTTATCTATAGAAATGTTAAGGTTTAAAGTTTCTATAGCTCAGAGGGCCAAGTTTAATTCACTTCTACTCGGTCGTCACGGTGACCGATTTCAGTGATTGACCGATTTCAGTGATGGACCGATTGGCCCGCACTGAAATCTTAACCAAACGCAACCGAACTGTTAGTAGTTCGGTCTGAACTCAAATGAGGAAGAACCTAAATTTATGTGCAGACCCACCTTGCGGTGCGTAAACCTCGGTGGGCTTTCACTCCACCGGGGTTTGCGGTGGTGTGTCGAAATCGAATCGACGACACCCACACGTTTTGCCACACTACGCCTTTATCAGGAGTGATCAGGGATTTATTAAGACATCCGGATATCAATTAGACTAGCTCAACTAAACTGAGTATTCATGTTTATGTTACTGGTAGGTACCTATCGGTAAACCTCGCCAGCGTCCAAAAAACCTCATAAACTTTATTTAACCCAATATAAACCTATAAAATTACAAAATTATTTTAATAATTGTGTTCCAAACTTGATTAAAATATCCATTTGCAGCAGAATGGCGACCAGATAATCTACAAGAGTTTGCTTTCAATAGAAACCAGCGGGGATAGACGGCTCGTAACATTTGTGCGTCATTTTCCAGTCTTGCAAGTTCCCGGTCAGCTATTGACCGTAGCTCCATCAGGTCAACCACCTAAAAAGAGGATTATATCGTATTGCTTATCATAAAAATGAATTTTATATTGTTCCTGGACAAGTTTCTGGAAGGGCTCTCAATGAACACTTTTAGTGAGAAGTATTATAATTTAATTAAGAAATTGATCCTTAATTGAATTGGAAAAACGAAAAAGTTTGATTTTAAAGCAATCTATAATTCATATTCACGAAAGCAGTTAAAACATTACATATATAACTTTACCTTTCGCAAATCATCAATTTTTCTAGCAAGACATTCCAGCATTCCTTCTGCTAGTCTCAATGCACTTAAAAGAGCAGACATAGAGAAATCGTCTTCGTGTGATACCCAACTTAACGCTTCAGATTCAAAACGTTTAGCTTTTTTCTCTGCGTCTACTCTCAGCCAATACGTCCATAAACCTACTATCAAACGTCGTCGACCTCCTCCAGCGGATTTACCTTTGCTTATGGCAAACTCTGCAAAATGGCTGATATCTTTTGGTGTTTCTAGCGCAAACCCTGCGTCCAATATCATATCTAAGCACAGCGCATAATACCACGTCTCAATTTCATGAGATTTATAATGATATTGACTTGATCTCAAACCAAATTTTAATATATCGATTGCTTCTTCTATGCGACGACGTGCTAATAAGACATAGAATAAATCAGGTATTATTTCTAAAGCCACATCGTCAGCTTGTATAAAACGACTTATGGCTAAAGCTCGGCATCCAGAGTGTATACTTCGCGCTAGTCTTCCTCGAGCCAATCTTACGCGAAACGTTGCCATAAACAGCTTTCCAAGAGCAAATAATTCATCTGCTTCAATCGGTTTCGGTAGTTGCCTTAACGTTATAACAGCCATTTCTTCGATATCCATAGTGTTTTCAGGAGTACCACGATCTAATTCTGCCTGCATAGCGTTGCTATAAGTGTCACATACGTCAACTACAGAGCATTCCACAGTTTGAATTAAATGAAGGGCGCGAGAAGCTGTTATTCTTGATATGCGTTCATCTCCTAAGTTTGAATATATTAAGGTTGCAACATTCAAACAGAAAATAGAATCACTATTAAGAATTTTTTTATTAATACGGTGTTTTCTATGTCGAAGTTTAACTAATGAAATCAGATTTTTAAACGTTAAGTATTCAGGGACTTTATGTAAGTTTATGTGATAAATTTTTGTTGCTCGTTCTATTTCCATTTTTGCCGCAGTTAATTGTCCGCCAATTAAACACGCCGCGGCTCTTAGTGAATATATTTTTCCTAATAATCGTTTTCTTTCAAATGAATCCAAACGTTGGTGAAGGTCAGTACAAAGGTGTTCAGCTTCTGCTAATTTTTCGAATATATTTTCAAGATTACTGTTTAGCACAGACAGGTGACAGTACTTTATTAAAAATTGAATAGCTTTTAATTTTAAATCTGCTTGTTGTGCATGGTAGAAAAGTTGATCATTAATCGTAATATTTAGTTCTGTACATGTGCATTTTGCAAAATTAGTTTCCGATACTCCTTTTGCTATTTTCACAGTGAAGTTCCCTTTATTGCTATCTTTTCCGGTACTTGCATATAAATCTTCTTTGCTATCAAAAACACCGAGATTATGCCAGTCACTAGGGTTTTCAGCTTCTGTAATGGCACGTAACATATCAAAAACGTGAGTATGATTTTCTTGGAGAAATGATTCCGATGTTGTCATTATAACTTTTTTTTTGAGATAACGCTTTTTAGATGTACCTGGAAGATTGTTGTTGCTCTCATGCTTTGTTTTTAAAATAGGTTGAAATTGAATCGAATTTCTAGGATTTTCATCGCCTTGTGATTTAGCAATCAACTCACTAATCGTTCTTGAATTTAGATTACCATTTGATTGCATATGCATAGCTCGTCTGATGCTACTAGAACTCCATGCTTTCATAGACAAATTGCGTGGTGGTATAATTGTATTCTTTTCATCATCATCTTTTGACAAAAAATTTGACTCCCCTGTGTCATTAGAACTGTCACTGATACTGTCATCACTACGTGGTTCATCAACTAAACTCATGAAAGACTGAACTAGCTTGATTTTGCCACCGCAGTCTGTACATTTTTGTTTATTACTTTCTAAATAATTTACAACACGAGTGTGAAATTCTCTTTTTTGATTCATTGGTAATAGTTCATAGCAGGTTTGTCGAGAGTTTCTATTTCTAAACTTCATCAATTGGCAAAATGCGTATTTAGGTATATTTTCATAATTTTCTGGCTCAAAATCAAATTTGCATTCACACACAAGATTAGATTTACACGGTTCACTTATTGATTTATGCATGAGATTGTTTTCTACTATTCTTCGCCATTTTAAAATACTATCTGCATTTGCACAAGATAGTATATTCAATGCAAATAAGCGCTTAACTGCTTTTGCAGTAACTAATGGATTATTCTCATACATAATATTCTCTAATAAATCTCTTGGAATAATGTTTCCGACCACTGATGCAATCTTTAAAAGCAACTGTTGATATGGGGTAAGAGAATCTATTTGTATCATAATTAAAGCATCCAAGTTTTGAACATTTAGATCAGTTTTTAATTCGTCCTTTTCAATGACTATGCAAATAGCTTTTTCCTCTTTAGATTCATTTTCTAAGAACTGATTGACTGTTTCTTGGTCTTTTGAATCCAGAGCTTGTGGATGTAAAAGTATCGGATCTGGGAACTCTAATTCTTCATTTTCTTTCCATTTGTCCATTTCATTATCTGGGATAATTTTTATTTCCAGTGCTCCAGTAGAAAATAAATGGATTATAAAACTTTCTACAAGTCCCGGCATCCCTTTACACTTAGATCGTAATGCTTGGCATAAATCGTTCGATACTCCGTCTACGTTTAATATTTGGCAAGCTAAAGCAGGTATCCACTCTCTTTCCAATGGTGCTAAAGAGATTTTTCTAATACTAACATCGGTAAACACATTATAAAGCCAATCGTGTACTGTGCTAAATTTACCTCTTGTAATAGACAATACTGTAAATATTTTTAAAGAAGAAAAAAATACAGATATAAACTCCCACGAAAATGGATCTAAGTTTTGTAAATCATCGAGTATTATTATGTATGATTCCGTTAAGGCTCGAACCAATGTGCCGAATATTCTCTTAGCTTTTTCTTTTCTATGACTTTCATCCAATGTCTGAATTCCTTCATGATACGCAAATCGTACTTTAATAATATTGTTTAAATAACACAAATCGTCAGAGTAGACTTTTAGTAATTGTACAATTTTCTCTTCTTTGATAAAACCTTGAATAGGTTCTTGTAGATCGAGTATTTGATTAATTATTTGACTTAAAGCTAAATATGCAGTAGCCGAATGAATAGACGTTAAGCTAATAAAGCATACACGATAACCTTTATTTTTTCCTAGTCGTGCTATCCATTCTAACATTCTAGTTTTCCCAAGGCGCGATTCACCTACTATTAAAAGACCATCAAAATTTCTATACGCTGTTCTACTTTCCTCTAGCCAAGAAGAGAAGTAATCTATTTCATTAACCCTGTTGAGTATTGGAGGAATTACAGGAATGTCGTGAAATTCTTTAGCTCTAATTTCTTCAGTATATTCATATATTTTACCAGATTTTCCGATCCCTTTCAATTCTATTGATGGTTGGAGAGTAAAAGCATTTGTAGACATTTTACTTTTAACAAAAGTCGTTTCATCGCATGTGATTTTGTTTCTGAATCCACACATCAGCCTTGCAGCTTTATTGACAATAGCGCCTATTACTGTAAATTCTCGCCTTAAAGGGTGTCCTACGACCCCACAATACACTGGACCTGTAGTCACACCAATAGATACTTCTGATACTCCATCAAGAGCTGATACAGATTTCTTTATACTATAACCACATTTTAAAGCAGCTTGTGCCTCAGACTCATGTTTGAAGCCTCTAAGTCCAAAAATCACTAGCATCATTACGTCTTTGTCAAAAAGAATGATTTTATTAACACAGCCCATTGATTTGTAAACAATTTCACATGTTATTTGATAAGATTTATTAACGATGGTTATCAATTGAGAAAATGAAGATTCTCGCGGTTTAAGAGTAATAAATAAAATTGAGACGTGTCTCATTTCAGTTAAGTATTCCAGAGGTTGATGAGCATCGATTTGTGTAAGGACAGGCCTTATCATGAATTTTCGGATATCGGTCCCTAGATTTTTTTCTTCAGCTAATAATATAGTTTTCCTAAGATTTAAGGCTTCATTCTTCTTTAAGACTTCTGTAGCACTTAATCGTCTTGATGAATCCCAATAGTAATCAGGAAGATTTTCGATAGCAGTAAAAGGTTTCTTGATTTGTCTGAGCATGTTCCCAAATCCTGGAAATGGTCTTGTAACATTATCGTCATGAGGATCATAAAGAATACATTTGACTGTTACATATCCGTTCTCATCAATTACGTGGTCATAATTTCTAGAATAACAATGTCCCCAAGCTGTGGGAGTAAGTTTCACTTCACCAGAAGCACAAACGCTCTCAGCGGCCTTTGCTTCAAGTACAGGCAGTCCAAATATAATATAACTCATGTCAATACCACTACCGATGGGTGCGAACATTATATTACCTGCAGATATGGCTAATTTAACTCTCAGATTAACTTTGACATCTGTTTCATACGTAGAATAAGAGTGTTGTATAATTAGAGCACAAGCAATCACCGTGTGAATAGTATGACATAGGAACGATCTTTTATCTGTCTTCCAAAGTGCCAAGAAAGCATCTCCTGCAAATTTGATAATATCGCCGCCGTGACTGTATATGACTTCTATAAGTGAACCTAAGTAGGTATTGAGAGTCACTGTCAAGCGATACGTGCCGCCTTTGCCAGTGTTGTTGTAACGTTCTGATAGAGCAGTATAGCCTGAAACGTCAGCCATCATAAGAACACCGACGAAGCGCGTAGGCTCATTCGTATCAAACCTGAAAGTTATAAAAATATTTTACTACATGAAAGGGTACATACAGAGGTATAATTTATAAAATATGTAGGTACAGCAATTCTAAAAAGAACGACGGTTCATTTTGAAAACAAATGTTTAAAAAAATTATGCTTGGGAAACATTAATGTACAAAACTATTGACCGTAATATCTATCGTGTCTTTGTATGTGTGTCTGCAACACTAGGAAAACGTTTCATGCAAGCAATCTTATCTTAGAATATGTTCTCATTCAAAACATATACAATTGATGTTATTTATTTATTTACTTGTTCATCTGTAAAATTTGGTCTGGCACTAGTGTGGATAGAATAAGTGTTTGTTTTTTCGTTAAGTGTATTTCAACATCTTGATCAAGCATTTCAGTTGTATCACTTTTTCTGTGGAAGAATTCTGTCACCCAGTCTGTGATATCTTGATATTGTGGTTCTTCATCCTCTTCTACATCTTCATCGACAAAGTTGTCGCTTGGGCGGGATAGTTGGCGGCCAGTTCGCCATTTCTCTGTACTTATCATGAAACCAGCGGAGTTCTTTCTAGAACGAGACCGAGTGCGGGACATAAGGAAATTCATTTTAGGTATATGCACGTAAGAAATTTATTTTTGGTTTAAGGTCCGAATAAAAATTGAGCTGTCACTTTGCACTTAACCTTAAAGCACTATAATCTATAAGGCTAAGAGGGGAGGCGGCTAAAATTTTGCCTTTAAGAAGTAGTAGACTATATTTTATTCGTATTATAATAGGTACGCTAATAAGGTATTGTATTTAAATCAATTGACACTTCCACTATAGACTTGTCTCTAATAATATTACTGTACTCTGTGACTTGTTCTGAAAGATACCACAGATCACTATAAAAGAACGGCACCTAAACACATACGTATGACAGTCATAGAGTTAATATATAACGAGAGTAGGCCGTAGGTGCGTAACAACTTTAGAGAGAGAAACGGGTGTTGCATCTCTCCTTCTTCCCACTCTTCACTGATTGGCTGTCATTCCCCTACAATAACAGGTACGATTATAGACGACTATGACAGTCAATCAGTAAAGAGAGGAGAGAGAGATGCATTACTCGCACAATATTTTTATCTCTCTAACGCTGTTACGGTTACACTTACAGGCCGACATACGGCTAGCCGCCTCTATTTATATTATTTATTTATTTATTTAATTGGCTCACCAACAACTGTATACACTGGTTATCATTTTAAAGACATTACAATGAGTATGAAGTGGCATAGGCACACAATTACATATAGGTAAGCACCTCATGTGCTATAAACAATAATTATTTTATGCTTAAATATACTAAATTATACAAGTAGGTTTTGGCAAAAACAGATAGAATCAAATAAAATACATTTAAAAAGCATTTTGTATAGTACTGCGGAATTTGGTAAGTGAGTCAGCATGTATATCAACCAGGGCGCTGCAACTATTGAGCAGTTTGCAAAGTCGTGGGATGGTGGAGTTCGCACCGAGAATACTTCTGCGAATTGGAGGATGCAGGGGGTTGATAGGAAAACGAGGATATCTAGCTGGAGCGTGGAACTTTATTTTACCTAAGAGTTGTGGACAATCTTCCCTATGTCTCAGAAGCTTGTATAAAAATAACAAGTCTATTATATTCCTTCGTTTTTCTAGTGTGAGTAACTTAAAGTTTATCAATCTCGCTTCATAAGATTTTATCTTTTTAGCTACACCAGAGGCATATGCTAGGTGCCACAGGAACCTCTTCTGTATACGCTCCAGTCTTAATTTATGAGTCGCATAATGTGGTCTCCATACAGGGCTACAGTACTCTAGAATGCCACGCACGAGGCAGTTATATAAAAGAATTTTAGTTTTATTACATCGAAACTTAACGGCATTTCTTAAGACGAAACCTAGCATTCTTGAAGCTTTTTTCACTGTAGTTTCTACGTGTGGTATGATGACAGTACTTCTCAGGAAGACATGCCAAAGAGTCTTTATACATTCCTATTTTTCTTTTATATTTTGAAAGTTTTTCATTAGAGAATACGGAGTTGACTTTTTGTAATTTACAAAGCCTACATCTCCTACCATGGCTAACACTCCTTTTTTGCTATGGCTGCAGTGTGCGTGTAAATTGCCTCGGCAATCGTTATTGTAGGGACCCCCCCCTATTGCCGCTCCATGTAGAAACTCTAGCGTCTATGTATGCCTCTGCTGGTCTACGTTGCCAGCCAGGAAGGAGTAAGCTCTTTTCTTGAAGGTTTGAAGTTAATGGCGAAATGGATCGACTAATTGACCACGTCCAAATGGCTACGATTTCTGCGATACAGCAGATCCCATTGGTAGAGATCGTAATACTTAGCGACATTAACATTCATAACGCCGAATGGCTAGGCTCACGCAAAACTGAGCCGTCATCAGCCTTCACTGTTAGACCTTCTGCTGACCTCTGATTCGGACGGCTGTATAGTCATCGTTGAGGGCCCCATATGGCTGGTGACACTCGTGTGCTTGCCGCATCCGTGAGTTGCAGGCTGCCTCCTTGTGTGGCACTATAGGTCAGTGGACTGGGATAGAATTCTGTCACTGATGTGGTGCTTCAGGTTATGGAACTGTTCGTTTTATCAACCCTGCAGATGGAACATAATTCGGTGGCTCATGATGCCAAGGAGTAAGCTGATTTTCTAGGGAAATTCCTTGTCTCTAACTTGACTTTGGACGACTTAATAAACTCGAACACAGCCAAGGTCTTTGATCGGGTCTGGCATTAAGTGCTTCTCTCGAAGCCGAGCGATCCAACCGCATATAACGGAGAGATTTCCCTCCTTTTTTTTTGTGCGTACCTCCCGTCGGATACCACCCACCAGTGGGTGATATTATCGGACTCGAACCGACTAAAACCGCAAGCCGTCACCAGGTTCCAGTAGCCGGGGAACCAGGTTATAGAAAAAAAAGCTCTGGTCGTTTGCTTTCCTATACCATAAAAAATATAAATATGTTATGAATATAAATATGCTATGAAAGTTAGATCGACTGATAGAATACTTAAATACTTTTTTTTGGAAATACATTTATAATATACATATCATCGTAGGTAGATGTCATATCTTGTCGGGCCGTCAGTCTTGACACATTTGACACTTGAGGCATTGGTGTATCACCAGTTGCCCCTACCTGCGAGTAATCATCTAGGTCTATCTCCACGACGGAACGGAACGGCGAAGAATACCGAAAGGAAGTCACATGTGGGGTTCCCCAGGTGTCCGTCTTAGGACACCTTATGTGGAACCTCGCGTATAATGCCGTCCTGAGGACCAGCCTTCCTCCGAGAGTGAGTGTCGTCTGTTACGCGGACGACATTCTGGTACTCAATTGGGAGCCTGGCTTCTAAGAGGTCCTGGAGCTCGCCGAGTTAGGGGTGGTTGGTGTCGTCCAAAAGATCAATGGTCTGGGTCTAAGGGTTGCACGTCACAAGACGGAAGCCCTGTGGTTTCACAGGAAATGCACAGGGGCAGTTCCCACCCGCTCGCTTATTAAAGTGGGGGAATAAAGGACAAGGTCAGGCTGCACATGAAATACCTTGGCCTCACCCTGGACAGCCGCTGGAGCTTCGAGGAGCATTTCGAGCGGATGTTTCCCCGAGTTCGCGGAATGGCGGGCTCCCTACAGAGGTTTTTGCTAAATCTAGGAGGTCTGCGGGAGTAAGTCCGCCGCCTCTACTGTGCGGTGATACGATCCATGGCCCTCTACGGAGTCTAGCCCTTTCTCTCAAACGCCTATTGGCTTCCTCCCGCTGCCGAGCTAAGCTCAATCAAGCGCAGCGGGTAGCGACCATTCGGATCGTACGGGGATACCGCACCGTAAGGGTGGTCGCGTCACCTACCGACTGACGCAGATACTCACTGGGCATGGCTGCTTTGGTGAGTACCTTAAATCGGATTGGACGCGAGGAGACGGCACAATGCCAGCACTGCTCAACCCACTGGGACTCCGCCCAGCACACGCTGGAAGACTGCCCCGCGTGTTCGTCTGAACGCGAAGTCCTGGTCGATCAGATGAGACCTATCCCCACCAGCAATCATTGCTGCCATGGTGGCGGGTGAGGAGGGATGGGGCGCAGTGGTCTCTTTCTGTGAAGTTGTAAAGCTCCAGAAAGAGACCGCTGAACGGGATCGGGAGGGGGGCCGATCCCGACTGTAGAGGACGTCGGCAACGATACCAGCCCTCGACGAGACCGCAGTCCGCCTGAGAGTGGGGTCCTCTGGTCACAGTTTGATTGATGCGGTAGAGGATAGGATGGCGGCCTGATTGCAATAAGACGCAATTGGACCGCCACGTCGCGATTGAGGGGGAAGTGCTTTCCCCCGGAATAAAGCCTGATTAGGCATCTTGTCAAAACGGGGATGACCTGAAATAACATGATCCGGGTCCTCACCAAATAGGGCCTTGAGGCCGGCTGTCGGGGTGGTTTTTATTGGAATCACCACATTCTCCTGGGTCATGAGTCCCCGAGGAGTAGGAGATCCGGAAGGATTTTCCATCCTGTCAAGTAAAAAACGTTGATGTCATATTTTATCGTCATATTCTAGATTTATAAATGGATTCTGTAATTTGCATTCCACATTCTCTTGTAGCGTAATGTGCGTCTGATGAGCAGTTTGGTCACAATACATAATTTTATAAGCGATCGTATAATTACCGTTTACCGTTAAATGATTAAATGTTCTACTAAAATGTATGCATGATATACTTTGCTAAAAGGTAAGTTAAACATTCTGTCAACAGAAAAATAAAACACTTATATCAGAGCCGTTATACGTAGTTTCTTATTCTCATCATCATCTCAATCATAAACAGCCTATTATAGTCCATTGCTGGATAAAACCTCCTTTCTAAGGAGAGCCTTAGAAAGGAGACTGGCTTTTTCTTCTTTCTGCAGTACTCTAGTCCTGGGTAGTATGCTCTCTTATTCGACATCGGCTTGGGATGTCTAGGAGTAGTGACACTGTATTCTTAATCCGTTACCGCACGGATAGAAAAGGACTTTTTTTAAACTAGCTAGTACCTGCGACTTCGTTCGCGTGGAATTTGGAAAGCGCCGCCTTAGTGGGTTCGCTTCCCAGACCGAGCAAAATATTGTAGGGTTTTTCTGAGAGGAAAAAGAGCCTAAGTTACTCGTTATATAGACAGCTACTTGGTAGTAAAATTTTATCAAAATTGGTTTAGCCGTTTAGGAGATTACCCGAACAAACAGGCAGACAGACAAAAAAAATGTTTTCAGGCATAGGTATCGTGCAAATATCCGTCAGTGTGAGCGTGAAAAAAACCTATCATTTTGACATTACAAACAGACACTTCAATTTTATTTTTATAAGAGTATAGATAAAAATAAAAAATATCTCACACACGTATGGCGTATGATCCCAAAATGCGCAAAGTCTTTGCATATAATAAAGTATGCAAATGAAAATATAAAAAAGCCTGAATATACCATTAGTTGCCCGATTATATTAAAAAATGGTACTTATAATCTAAACAACTAAATAAAATTGAAGTCTCTGTTTGTAATGTCAAAATAATAGTTTTTTTTCATGCTCACACGGTTATTAAGACGATACCTATGCCTAAAAATCAGTTCAAACATTTTTTGTCTGTCTGTCTGTTTGTTCCGGGTAATCTTCAAAACGCTTGACCAATTTGGATAATATTTTACTACCACGTAGCTGTCTTTATAAGAAGTAACTTAGGCTATTTGTTCTCTAAGAAAAACCTTATAAAATTTTGCCCAGTCCGGGAATCGAACCCAAAGCAGCGCTTTTCAAATTCCACGCGAACGAAATCGCGGGCACCAGCTAGTATATAAATAAATATCTCGTATCACGGTGTGCCGTAATCCTCCGAAACGGCCGACCGACTAAAAAAAGAAAGTATATTTGGTAGGTTTAAGATTTTGTTTGTTAATTAAATTATTTGATCACGATATGTTGAGAAAACATGGAAAATTTATTCCATTTGAGAGACGCAGACGGTGGGTCAGCTAGTGTTTAATAAAAGAGCTTCATCAAATATTATTAATGAATGTTGTTATATTATTGGTGATTGTCTTAATGACAATGGCATTAAATGATAATTATACAGTTATTTATTTTTATTATATTATAATTATTTAAATTGACACTATTAAATCAAAATTGATTTGACATTGTACTTTCTATAATTTTTTATTTATAGCCGTTGTATGTATTTTCTTTATATTATTTATTAACCTAATTAAACATATTGTAGGCCTAACTAGCTGGTACCTGCGACTTCATCTGCGTAAAATTTAAAAAGCGATGCCTTACTGGGTTCAGTTCCTGAACCGTTCAAATTTTTAAAGGGTTTTTCTGAGAGGAAAAATAGCATATGTAGCTCCAGAAGCAACTATAGGCAGCTACCTGGTAATAAAATATTATCAAAATAATAGTTCCAGCCGTTTAGAAGATTACCCGAAAAAAACAGATAGACAGACAAAAACACATTAAACTACTTTTAAGGCATAGGTATCGTGCAAAACCCTGTGAACATGAAAAAAAACCTATTATTTTGATATTACAAACAGACACTTCAATTTTATTTATTTGTATGTGTATAAGATTTAGATAATTTTTGATTTGTATTTATATCCTTTGTACTTTTTATAAATTCATTAACCTAATTAAACATATTGTAGGCCTAATAAGGCATGGTACGGATGTACCTACTGCTATTTTAGAAGAACTTAATATTACCTGTAACAAACAATAAGTAAATTGATAATATATTATGAACACTTACTTTTAAAAACACCTCGAAAAAGAGTGGTTAAGTCAATGTTTTAATGTCCAGTTTTATGAGCTCTGAGTAATCGAAGTAATGTGACCTTTCGTTACGGTAAGCATGAATGGTCCGTGTACTCTTAACATACAATTTCATTTACAATGCATTGTTCGCCTCTCTCAGTCTCGTGTTCTCCGCTGCTTCGTGAGCACGTAGTGAACGGAAAACCAATAGAATATAAATTATGTCGTCAAACGGTACAAGCTTTTTGGAAAAAGTGTTGAGTATTGTTAAAGATGAAAGGTCTGAGGAGGTTCCGTTGATACGATTTGTACACCCGAAGGAGCTTGAGGTATTGTTTACTTCACATTTATTACCCTATAGTTGCTTACTAAATTATTTAATAACGTTTTATGTGTCCTTTTACTCAAGGCGTTTATGTCCTTTTATTTTAAATATAATACTTTTTTGTAAATACATACATATTATACATAGAAAATACCCAACCTCCGAAACAAATATTTATAGATCATACAAACATTTGGTCCGACCCGGGAATCGAGTACGAGACCTCAGCACAGCAGTCGCATACGCTACCACTGCACCACCGAGGCAGTCAAAATAAGGCTTTCCCACAATTTATCCGAAATGTTGATCCTGTACTAGTTATCATACAACAATAATGATAGCGAATTTGCAGATTTAAAAGCTTTTCCAACTGTAATATCACATAAACATTTTTAATTAAGATTTTATCCCTTTTCCAGGTGTTAAACAAGCACTCTTATAGAGCACTATAAAATGCAATTTTCTTTAGGCTGTTCGCACAATGTTGCATGCTTGTGAATGTGCACCTTTCATGCTTATAATAACTAATCATGATAATAAACTAACATTTTATTATCCGTTTATACATTTTTTTAAAATAATTATCACCGATTTCAAGATGTAAGCGCATGCCTACATCTTGATGAATTGTATAAACTATTCTTCATCTCTTAATTTTCAGTCTTATGAGTGAAAATTCCATGACATTCAACAAGCAGTGACCCTGTCACAAGAAAAAGAATTGGGTCTGATTTTTTTTTTTTGATGGTGGAGGTGGAAAATCCCTTCGGATCTCCTGCTCCTCGGGGACTCAAGAGTTAGGCGTATGTGGTAATTCCACTAAAAACCACCCGACGGCCGGCCTTAGGTGCTCTAGGTGACTAAATGTAAACAAATGTAAATCTTAAAGTGTGATTAAAGTTTTTGAAAAAAAAAAAAAAAAAGGTATATTTCAGGTCCTCCACGAACTGACACAATGCCTAATCAGGCCCTATCCCAGGGGAGGTCTGAGTTAACAAACAAAAAAAATACTTCTTTTCTTTAAAAGGATAATACCTAAGCTCGAAATTTGATCGTACAGGAAAAAAATCTTGAGAGCGTAGATTAGGAGGGAACTAAATACATATTAGGTAACTTAGATTAACGGTATTAGCGAATCCGACAGTCTAAGACGTTGCGTTGACGCGATTGACTTAAGATTAAACTATGTCTATACCAAAGTTCATCTACACTTATCGGTTTAGCGGAAATTGGTTTTCCACACAAACTTTCATCCCCCTTTTCAAGCCTTTAAAGGGTGATTTCTGAAATAAAACTATCCTATATTTTTTCCTAGGACTTAAACTATCTCTGTACAAGGTAGACTGATAGACAGACAGACAGACACACTTTCTCATTTATAATATTGGTATAGATTCGGTGAGTGTGAGTGATGAGTGTTTGTTTTAAAAAATATATGTGCTCAGTTGACGACTATACGTAAGCTTGACTTAAAATGATGGTCGTTAAAATGTGATTATCTAATGAGCCTCAGTTAACCCCTTTAGAAATAAAGACGTGAGTATGTATACGTGTATGTGCGTACGTATGTATGTTAGTTAAAAAATAATTTATAGGCTTAAAAGTTGGATCAAATCGTGAATCCAGACTACCAAACAGAGAAATACTTATACTCAATAATTTCTCGTCCAGAAGGAAATAAGAATCATCCCGTGGGTGTCGTAAGAGCCGACTAAAGAAGGCAGACAAACTCTGCAGGATAACAGCACTGCAAAAAGAAGGAAAACTTGAAACAAACTGACCGTGTATAGTATAGACTGTGGTATAGTAGGCCAATACCGCCTTTCTAAAGAGAAGCATATACCCAGCAGTGGACTATTTAAGGCTGTTGGTGATGATTGGAGAGGAGGATTTAGTTCCTAATAGTCGGGCCCTTTGTCGAAATCGTAGACGTCAATCAAAAACCTTTTAAAAATACAAGTTACGAGTATTTTAAGAAAAACTTCGTGGTAGCGTGTACAAGTGAGTAGAGTGGCTAACTCTATTCGTTTCTTTTATGATTTTGTACGACGCATTGTATTACACAGTTTATTTTCTTTTTCCTGCATCTATATACATAAATAACTATATAAAACCCGTCTATTGTTGGTACCATATAACAATAAAAAAAGATTGTGAAAGAGAATAAGATTTCAATAAATAACCAATCAATTCTTGACATGTTTATTAGTGTGATTAATGCATTTCCACCACAAATTGCGTCACTGTTTTAAGCAACGGCTGGTTAAAAAAAAACTATTAATACAATTATGATTAAGTAAACGAGTAATTACATTCTTTTTTTTTAATTGGTTCTTTTTTAAGACTACAGGCTATTAACGGACAAGGAACTTTACTTAGGTACTAGTAAGGTTAAACCGTCTTTTCCGGTATTCAGCTTGATATTCGAGAGTGATCGTGTTTGGTTAATTTTTGTAATAATTTGCGACGTATGAGGGCCGTAGTCCTTTCTTACACGCTCATTATTTTATAACAACAACCAAATAAAATTTAATAGTAATCAATCTTAAAGCACACGTGACGTATTCGAGATGTTATATTTATCATTCAATACGTATACAATATTATCGACATTAAAATAACTGCGAACAAGAACGTGATTGCACTCGGGTTTGCAAATCGATCGCTTTGTCGATTACAAACAAAAGTTTAAGGTTCCGTACCTCAAAAGAATTAACGGAACCCTTATAGGATCACTTTGTTGTCTGTCTGTCAACCCTTTATCGGTGATCGGGAACGCGTGGAGGTATCGAGTAGAAATTAAAACGATATACTCAGGTCTACAGTCTCTTAAAGCTGTAAAAAAATCAAACTTCTAAGTTATCGTAAAAAAAGATACGGCCGTTTATGCCGCAAAAAATATATTTCGACACTCTCAAGGGAATTTTTAGGGTATTTTCCGTTAACCTAGAACTTTGAATGAAATGAAACTATGAAATTTGGCAAGTAATACTGTTACAAGTATAGGGGAAAATTTGAAAACTATGCATTTGTAATTAAATCCTGTAATTGAACGGAACTTACGGTGGGTGAGTCGGACTCGCACTTGTCCGGTTTTTTTTAAACATTTGAAACTTATCATAACGAAATAAATTTTACTAAAGCTGTCACCTGGGGAATCTGAGTGGGGTTTTTTATCTATGGTAATGTGATTACGCACTTGTTTTTAATTTCAGGCTAAACTGGACCTAGATGTGACAGAGGGTGTAAACGACAAGCAACTAGAAGAGAGAGTTAATGAAATCTTGCATTACAGTGTAAAGACTCACAAAACGACTTTTAGAAACCAACTGTTTTGTGCCCCGGATCCATATGGGCTGGCTGGTGCGTGGATCACCGAGGCTTTTAACACTAGTCAGTAGGTATATTTATTTTATTATGCATTAAGTCATTATAAAATGTGTTAAGATTCTATTTTCTAAATGTGTTATGTAGTCTATCGAACATAACATCTTTCAGATTTGATGCCCTATTTTTATCTAGGTACTAGTTGTTCAAGTGAATCGTCCGAGTCGGTACAAGATATAGTTTATTTTACATTATATAGTTATTTAAAATTTCTAATATCGACTCTAAAAGTGGTTTCTTAGTTAGGGAGATATCTTTAAAAACTTAAAAGGAAACCCGATTATGTTCTAAAATAATAACCAACTAGACACATTTTGAGTCTCAAACGGTTTTTATTTAATTTTTAAAGTTAGTTTTAAGATTTATTTACTAAAGCTAATATTGTAGTGTAAATATATTTCTATTTAACTAGATATGAACACCGAAATACGACAACTTTCTTTTAGAACCGTTTTGTTTGAACTTTCCAAACGACCTCTATTGTGAAGGTTTTGATTGGGTGGTAGGTACATATTGCACATCATCAAGGTATGATGTTAGTTTAAAGTTTCTATAAACTCCAACATAATGAACCCGTTTAGTGTTAGGAAAAAGAAACTAATTTTTTTCGACAATAAAGTATAGCAAATATCTTTTAAAATCCATACTTTTTTATAGTTCATACATTTATAAATTACTTGCTGACCCGGCAAACCGCCAAACGTTGTTCTGCTATATAATTTATAAAGGAAATCAAATCGCTATTAAAAATGGGGGTGGGGTAGGAGGGTGAAAAATACTTCACGATCTATTCTCATACCTGCCAAACATATACAAAAACTCATTAAAGTCGGTAAAGATATTTATATATTAGATAATACACATCACGTCAGCTTACTAATGACTACCTTCAGGAGGTGAGCATAAACTGTATGAAGTCAGTGGCCAGCACGCAGCTCGAACTTCAACCCGATCGAGCATGGTGGAGTTCAGATAATGTGTGAGACTACGAGTCCCTGCAGTCCGCCAAATGTGATCAACTCGCCTGTTCGAAGGATCCTCTCTCTTTGTGTTGGGGGATATGACACCCGTTGCTTCACAGAGGAATGCGGCCCTCTGATATTCGTTTCTTCAACTCACTTTACATTTTCAGATACACCTTCGAAGTAGCACCAGCCTTTACTCTAATAGAGCTGAAGATCTTAGACCATGTACTTAAACTGTTCGGCATACCTAATGGAGACGGAATCTTCGCCCCAGGAGGCAGTATAGCCATTATGTATGGGATCGTGGCCGCCCGGTTTAAAAAATTTCCAGAGATCAAATCAAAAGGAATGAAAAGCTTGCCAGAGATGGTCATATTTACTTCTGAAGATGTAAGTTTTAATAATATATTTGTAAAATAATAATGGTAATAAGATAATGAGATAATTACTTATCACATCACATCACATCAATCAATCACCATTTGCTAAGGTTTAAAAGTAACGCTAATTATGTCCAGATGTTTTCTAATAGTCCATTACATTGGGAGCTCTAGTGATCTTAGGAGACCTATCCAGATTATATTTCTTCTTATATGGTGTTAAACTTGAGGAAACAACTTGTAAGATTTAGTTAAAAGTTTGTCCAACGAAATAATGACATTGCACCTTCATTCGAATACCCTTTCTATTCCCACCGGATGGCCGCTGGAATGATTATTTCGGAATCGCTTAGACTTAAACCACACGCCGCTGTCTCGGGTACCAGTAGCCGGGCACCAGGTGTAACCTGGAAAGGAAATTGTTGGCATCCAGGACTTTTTGCCATCAACGGCTTATAGATGACCCGCTGTGTAAGAACCACCATGTTTCTTTCTTGGCCCTATAGGGCGCGCGCGCTCCGGAGCGCGTCGCGTCACCACAATGTCAAGTACACATCTGTGTACCCGGCCGCAAAATTTCGCACCTTACTTTCTTAATTATCCAGTGTAGATGTTTTAGAAAAAAACTATGTTCAACCATGTGGACTAAAATTTATTTCCAGAGTCATTACTCCATAACAAAAGCAGCACATTGGCTTGGATTTGGTACCGACCAAGTTCGAAGAATACCCGTCAACAGCAAAGGACAGATGATTATTCAGAAACTAGATGAATCTATTCGAAATGATTTGGATATGGGCAGATGTCCTATATTCGTTAACGGGATGGCAGGCACGACAGTTCTGGGGTCCATAGATGACATAGAGGCTGTTGCTGACGTGTGTCAGAAGTATGGAATTTGGATGCACGTTGATGTGAGTATCATTGTAATATGTTTTTGCTGCTTATATCTCGAAATTATTAATTTTAAGAAAAAGTGTTATCAAAATTGAAGTTGTTACCTTAATTAAATTCATATTATTTATGTAACTAATATCAATAGTGGTATTCCTTGATATTTTGTAGCAATGTAATGAATTTGGCGTTGAAATGTGATATACTAAAATATCTATGTTACTGTTTAAATAAATATTAGTTAAAAAACTAAATAAAAACATATCTTTAACAGCAAAAAGAATTTTTGTTTGTAAAAAAGCGTGTGGTGCTTTTTCTCTATTTCCTACTAATTTTTCTCTATTTAGATACTAACTCTAGGTTTATAAATACCTACTAAATAACTATTTGAAACATTAATTAAAGTGCCCACGCTTTTCTTATACTTCTTAAAATAAATCTTGTATTGCCATCAGTCTTTGATACTTTAATCTGAAATGTTATATTCTTGAATATTACTTGTTAAACGTCTACTGTAAAGCGTCTACAAATAACAAAATCAATAATATTAAATTGTTTAATATTATGTAACGTATTGCAGTTAATTCCTTGCCATTCCATCAGAGATGCAATATTATCTTCCATGTCGCTTTCCTGCAGATTGTATCTATTAATACAGTATGCGTGACCACTTTAGAACATTATATTGTATGATTTGATTTTTCAGGCATGTTGGGGCGGTAGTCTAATGATGTCACCTAAATATAGGACTAAATTAAAAGGCATAGAAAGGTACCTACATCATTTTTTAATCATAATATCAAGAAGACCAAAACACACATTTCTCGATGGTTAGTTCCAATAAGGTATTTAAAAAAAGGAAAAATAAAATAATTGGAAACTTGTCGAAAGAAATTCAAAATGTAGGTAATCCTAACGCGATTTTTAATGAGATTTTTAAACTTTTACAAGACAATCAATCGGGTCAAATAAATGATTTAAATCTAAAACCCTGTAACTGTACGCAAACATAAACGCCTAGATTTTTGTTCGCCAAGAGTTTATTACACGACATGTAAGTACAACAGCACTGCAAAGACAAGGAATATTTGACACAAACCCTATACCAACCCGTCTGACCAACGTATTATTATAGGCCAAAACCTCCTTTCTGAGAAGAGACCCTTGTCCTGCAGTGGACTGTCAAGATCTTGATGGTGATGATGTACAGATGTTGTCATTTTTTCAGAGCAAATTCCATATCATGGAATCCACATAAGATGATGGGTGCTCCGTTCCAGTGTTCCATGATATTGATTGATGAGAAGGGGCTCTTGCACAAAGCTAACTCCGCTGCAGCGAATTATTTGTTCCAACAGGATAAGTTCTATGATGTGTCGTATGATACCGGAGACAAAAGTGTGCAATGTGGGAGAAAGGTAACCTGTTTTCTTAGTGTTAGAAAGAGTACGATAGAACGTTGTATTGTAACTATCGAAACTTTGTTAGCGAGAACTTATCCTAAAGTACCACTTTCAAAACTTCCAGATTGATGCATTCAAGTTATGGGTGATGTGGAAGGCCCGTGGCGATCTCGGTTTAGGCCAACTAGCAGATCGAACGATGGCCACAGCTGAATTCTGTCTAAAGACTGTAGCCAACCGACCTGGCTTCAAACTTGTGTCTGATGAGCTCCAGTGTCCAAATATCTGCTTTTGGTATATCCCGAAATTCATGAGAGATAAGGAACAGGATAAACAGTGGTGGGAGTGTATGCATAAGGTAATAACTATTTGAACTTAATTATTAAAATAAAATTATTATTTTTTAACAATAATGAATCATAAATTGTATGGATTCAGTAAGCGTAAAAGTTTTATATGTTATACAATTAGAACACGAAATCCACAGATTTAATTAACTTATTTAATAAACAGATTTTAATGAACTTAGGTTCATATCTAGTTTTATAGCGTTTAGAATTTAATGTGCACTATAAATGGCCTATCTAATTGAATATAAGACTCCAATCGATCGATAAATCGAGCAAATGTACTTACATCTAAAGTTTAGTTCTCTAACCCCTGAGAAATATTTTTATTTTGTGGATGGAAGGGTCCCTTACCCCTGAGAAAGTATAAAATATCATGAGGATCGCTTGAGTGTTAAAGACGTGAAGTGTATAGGATCGCGTGTGTAGCTGACCGAGTGGTAAATTAACGAAAATAAATGAAATTAAGAGTCAACGAAATTCCGATATATTTTACACTACACAAATATTACACAGTAACAGTCTACATAAGAAACACGTAAGAACGACACATATACAATAGGTACAGAAGGTGAGAAAATACTAGTTTATAGAAAATAAGTACGAAAGATAACAATTTACGGTAAGGGCGGTAGCTAAAGGCATCGAGTGCAATTCACGACTGGCTAGCGGCGGGAGCCGAAGGAATGGAATGTGTTCTCGCTCGGTTCGTGGCCGCGCCGCCGCCGCTGTGACGTAGCACTCGATGCAATAGATATAAACAATATATTTAACCCTGTCGGTTTGTCCGACAGCTATTTAATTATATAAAACAATATTCTTCGAAGTATGAAAATAGATATATGTAATAACGACATTAACAAAATGAAATAATTAAATTAATAAAAAGTATTTACGAGTATAAACTAACATAGTTACAATGAACAAAAATGTTTACACATTAAATAAGTACATAAATAAGTAGGGTCCGCTACATCACCCCCCCCTTGAGACCGTCCTACGGGCGATAATAGTCAGGAAAGTGCACTTTGCGCCCTGACCGCGTCCTTCTAACATTAAGTTCCTCAGGATCAGGTTGACTGGGAGTCTGGGATGAGTTATGTAGTAGCGGCGTGTATGATGTATGTTGGTTTGTGTCTGAATTTAAATGTGTATTTCTGGTGTGTGAGTCATGCAATATGTAGGCTGGTTTAATACGGTCTACTGATACTGTGACTTTTTTACCGTTCATAAGAATAGTTAACACTTTATCGTTCCTTTGAAGTACCTCGTAGGGGCCTGTATATGCAGGTTTAAGGGACCCGCGGTTTATTTCTTCCCTAAGTAAGATGTGGGATGCTGTGGCGAGATCTTTAGAAACGAACACTGTTCGATTCCCGTGTCGTGATGCTGGTAATGGCTGTAATTGCCTAGCAAACATACGAATTCGTGACAGGTAGTCGGTCACGTCATTAAATTCGCTTCCTTGGGACTCTAAAAACTCTCCAGGTAATCTAAGGGTCTCCCCGTAAACAAGCTCGGCTGGAGAAGCTTTAATGTCTTCCTTATAAGCACTCCGTATACCAAGAAGTACTAGTGGGAGAGATTCAACCCAGTTATCAGTGCCGTGACATGTAATTGCGGCCTTCAACTGCCTGTGGAATCTTTCCACCATACCGTTACAGGCTGGGTGGTAGGCTGTGGTACGCTTGTGTTTAAAGCCGATTAATTCTGATAGACGTTTAAACAAAGCTGATTCGAATTGTGCCCCCCGATCGGTGACGATATCCACGGGACATCCAAAACGAGCTATCCATCCATATAGTAAGGCATTGACCACAGTCTCAGCGGTGATATCACGTATTGGTATAGCCTCTGACCAACGTGTGAATCTATCAACAGCTGTGAGACAATACCTATATCCATGAGACATAGGCAATGGACCTACCAAATCTATATGGATGTGCGCGAACCTCGCTCGTGGTAATTTATATGTGCCGACCGGTGATGAGGTATGCCGAGAGACTTTGGACCTTTGACAAGCTAGACATGCCTGTGTCCATGCTCTGCAGTCCTTCCTAATACCCGGCCAAACATATCGTTCAGCAACAAGTTTGGCAGTTGCTTTAGTACCTGGGTGGCTAAAGGAATGCAGACTCTCGAAGACTCGATGACGAAGTTCCTGTGGGACGTATGGTCGGGGGGTGTTGGTACTCACGTCACAGAACAATTCAGTATCCAGTGTTCCCGGAACTCTGACCTTTTTTAAGCACAATGATGTGTTACGTACCAGTAGTCTGCTTAACTCCGTGTCGGAGTCTTGATGCTTTGCCAACTGTTCTAAGTCTACTGGTATAGCAATTTCCTCTATCCTGGATAAGGTATCTGCGACAACATTGTCCTTACCAGATATGTGCCTAATGTCAGTGGTAAATTGGGATATAAAATCTAGATGCCTGAATTGTCTGGGCGAGCAGTTCTCCTTACGGGAGTGAAATGCGTAGCACAGAGGTTTATGGTCAGTAAATACTACAAAGTCTCTTGCCTCAACCATATGTCGAAAATATTTTATTGCCTCATAAATGGCTAATAGTTCACGATCATAGGGTGAGTACTTACACTGTGAAGGACTTAGCTTCCGGGAAAAGAAAGCAAGAGGTTGCCATACGCCATCACCTCGCTGCTGTTGTAGTGCTGCGCCTAATGCCGTGTCTGAGGCGTCAGTTACTATGGCCAACTTGTATTGGCTATTCGGGTGTGCTAACAAGGTAGCATTACATAGGCTTGTCTTGCAAGCCCTGAAAGCTTCATGCTCGTCCTCGGTGAATGTAACAGGGTGGGAACCCTTTACAGAACCTTCCAGTAGTACATTCAGAGGCGCTTGTTGCTGTGCAGCGTCAGGAATGAAGCGCCTGTAGAAATTAAGCATTCCTAAGAATCGCCTTAATTGCTTCACAGTCTTTGGGGCTGGGAAGTCCTGGATGGCCTGGACCTTGGCTGGGAGCGGCATAGTGCCTTTGGCTGATATGCGATAACCTAAGAATGTTACCTCTGAAGCACCGAAAACACACTTAGATGTGTTGATGACCATGCCGTACTCCTTCAGCCTGGTGAATACCTCTCGTAAGTGACGTTTATGGGTTTCCTCATCCTGTGAAAATACTAAAAAATCGTCCAAATATGGGTAGCAATAGTCCAGCCCGCGAAGCATCTCATCTACGAAACGCTGGAAAGTCTGTGCGGCATTACGAAGACCAAAGGTCATGTACTGGAATTCGTAGAGGCCAAATGGTGTTGCGATGGCGGTCTTCGGAATATCCTCAGGGTTGAGTCTTATCTGATTGTACGCTCTAACCAGGTCTATGGTAGAGAAGACCTTACATCCCGAAAGACCATGCGCGAAGTCCTGGATGTGGCGAATAGGGTACTTATCTGGGATGGTCCTAGCATTAAGCATCCTATAGTCCCCACAGGGACGCCATCCGCACTCCTTTTTAGGAGCCAGATGAAGTGGAGAAGACCACGGTGAGTCGGAAGGTCTGGCTATACCCAGCTGTAACATAGTGGTAAACTCCTCTTTAGCGATCTTTAATTTATCAGGAGCCAGCCTACGTGGTTTACATGATACAGGCGGTCCGGGTGTAGTACGTATGTAGTGTACTGTATTGTGTTTAGGTGTTGAGTGTGTGCCAGATGGGCGAGTAATGTCGGGAAATTCCATTAGTAAACTATGATAAACAGACTCACCAGTGACAACCTTAACCGAAGAAATAATGTCACAAGGATAGACAGGCAAAGCCACGGTCGCGAGGCTTGTGTTGTTATCCACTAATTTCTGCTTCCTGCAATCAACAATCAAGTTAAAGTGAGACAAAAAATCTACGCCTATTATCGCCTTGGTGACGTCTGCAATTACGAAACGCCAGGGAAAGTCACGGCGCAACCCGAGATTTAATAATAGATTTATATAACCATAAGTCTGTATTCTACTGCCATTAGCCGCACACAATTCATAATTTGTTTCATTTAGTTTTTGATTTAACATTTTAATTGGAAAAACACATAAGTCACTACCAGTGTCAATTAAAAATTGTACCTTCGTTTTCACATCCGTAACGAACAGGCGACCGGTAGTCGGACGGTCGTTTGTCGCCATTACCGACCGCCCGCGTCGTTTCCCGAGTAGTCGCAGGGTTTAACACAACATTTCGCTTTACCCCCAAATTTGGTATGATACCAACACAGGGGATGGTTGCTGTAATTAGATGCCGACCTTGTGGAATGAGATCGACGACGATGACGGCTACTGGAACGGTTTTTATCTCGTCCTTGTCGTGTCGCTCGTGATCTCCTGACCTCAGTTGAAAGCGTTCTAACCTGTTCAGTGAGCGCTGCTATTTGTCGCTCCATTGTGGCTACTAAGCTGTCTGGTGGTATGTGGGATGTGGAGGCTACGTGTTGGTAGGATGGGACCACATCGTGTATGCGGTCTGCCAGGTCTGCCAACTCCTCCAAAGATGCTTTCAGCTGCGATGCAATGATTGTTTGCGTCCCTTGCGGTAGCCGACTCGACCAAATGGTTTTTAAAAAATCTTCCGGTACACCGGGGCCAGCTAAATTTTGCAAGTGTCGTAAAAATTGCGACGGCTTTCTGTCCCCGAGCTCCTCATGGGTAAGCAGCTGCTTCACCTTCTTTTCACGACTTGCTGAGAGTCGCTTAATCAGCTCCGCTTTCAGCTTATCGTATTTTCCGCTTGTAGGCGGTGATGTAATAATATCTTCTACCTCCGCCGCATATTGTGGCTCCAGTTGGGCGATGGTATAGTAGAACCTGGTCGTATCACTCGATATGTTCGACAGGACGAACTGCCCTTCCAGCTGAGCGAACCACAACGCTGGTTTCTCTGGGTAAAATGGTGGTACCCGCACGCCTACGCGGCATGACTCCGCGTACTCCTGTTCTTCTTTCGGCATTTTTTTTGTAGTATTCTTCCTCGTGTACAGTTCGGGGTCACCAGTTATAGGATCGCGTGTGTAGCTGACCGAGTGGTAAATTAACGAAAATAAATGAAATTAAGAGTCAACGAAATTCCGATATATTTTACACTACACAAATATTACACAGTAACAGTCTACATAAGAAACACGTAAGAACGACACATATACAATAGGTACAGAAGGTGAGAAAATACTAGTTTATAGAAAATAAGTACGAAAGATAACAATTTACGGTAAGGGCGGTAGCTAAAGGCATCGAGTGCAATTCACGACTGGCTAGCGGCGGGAGCCGAAGGAATGGAATGTGTTCTCGCTCGGTTCGTGGCCGCGCCGCCGCCGCTGTGACGTAGCACTCGATGCAATAGATATAAACAATATATTTAACCCTGTCGGTTTGTCCGACAGCTATTTAATTATATAAAACAATATTCTTCGAAGTATAAAAATAGATATATGTAATAACGACATTAACAAAATGAAATAATTAAATTAATAAAAAGTATTTACGAGTATAAACTAACATAGTTACAATGAACAAAAATGTTTACACATTAAATAAGTACATAAATAAGTAGGGTCCGCTACAAAGTGCAACAAACAAACAACAGAAATAAATCAATTCATATTCGTGTATTTAAAATATTAGTTATGAGAATAAGGTTTATAGGTAGTAATATACTCGCTATATATATTTAGAAACTTTATCTTTTCAGGTAACCCCGAAAATAAAGGAGCTCCTGGTTCTTTCATCTCGTTTGATGGTGTCATATACACCGCTGCGTCTGCACAAAAACTTCTTCCGTATAGCTTTCCAGTTCCATCCAGCCGTGGACGAGCCACATATCATAGATATGCTAAGAGCTATAGAGGAGAGTGGGGAAACTATAACCATGTGTATGTTGGAGAATACACCATAAAAGATTTTTCCAACTTGTACATATGGTTCAAAGACAAAAGGATTACTATATTATGGCCTAATGGATATTATTAAATCACATTTGTTATTCTATGCACTTAATGCTACATTGATAGCAATTAACTATATGAGACTTATTTAATAAATAGTCCAATAACTTGTCAAATTGAGTTTATTCATTTAAATTTTGTATAAACCTACAATTTATTCAATGGCACACTGTGTGGTTTTAGTTGGTTCGATTCCCACACACCGCCCCGCCGCAAAACCAACTCCGGCAATGCATTTATTCTTCTGATCTAACCTAATTGAAACTATTCACCAGCTACCATTTAAAAAATAATACGCATTTTTGAGTTGTTTATTCATGGGCGGCGTTAGACATTTACTACCAGGTGACCAATATGAAAGTCAGTTATAGAGTCATTCGATATTCCTGTTCAAAATTTCAACTGAATGGCTGGGGACTATGACGTCGTGCCCCGTGATCAGAGAGTTTAAAAGAACAGCCGCCACAGCGCCTGACAAAAATTAACACGCAACACAACAGAAACGAAGTGGCTGTATGTTCAACCTCATGGAAAATGTTACATATACAGCCACACAAATTTAATACCCGACATGGAGTTAACAAGTCGCTTTTCGCCGTTATAAAAGGCCGCCCCAGTTGGTATTTGACTATTGTACCAACTGAGAATCGTTCGAAATACAGAACAGATAAGAAGTTTTAATTGAGAAACAATATCAATTCATTAGCAACTATGGTTTATTATAATTCATTGATTTAGTTTATAAACTTTTTATGATTACATTAGAGCTACCAGTATTGGCTGATCTGTTTTTCTACCTTTAGAGGCCGAGATTTTTGTGTGTAAATATGATTATACTAAAAAAAATTACGCAGTGAGCATCTGAAGAAAAAACAGAAGATTTTATTTTTATTACCATACATTTTTTAATCTATAGATTCGTAGTAAATCGCTTATAGATATAATATTATGAGTTTGTGGTCAAGGCAATACAAGATCAGACCGACCGTAGTTGTCGATCCCAAGTGGTCAAGTTATGTCGATCAAACCTCGGTCAGCAAGTAAAAAGCAAGCTGAAATTATTCAAAATAAATATTAGTAACAAAAATAATGTTCATATAAATAGCGGCATAAGAAAAATTGTGTAAACCAGTTTTTCGGGTATACAAATATACCCGAAAGGAATACCTAACTTTACATTTTAAAAACAGACAGCATTAAACTGCCACTAGCACCAGCCCCGAAATCAATTCTAAGGTTGTCTAGTAGAGTTCACATTTTGCGATATGACCGTGACCGGTGACCGCGCATTGAACATAATATAAATCTTACTATATATTGAGATCAATTGCAGTACTATGTATGAGGTGTAAAAAAAAGAATGTTCTGTTTTATTTTATCCTATTGGGAAAGATCAAAAAATGATGTTTGTAACGACGCAAACCGTAAACGAGACATAGTCTTTCCATCTGGAACTTTATTATTCTTGTTAGTACTATTGCGAGAAAATTTTATGCAAGCATAGTATGTGTGCATAATATATTCAAGGCACCTTTTGGGTCAATCAGCCCACGCGTTCTTCTTATTATGTCTACCTAATACATTTTACGTACTCTAATCAATTGCGTTACATAAACAAACAATATGACACACTCTCTTCTTAATATGGTTTAAAAGCTAAACGTTGTCAAGTGAGTCAATTAGTTTGACAATTTGTTAACACACTTAGCACTGCAATGGGCTGGGAAATTGTTCATTAAAGTACAGATAAAATCAAAGAATGCTGAAACTATTTGTATAAAGCGGTTCGGTTATGAGGGTAGTTAGCTAGAAAGCTGTCATAAACAAGTAAACAATGAAGTGCGTTTTTGAATGAAAGCAAAGATGTATATGTATAGTATATCTCTGTGACGATGAACACTGTTGATATTTTTGAAAGCCATGTTCTCATGGAAGTGATGTAAATCAATCATGGTTCTGGCAACAGGTACGTACTCATGTGATAAGTGGATTATTATGTAAATATTATTCTTGATTCCGGGATTGATAATGTCTTGGATCATCTACTCTGGTGTCTGTCGGGGCCATTCGGTGTGTGTGGCGTGGATTATAATAACAAGGTACTTGTGAATGACGTGACGTCTACCAATACACCGCATCGTATAATTGATTTAAAAAAACACGCTTTCTATAGAAAACCAAACTAAAAAATAAAATTGAAAAAAAGCGTTGGGTGCCTGTTGTCAATAGTAAAAAGCACCCCACGCTTTTTTTTCAAATTTATTTTCTATTAATTAGTTTGTTTTTTTATAGAAAGCGTGTTTTTTTTATATATATTTTTTAATAAGTGTATTGTCATCGGTTCTCGATATATCTACAAAGTTTGAACGGATTCTGACCGTTTAAAGTCAGTCAAAATCACGCCCAAAGAAGTCGGTTACAAACATACAAACAAACATACAAGTGAAGCTAATATAAAGCTTGTAAAAACATGTAGGCATGGACGTATAAAAAAGTACTTTTTTAAACGTCCATGTACGTAGGTAGGTAATTTATGTAGCTACCAACTCTAATTTGCTGCAACTGCAACTGAACAGCAACAAATGTTTCAAGAAACAACATGCGTAGCCGCTTGATAGCCACAGAAAAAATAAAATTACTAGTAGGTACAGGAGTTCTACTGAGTTAAATCATTTCGGTCCGTGTGGTGACAGATTAAGAATATAGAGTGTCACCACCCTTATTCATACCGTGGGTGTCGTAAGGGAAAAAACTACGCAGAACAACAACACTGCAGAGAGAAGGAAAACTTGACACAAATCCTATACCAACCCGTCTGGCCCAGCATGGTATACCATGGCCAAAACCTCCTTTCTAAGGAGAGGCTTATGTTCAGCAGTGGACTATGAAAGGCTGTTGGTGATGATGATGATTAAATCATTTCAAATAAATAGCGACTTGTTTAAACACAATAAAGTGCAAACCGGAATCGCACAGCGCTAATTATTTGAAGTTATAATCACCGAGAAGTCACCTCGTGTAACTCCTTTTCTAACGGTGTTCGGTTTTATTTTTTGGTGACTTTGGAAATGTGGGAAGCGTACATTAAAATATTGCGGTTAAATAATAATAAAATCTACTTTATGACGCGACGCGGCGGCAAAGAGATATTAGAATAAATTGTTCGCGGACAGGTGCAAAGTCAGTAGGCCAATGAGTTAGTCTGAACAGTCGATGTAGCCCCGTAATTGTACCTTCATGGCTGTAGTGCGGAGTGACCTAATCCTTAAATAGTAAAATTATAGACTAATTAATAACGTATGTTGTTTTATTCCGATCGGATACCGATGATCCTCATTCAAAACTTAAAAAAGACAGGGTACCTACAAAAAGATCTGAGTCACATGGGACGTTGGGAAAGGGTTTTTAATTTTTATGTAATAAAGTAGAAAGATAAATAAAATGCTGTTAAAAAAGTATGTATTATATGTCAATTATTTCACAATGGTGTATGACAACTCGGAATCTTAAAACCTAGTGTTCTGAACGATCCACGGTAGATACTTATCTACGCGCGTGTAGATACCAGGGTGGCGTGGTTCACCGCAGCGCAGTCCCCAAGACACTACGCCGATCACCGTCCAACGACCGCTTGGCATCTGGTACATAAGCGGACCGCCGCTGTCTCCCTGTGAAACAAGAACGAGACATTATTTACTTTATTATTACTTATTACGGATGGGTATGTATAAATTGTTATTTGTTGTTTATAAATCGTTGTATGTATAAAAGATGTTTTGTATATATTTATACCAAAAGCATCGCGTCAACTCCGTTAATTGAGCCGTCCAGAATGGTATTACAACTTAGCCATGACACGGTAATCCTTATAGGAGTTGTTTTTGTTCTCTATAATTATTGATAATAAGATATATAGGACTCGGGTTGCATAAGTCATCATCATCATCATCAACAGCCTATACTAGTCCACTGCTGGACATAGGCCTCTCCTTGGAAAGGAGGTTGCATAAGTAATTGTATTTTATTCATCACTAGCTGTACTCGGCATGTTGCACTGCCACGTAAAGTTTAAAGAAATAACGAAAAAATTATACACTCTACCAAAGATTCATCACAATCTGAACAATGGTTTCGGCAGGCATAGAGGACAAAATAAATATACCAACATTTATTTTATTTTAATATAATGAGCCTTATTTTTAAGATGTGTTTGAAGCTTTATCGTAATTAGGTACCTATTTGCAAATATATACATCTTGTTGAGAAATGTAGCAATATAAATTATTACTGTAATATAGCTCCAGGAAATATAAAAATAAGAGATTGCTGCATGACAAAGGAACGTTTTTGCTTAGTTGAAATGACTCTCATAACCGTTTCCTGTGAGAGCATTTCATTTGTTTTATGTAGACATTGTTGTAACGTTTAATCCACAAACATACCTGACAAGAGTCCTTCCCTCCTTCATATCCTCCAGCGCATATGGTTTCATCAAATATAGTGTCAGTAAATGATGACACACAAACGTCATGGTCCCAAATAGGAACTGTCACTTCCATCAGAACATGGCTGTGGGGGCCACCAAATGACTGTGTACCCCAACCTGGAATAGTAACAGAGGAAAACTAAAAGTCGTTCTATTCTGGATCATACAATGCAAGGTTTTAATTTTTATAAAACTTATTTTTATTATTGTAGATATCATTGTAGAATTATAATTTATAAGGTTAGCATACTGCAGATAAATCCTTTAAAAAATAATTTAACCGACTTCAAACAATACTAACATAGAGCACTAAAAACCCAGCAGCAATCGCGATTGATTTACTGTCATTTTTTGAAGAGTTCCGTTATCTGTCTTCGAAACTCATCATCAGATCTATATAGAATTTAAATAGGACTATTTCGGAATAAACTCCTTTCGAACAAAAAAAATAACTTTTAAAATCGGTCCAAATATGACGGAGTGAACCGACACATAAAAAAAATATAAACATCCGAATCGATAACCTCATCCTTTTTGAAGTCTGTTAATAATGGTAGCCACACGTGTCTGTGTATTTGATTTAGGCGAATCAGAAATTTCTCATATTGATAGCTTTCAGCTGTTAATATGATTAGCAGCACACTTGTATTATTATTAGCCACTTTAGAAAATTTAGAAATTAAACATCACACGATTATTGATGCTCGATTTGTTTCCTTAATGTTATAAAAGATTTTATGTATTATTTAAATACAAGCCCATGGTTAGACAAATCCGTTTATTCACTTGGCAACAATCGAATGTTCAAGAAAGTAGATTACTATTCTAGAATGTTTTACAATATTTAGGAGTAGTTTCCAGAGGGGTCGAGTCAATTGAGTTATTATGTGATTTTTCGGAAAGTTCTCTTATCTTCTGGAACTTTCTATTAGACAGGCCCAACAAGCAAGATATGGTGAAGTTACATTCTACAGTGAATAAACCAGGGCAAAGTATATCGAACAGTAGAAGCGAATATCAGTGGCAATTGTCATAAGTTCCAGATTACTATGTTTTTACCTTTGATCGAAGTAAATGTTTATATAATGTTACAATATACTTACCAATTACAATGGCTGGTTCATTAGTCAGTTTTAAACCAATAGGCGGCAGGCATATCGGCCACACATAAGTATTGAATAAAGCAGGTCGATGTAATTGTAGTATTGCGATGTCATTCTTGTAACTAGCCAGCTGGAAGTCTTCATGTTGACGAATCTCTGCGACCCTGAAGTTGGATGTACGGGAGTCGTTCGTACGCTTGAAGTCGTACTCCCCAAGACGAACTAGAAGCTCTTCTGCTTTCCATCTAAACAAGCATGTTTATTGAAGAACATGAGATGAAATAATTATAATATATTTATTTTTCAGACAATTAGAATCCACTTTGTTAGTAACAATATAATCTTTAACCCATGTTACGAGTAGTACAATTCAATTACAATTTATTACACTATCTGTCCTACTCAATATTTCAGTGTGGGACAGTCTATTTTTATAACAATTGCCTTAAGGGCGCTGTTAGCGCTGGCCCGTATCGATATTCTTTTACGTTATACGAGCGTAAAAGTCATCTAAGGGCCTATTGCAAGTTTATTTCACATCAACAAGCTTTCGATGGCGAGCGCGTTTGGCGTTGCCATTGGTGCAGATTTCAGTACAGACCAATCACTACGCCGAACGCGTTCACCGTGACGATCGAGTAGATGTGAAATAAACTCACACTTGGACCTCTGTACGTTCTTGTGCTAACATCGGCGACGCGCTACAGTGACGAGGGAGACTCAACAAAGCCCTAAAGACATTGTTATACTGAAGTCAGAGATCATTGTAAGCTTTCTCAGTTGACCCACAGGGCACTCGTATAGAATACTTGACAAAAGGCTTTGAACAAGGGGCAAACTTGCGAACCTGCGTATTTCTTTTACGTATTTACCTTTCTTTTCCTTTCCTATATTAGCATCATCTTTCAGAGTGTTCGTGATGATGTGGCCTCGGGTGAGTGATATAGGCTGCACTTTACTTAGGTTTTTGTTACCCGATGCAAACACCACAATCCATGTGTATACGAGTCATAAACTGCTATTAACCTGATATATCCTGGTTGAATGAATAAACAATAAAAACTAAGGACACCTCAACAAGACCGTCTGATCCCAAGTTAGGCAGAGCCTATAAATAAATAACACAGGCAGATGAAAGTGCCTACCCAATTATTTGTCCTTTACCGAATTCAAACCCATGATCCCCGGTTCAACACTTAGGATCACTAACCACTATAAAAACTTCTTAAAAATCCCAAATACCTCTGAGTGATGTCCAGACGTGGGATAGCTATTAAATTGATGTATGATGATAACTGATACTTACACAAATACATACAAAACTAAGTATGCTGGTAATTGTATACTAGATGTGCTAATTAATTAATAACGATTAAGTATTTTTTTATTCTTCTTCTTCTTAAAAAAGACAACTCCCGCATTAGGAATTTATCCTGTGTTGCGGGGAAACACAGAAAGAACACCCAGACTTAGAACAACAATTTGTGGATCTCACAATGTGTCGTCCCATATGGGAACCGAACCTACAACACTCAGCGTAGTAGGAAGCGGCGTGGCAACCGCTTAAACCACTACGCCATCCGTGCAGTCTAATTATTATTATATAAGAAATTATTATTACTTAACGATAATTATTGATAAAACTAGAACAATATTCCTTGGCTAATCTGAATGTCATTTGCATCCGAAGATTAGAGAATTGTATATAGACATAGTTTTAAGGTGTAAAAGAGAAAAAGATAGGTTAGTGGGACTGATGGGTTAAGCTGTAAAAGTATACTTGAACCTTCTAGTACAATGTGCTGCCGTGAGTACATGTTTGTCAGTGATCAGAGTACCACCACAGTACTGCTCAAAGCCTTCGGGAGTAACGGACGCCATCCATGGCCAGTCGCGAGGATTTGCCTGCTTGGCACCCAGTACCCGACTTTGTTGACGAGTACTTAAACCACACCCTGGTAAAGTAAATAGAAGATCAGATCACGATGTAAATAAATATTGTACTACTGTTCCGTAATAACACAATATAAAAAAAAACAGTGTAAGACCCAAACATTGTATATATGTAATTTTCTGAGGAGTTGGCTTTCCCGCAGACTACTTGATGCAGTATCAAGTTCAAGGTAACCATGTCACATCAAATTAACGATATACCAAATTTCAGATCAAGCGAAACTGTGGATTTTAGTGAGATCCCTTCATCACCTAGGAAGTGAGCTGATGATCTTCAAATTTATAGCTAAGAACCGTCTCGATCATATCGGCTTTGGAACAAAAGAATCCGCATCGAAATTCATCCATCCATTCGGGAGCTATGATGCCACAGGTTAAATTTATAACACCCCTCGTTTGCCGTCGGGGGCTTATAAAAGATTGAAATATTGATGTCATTGATTTATAATAATTTAGTTGCTTTTAATGGAGTGAGAGTCCTTTTCGAAGGCCCAAATCCCCTCCCCTTTATTCCCCTTCAGGGGAGGCGGAAGGGGCAAGTAAAGGGCAGCAACGTATTTGTGTCTCTTGAATTGCAGGTGTCATTGGTCAGCGGAAGTCAATAACCATCGGGCCTAGTGGAAGTTTATTTCACTCCTAGTTGATCGTCACGGTGGCCGCGTTCGGCGTTTAGATTGACCCGAACTTAACTCTACACAGATCACAGATACTTCTGTGATTGGTGTAAAGTGAAATAAACTTACACTAGGCCTCAGGTGACCCGTTTCCTACTTCGTCCACTATGAAGTTTTGGCAAATTTTGTATAAATATTGTTTTTTTTAAATAAAATAATAATAAAGTATTTTATAAAAACATTACTAGCGCTTAAAGTTATGAACTGTCTCCGCCAGAACAGTAGGTGTTTTTTCTGAATGTAAGGTTAGCCTAAGTGCTTTTCAGTAACCCCGGCAACGTGTATGCAAAAATCGTCGGTTTCGGTTTTTCGGTTCGGTTGGGTGGTTGCGGCGCGTAAGCGTCACAAACAAGTAAACCGTTTGAGGCATTTGTAGCTGTTTATTCATTTCCAAGACACATTGTCACTGCCGGGTAAAGATACCTAGTACATAAATAATATTAAAGGTTGGCATAAAAATAACATTAAATAGTGAAAACAATATCGCTACTATCAAATTAATAAAATTTGTGAAAATATATAAAATACTCATTATTTTGAAAAGTTTTGCTCTTTTGCCGTGTATGACGTGTTTTTTCGTTTGAGCTTTGTTTTTTGTTTCATCATTTACGACATCATTTACGACAATAACTGGAGTCATTTATAAGTAGCAACCTAACCTGGGGTTAGGTTGCTACTTATAAATGACTCCAGTTATTGTTGTGTATAGCATCACTCCATTATACGCGATGTTTAGTACTTTAGACTAGCCGAGCCGTTACATAAAGAAATCTAATTTAGCGTCATTAGTTCATAGTTAGTTTTAAAGTAAGTATTGTTTAAGCACGGCTTTCTTAAAGATTTTTAAAGATATATTTCCTGAATTCGGAACCTTTTTTGAGTTTTTAAGAAACCGTGATGGGAACTATAAATTGATAAGTAAGTTGTTATTGAACCTCTATTCTCAGCTCTGATAACTTTCATGGCGGCCTCATTTTGCTCTTCCTCTGGTGCAGTGGCAGGTAAGTCCCCGGCTAATCCTTCCGCTCCTCCACGTTTCACTATTTCCGGACAACAGACTCCCACTGACCTAAATAACATTATTTTTTCTTAAGAAGAGATTACCTTTTTTAGATTAAAATTCTAACGTAACTGTGTCACGATCTTTATGGCGCCATATTAATTGAAAACATATTATTCCCAACCAGAGGATTGCGAATGAATGTACGTATATCAAGCAAGTAGGTACCTACAAGTTAAATAAAAAGGCTCGACGTACACTGATCAAAGAAAATTTATTTTATGTTCCCAACTACACTAAACTTTTGACTAGTCGCTGCAAGTCCCTTTATCGGAAAAATTTCTTTTATCGTTTTGAAATGAACTTTACATAATTCCACTTTCAGTTTACCAATGCCTCCGTTATGATATACATCAACAACCTTTACTAGTCCACTGCTGGACATAGGCCTCTCCTTAGAAACGAGGTTTTGGCTTACTATACCACGCTGGCCAGACGGGTTGGTATAGGGTTTGTTTCAAGTTTTCCTTCTCTTTGCAGTGCTGTTGTCCTGCGTAGTTTACTCCCTTATTCGGTTCTTACGACACCCACGGGATGAAAAGGGGTGTTGACACTCTGTATTCTCAATCCGTCGCTACACGGTGATATACAATTTCTTTAAATACAACTTCTTTAAATTCAGCCAACACTGTCGAATCAGTTTTACTACGTGCACGTCACCAGAATTTTGTGTAGATATGATTACCGAAGCTCGAGGGACTCCGTTGGTGTTGGAAACATCTCTAAGTACCGGTAATCATTAAGTGGATATTTGTTTCTGTTCTGGTTATACAAAAATGTGTTAAAAAACTTACGTATGATCAAGAACGCAGACGTATTCCATAAACATGACGAAATCATTACGGAATTTGTCCTGCACGCAGTACCGTAGATGTCTGCAGCGGCCGGTTTTACCATTTGGTAGCAAACACGGCTGGGCTGCAACATTGATCTGTAGGAAACAGTGCAAGGTCTCATTATAAATATGGTTTCTGTTATAATTCTTGACGCTGGTGGCTAAAAGAGCAATACACCTATTTACATGGATATGAATCCATAACCTGCACACCTTTTCTCATGAATGCGATGCCGCATAAATATTTTCCCTTAAACATGTAAACTTGTAACACGTGAGTTCTAGCTTAAGTTAATTACATTGTTGATCCCAATACCGATAATGTCACGTCCCATCTACTCTGACACCCAGGCCGCCTGTTATAACAGGTTGGCGGCGACTGGCGTCTGCGTGTGCACCGGTTAATTGATTTGCATGTAATTTTACACAAATTTGTTGTTACGAATTATAGTTTGCCAGTCTCCACATTTACTTTCTATTATCTGTATAATATACTAAGAATAGGCTATAGAAAAAATAGAGTCGACTAGATGGTAATTAATGGTATTATAGAAACACTCTTGTTTTAGAAAACACAATATATCAGCATAGTTCATGAGCATTGACATGTCTTAAAAGGCCTTAGAGAGCAGCAATATGTTTTATGCTTTAACTAAAATGTTTCGCTGCATACACACAAATTATATAAATATTTTAGACGTTAAGATTCATTTCTAAGGGTCCGATGTACTGAAGATAAAATAAAAATGATATAATAATAATAATATAATAATAATATTCTACCACATACACACAACGCCATCTAGTCCCAAACTAAGCAGAGCTTGTACTATGGGTACTAGACAACTGATATAAATACATATATTCTTTTTTTTTGTAAATACATACATATTATACATAGAAACACCCAGACCAAATCAAACATCAAATGTTCATGCACACAAATGTTTGACTTGAGCGGGAATCGAACCCGCGACCTTTAGAATAGCAGTCCGTTACACAAACCACTACGCCATCCGGTCGTCCGTATGTTTGAGATGCCTATTCGTTATAGCTTTTCGCTTATTAAGAAGGATATTATTATTGACTTTCAAATAAATTACAGTATTACAGTATTATTACAGTAATAACAGTTCGGTCACAATTCAGTTCTGATCAACTCTCGATCTCACGAGTGTCATAAAAGGTATTTTAGTAGTAAAGTATTAATAATCCAACGTTGACTGTAATGTGATTTTATCGTATTGTAGCCGAAAATTGAATCGGTAATCTGTGGGCCAAGTGCGAGTTTATTTCTCATCGACTCGCTCTCGACAGCGAGCGCGTTCGGCGTTGCGATTGGTCGGCGCTGAATTGTACACCAATCACAGCGCGGAAGGCGGTCACGGTGACGATCGAGTAGAAGTGAAATAAACTTACACTAGGCCCTCTGCTAGTCTTAGTATTACTTTACTATTTTACCTTTTACGACAGTTGCGAGATCGAGAGTCGATCTGGGAATTGTGTTCGAACTTTTATTACGAGAATCGGCTTTCTGAGGCTCAAGTGCGAGTTTATTTCACATCTACTCGATCGTCACGATGCATGCGTTCGGCGCTGCGATTGGCCCGCACTGAAATTTACACCAATCGCAACGCCAAACGCGCTCGCTGTCGAGAGCGAGTTGATGTGAAATAAACTTGCACTAGGCTGTCTCATCTCAAGTGTTCTGATTGAAAGGTACACTAATTATCTTTTTGCGATTCTTTGCTTATTTGCAATTCCTAGTGAGTTTGTTGCTGGAAGCAATAAATGAGAGGAGAGTTATGTTAACTTGAGTGGAAAGTACCTGGTTCCCGTTTTGTATTGTAAGGAAACGCTTAGCTCTTCCGCTGCCAATGTGCATACCGCCTGCGTCGATTACATCGTGCCAGGCCGGGTCTATAAGCTTAGCTGTAAATAATAATATGCATGTTATGTAACACAAACAAGTGTTATTTAAAGAAAGTTAAAGTATTAGGAAAAGGACTTAAAAGTTGACTAGCTAAGGAATTGTGTCACGTTCTTGCTTTAGTTACTTTGGTTACTAATCTAATATAATAATGCGTTTGGCAAGCCAGCTGAACTGTTTCTTGAAAATGACATCATCCGTTTGCAGCGTGTGTTTCGAAACTTAACACCCAGCAAAAGAAGGCCTGCAGGGGTTCTAAAATTTCGGACCGCCTTTTAAAATCATCTTAGCAAAACGGTACGGTAGCAAAATAGTGGACATAGTTTACCAGGGATTCTGAGATATGTAAATTGGATATATTGGATTTACTACAAGTTACAACATTTACAAGTTTTGAATTTCATGATTTTAGGATAGGCTTAGTTATTCCACAGAAGTCAAAAAAATTACGAAAATACTGTTCCATTTACTTATAATATTTTTATAGATTTGTTATAAATTTGAGCAGTAGCTGATAGGCAAGAAAACAGACCGCGTTTCTAAAAATAGGTAACATTTTAACTTCCTACGCTTGAAACATTTTAAGGTCAAATTTATTGAAAACTGTGGTAACTAGATCAGGTAAATGATTGCACGATTGAAATTTAACTTGTTGTAAAAAAACTATTTATCTCTGGTACAAAATTCGTGTGAGTGGAACAATTGTATGTGAAATCATAACTCAAGTACGTACAATGATCCGGCAAACAATCTTCACAAACAAATAAATTAACATTCTGTAACAGAAAAAAAAATACTTACACTTCAAATCATCTCCACTGACACTAACAAGAATCGCCACTAACACTCCAAGAAACAACATGCTTTACCACTAGCCCATACACCACTCAGGCCAAGTAGAAACTAATTTTAAAGTGATGATGTTTTATCCTAGCCGGATACCGATGATAACTGCGCCATAATCCACAGGATGCTGGCGCTGATATGGCCTAAAATGTGCCCGCATATTCGTTCTTTACGCTTCAAGGTTTTTGTAAATTGATTTATCATTAATTTTTTGCAACATTTTCCTTGATTTTATTTTCAAAGTTTTAGAAAATGGTAATTACTTCACTGAAGCATAGGGTAAAAACACATTTACATCAGGTGATTTGTAAAGAATTAAAACTGACATTAAAGGTTTAGGAAAACTAAAAAAAACATGTTTTAACTGAGATAGTTAAACATCCTGGCTTTGTCATTTGATCATCATCGAAGCCCAGTCCGTTAAACTCGACTCGCAATGAGACCAAAATATGGTCTAGCGGCCATTAAAGAGCTCCTGGTTCCATTATCAGAATGATCTGAGCATCACACGCCACGTCTCCGTGCTAACTCAGAAAGGTCGAATGCCAATATCATTAAACTAGATATACATATGTATGGGCAAAGTTTTGCTTCAATACGTGGGTTAAAATTAACATCCAAGATTTCTTTACACAGTTAGTTACATGTGAAATTACTAATAGCAGGTTAAATACTAAAGATGACATAATTCTAAGAGTAAGTAGTTACTTGTGATATACAAGATACCTTTAAAGATTAAAGAGTCGTAAAATCTGCATAAGTATTACCTATCCTCATACCTCTTTCTTAGTATTTGTAAAACAGATTTATGAGCGCATTAATTAAGTCAAGCTATTCATATAACACGTAATTTGCGCGAGGGAGCGAGGTGCGATATTGGGTTGCAATTAAAATGCCCGCCCCATTAGCGCACAGGACAAGTTGCGCCGGCGCCGGCCATTGACGTACACTACTCTGTCGTGTACTAACTGCAAATTGTACGAAACAGTAACTGAATACTGCCGTATTTAGTTACTGTTTCGTACAATTTGCAGTTTCCTATTTAAACTTCATGTGAACTGTCTGTAACGCATAGGGCTTCAAAAATGATGTTGGGTGTCTATCCAGGATTTCCGATTCTGCTACACATACCGCATTTCCGTTGTCATTTATATGTTTGGTCCTGCACAGATGTGTTCAAAATATTAGGTTTTTCTTGGTTCACCTTTTTGGGATATCTTTTCAAATAAGGTCACTAGTGGGAAGTTCAATTTTTTTTGGATTGCCAGCCAGATAGCAAAAACTGTTGGCTTTTTAAACATTCAAGGTTAGGTTAGGTTCCTACTGTGAGACTCCCCTTGTGGCCAGGCGCGCCGCCTCTTGGAAGTTCGCCCCCCGGGCTGTAACCAGAGTATCATCTGCGTAACAAATTGCATTGAATCGGCAGGCCGTCCCGGCTTCCTTAATAGGACCAGCTTCCCGCTCTTCCAGCACTCAGGGAAACGCCAAGCTAGCGTCGAACACCTCCCCGAGGCGGTCTGCCATGTGGTTGAGGGCTAGGGCCAGCACTCGGGCCGGTACCCCGTCTGGCCCAGGGGCGGTGTTCTTGGAACGGATCCGTAGAACAGCCGCCCCTACCTCCGAATCCCGGACGGGCGGAACATCACCCTCCTCGTGCTCCCCGTCGTCTCCGGCCAAGGAGGCCATCGCCGGGGGAGTGTGTTCCGCTCGTTGCGGGAAAAGGCCTTCAACCACTTCTCGCAGGAAGCTGGGCTGGAGAGTCTCCGTAAGGGGGGGGGGGGCCCGACGCGCGGAGCTTTTATCGCACCGCGCGGAAAGGGCGACCCCAGGGGTCACGATTAAGACCCTCCAGCATCTCCTCTCTCTTTTCTTCTTTGGCGTGGTCGGGCGCATTGAGGCGCTGGGCTTACGGGTGGCCCTAGATAAGACGGAGGCTCTGTTATTTCAGGGGCCCCGTCGTGGTCCACCCCCTGGCGCCTCAATCGTGGTCAACTCGGTCCTCGTACCGGTTCGGGCCCAGATGAAATATCTGGGCCTGATCCTCGACGGGAGGTGGCTCTTCGACGAGCACTTCCGACAGCTTGCTCCAAAGCTGGTCGGCGCTGCGTCTGCCCTAGGACGACTTTTGCCCAATTTGGGTGGACCCAGCGTCGCGACAAGACGGCTGTACACGGGGGTTGTCCGGTCAATGGCACTATACGGTGCACCGGTGTGGGCGGCGGCTCTGACCGCCCAGAATAGGGCACGCCTCTGGCGCCCTCAGAGGGTAATGGCGGTCAGAGCCATACGCGGTTACCGCACCGTTTCGAAGGAGGTGGCGTGCGCGTTGGCCGGAACTCCCCCGTGGGATTTGGAGGCGGAAGTGCTCGCCGAAGTTTATCGGCGAGTGGCTGACTCCCGGGCGGAGAGCGGATTTCGCCCTCCGCCCGAAGACGTGCGCGAGTGGCACGAAGCCGCTCGCCGAGCCACGATGGCTCGTTGGTCGTTCCGGCTGGAGACTCCACGCGCTAGCTTCGCCACCGTGGAGGCTCTCCAGCCGGTCATCGCCGAGTGGGCAGGGCGGCAGCACGGGACCCTTACCTTCCGGCTGACGCAGGTGCTTTCCGGGCACGGTTGCTTCGGAAAGTACCTGCACTCGGTCGCTAGGAGGGAACTGAGTCCCGCCTGCCACCACTGCGACTGCCGTGAGGACTCGGCCCAGCACACGCTGGCGGTCTGCCCCGCATGGGCGACGCAGCGCCGGGCTCTCACTGCAGTCATCGGAGTGGATCTCTCGCTACCGGCCGTAGTACGCTCCATGGCCGGTAGCGACAGTTGTTTTACCGCGGTCGCAACCTTCTGCGAGGAAGTAATCTCGCAGAAGGAGGCGGCGGAGAAGGCCCGGGAGGACGACCTCCACTCCTGCCTGCCCTGAGTGTGGCCGCGGGTGGACGGGGTGGGTTTCCCCTCCACCCGCATTAGTTTGGCCAGCCGCGAGGGGGCGGCGTCCGTGTGTGCCGGACGTCGCCTAAAGAGAGGAAAAAAAAATAAAAAATTTTTGAGACGGAGCCCGCAACAGGAGCGGGCCGGTGCTAGGAGGGGTCCGGATGTCTTAATAACAGCTGTTCCCGGATCCCTCCTACTACAGGCGCAGAGTGGCACACCGTGTGGTTTTAGTCGGTTCGAGTCCGACACACCACCCCGCCGCAAACCCCGTGGGGTGACGGTCCGAGGGGATTTCCACACGTAAAAAAAAAAAAAAAAAAGGGGTTCCTACTGTGAGATAACTACAGAAAGTAAAAAATTAAGCACCCGCATAATACCTCAAAACCATATTTTCTTCTGTTTCCTCAATATATATGTATATTTCCTCTAAAAAATGGTATGAAATTAAAGTTGAATTATGATATTAAATTAAATAGTTATTTAAACGATTTATTCATTGTTATTGAATTACTACATAACCATACGTTCCACAATTACGCCATGATCTAACGTCCTAGTGAAAAAAAGAACTACGTGACCACATTATCAAAAAATGAAAACTAATTTTATAACTATTTTACTACCATTAAATACCTATCATTACGTCTGGTCAAGGTAAAAAGATACAATATTTTTAACTTAAATAATAATATAAGTTTAGATCCACGGGACAAGTTTTACTAGATTGGGACTCCCCTCTCTAGATTGAGATTCAGTATTAAATCTAGCAGAACAAAAAACGTCGACACGCATTTCTATAACTTTATGGATTTTTTTATTGACCAATGTTAAAGCCAAGATCTCTACAAGTGCATACAATTATAAAATATTGCAGAAATATTACACGTCACTTGCTTTTTTCTACACAGAGGTAAGAGTCAACATAAATAACAAACAATGATGACGGCTTCGACCGCAGGATGGCGTAGTGGTTCGTGTAACGGACTGCTACACCAAAGGTCACAGGTTCTATTCTCGAACGAGTCAAACATTTGTGTGCATAAACATTTAGTGATTGATTTGGTCTGAGTGTTTCTATGTATAATATGTATGTATTTACAAAAAAAATATGTTTATTTATGTCAGTTGTCTAGTACCCATAGCACAAGTTCTGCTTAGTTTGGGACAAAATGGCGTTGGTTGAATGATGTAGAATATCTATTATTTTATTATAATGAGAATGGGTACGACAAACTTACTCGAAGTTTTAGTAGTTATGTTAGTATTTGCCTAAAAACATAACTCGGTCCAGACAATGACTTATTACAGTTTTCTGGGCATATCCAAAAACTTACCAACTAAATATTAGTTGTATAGGTGTATCAGACGCATTAACAAAATAATCCTTGTACTAACTGACGGTTGTGTAGATCCTAGGCTTCTGGAGGAGCCATAAATCACGTCAGAGCCTTTGTTCGTGTCTCGACCATCTGTAATGAGGTTGTTAGCTTTAGGAGCTTTGTATGCATTGTTAGCTCTTCCCAGCGCCCATTCTAGTCGAGCTACGCCCACGTATGTTAAATAGCATGATCGATGGTACAAAGTTCATCTCGTTACATCGTATATACTAGAGCTGGTTGGTTAACATAAACTTTTAAACATAATAATATTGATTTACTTAATTATATAACTTATTGACTTGATCGATTTTTTACTATTTTCTGAACGCGAATGGAATCAAATCAAATGCCGCGCGGTTCACCAACTTTTTGTTACATCATTTCAATGAACCTATCCCATAGATTATAGGATAGTTAGAGGAAATTCCTTATAACGCGAATTGTCATCTTTAGGTATCACTCAAAATTTATTACGATGGTAAGGGGTTCGTGGCTGAGTGGTAACCGAGGAGGTTAACACATTGCAAAGTTATGTGTCCGTGTGGTAACAGATTAAGAATACAGAGTGTCACCACCCCTATTCATCCCGTGGGTGTCGTAAGAGGCGACTAAGGGAGAAAACTACGCAGGACAACAACACTGCAGAGAGAAGGAAAACTTGAAACAAATCCTATACCAACCCGTCTGGCCAGCGTGGTATAGTAGGCCAAAA